CCTTGGCCATTCATTCATCCCAGGCTGGGTTACAGAATTAAAACTCAAGACTAAAAACAATGTAAAAGAACTTACAAGCACAAAAATAAGGTGGTCCTAGAAACACGCAGCTCAAGTCTCCAAAGCCAGGGCAGAGAGGGGTCTCTTCAGCATCCCTGGAAGCTGTACAATGAGGGTGCCAGGCAAGCCTCTGTGGGGAGAGAGGGCCACAGCTTAGGGGCTGCTACAGAGAAGACCCTCTCAGGGGCCTCTGCTCCACCCCACCCCCCACCCCGCCTCTGAGGGCAGAGGAACTACCAAGAGATCTCCCTCTGTCAATCTCAGCTCCTGAGAGGGTCTGTAGGGAAACATTTGGGGCCAGAGTGGTTTAACAACTAGCATGAGCACTTTGAATTGAGCTGGGAAAGGAACTGGCAGCCAGTGCAGCTGTTTTGAAACAGGGGTTAACTAGAACCCCAGCCAGTAATTAAAAAGAGCTCATTGCACTAATCCAATCTGGAAGTCCAGAGCGCAGTGGCCAAGTCCTCTCTGTCCAAAAGGGGTCATAGCTGGTGAAGCAGCCAGAGTTGAAAAAAGGCCCTCCTGGCCACGGAAGTCACCTGAGCCTCCAGCAACTGGGTCCAATCCAGGAGTACCTGCAGACTGCAAACCGGCTCTTTCCAGGGCAAAGGCCATCCAAGAGAGGCCGCCTCCCTCCTTCCTAGGTGAGAGAACGTGGGGCACATAAATATCTCAGTCTTTTCAGGATCCACCTTCAGTTCCTTGGCCCACATCCAACCATCATTTCCTCCAGGCGCTGGTCTGGCACCTCGGCTGCCTCCCTGATTCAGATGGAGGAGAGAGATAGGGCTGGCTCTCATCTGCATACTGATGACAGTTCACTCCAGCTCTCCTGACAGCAGCTAAATATAGATGTTAAAGAACCTGGGCTCCCAGACCCGTGTCCATCTTGGCTTCTTAGTGTTAGCCATAGGGGGCTGACTGGGAGGGGGGAACCACTGACCTTGAAGGAGGCGGTGGAGCATTGCCTCCTTAGAAAATGCTCCCTGGACCTAGAACTGCTGGCTTCCCTTTCAGAGGCAAGGCACTCAGGACAATTGGGGGGGAGGGTCCACTTTCAGGCAGGCTTGGAGGAAGCTGATTACTTGGGTCCCTTCTAGTCTGGCTTCAGGTCCGATGAGGGCACTGAAACTGCCTTGGTCACCCTGGCTGATGACATGTGCCAGGAGAAAGATGGATCCTTGATCTCTTGTTGAGTTTCAATACTGATGAGCGTGGGATCCTTTTGGAGCAGCTTAGGGAGGTGGGGGGGCACTGGGCTTTGGTGGTTCTGCTCCTGCCTCCAAGCCCATTTCCAGACGGTAGCTGTGGGAGCCTGCTGTTGGTTGCCTGGGAGTTGTCCACCTTGTCCCTTGTGCTATTTGCCATCTACTGTATATGCAGCCTTTGGGAGCTGCCATCAGGAGTTTTAGAGTGAAGTCCATCTTGCCAAGCAGACCCTTTGGCAGCAGCCCATCTGCTTGGCATACCTTGCCACGTGGGGCCATTGTCATACGGAGGGCCTGCCCTGATGCTGGAGGTGCAGAATCAGCCGAGAACTTCTTTGAACTGTTCTGTCTTGTACTTTTGTTCTCGTTGTATGTTCTGTAGTTAGTAATATTAAATGTTTTTATTTTCTGTTTGGGATTTGTAAGAGATGTCCCAACTTTTTGGAAAAAGGATTTCCCCTGCTTTTGTCTTTTGTGCCTTTCTGCCGGGGAAGCTGAACCAGTGCTTAATCCTTTAGTCGCCTACCAGAGCCTGTTGGATTTCTGTCTGTGCCACGGCAAAGTGACACAGAGTGGGGCAGCCCTGTAAAACTGAAGAGTAATCTCCTTCCTTAGGTTACTTTTCGGGGGCTGTTCTGAGATAAGGAAGTGGTGGCAGCAAACTACTGTTCTCTTTTTGTGTTCTGTCTCTCTTCCTGCTGAATTTGGAGGACAGGTTGGAGGGGTAGAGCGCATGCGCAAATGCTACAGCACCTTTTTACATTGGCTATTAGCACCCTAGATGTATATTTTTAGGACCCACCTTATTTTTGTGGTTGTAGGTTGTTCTAAACTGTTTTAACATTGTGTTTTAATTGTTGTGAAGTGCCTACGGACATTACACTGAACAGCGGGCAATAAATCATATATTTACATATATATAAGCTCCTTCCGTGCCCTTTTTAGCATAAAAAGAAATGAAAGCAAATTATCAGCGTACACACACACACCCCCTCAGATTGCTATCGAGTGCATATTTTTTCTTTGTGGTTGGCTTGTGCTGTTTTCTGGTTTTGCACATAGCAGAGTGACCAAAAGACAAAGTCAGGATTCCTCCATCCAGGAGCAGACTACAGACAGAAAAGAGATGACTGCCTCAATTGAGGAAGGAGTGGGAATGGAAGGGGAGTAGCAGAAAGTGACAACTGATTCAGTCAGCCAAAAACAAATCGCCTGAGACCCACAGGGCAGATGCCACATCTGAACTAACTTGAACAGAAAAGGTGGGTTTTTATGAGGAGGAACTGGGTAGAGAGTGGTCCCTCAACGGGGTCAGCCAACGAAGCTGAATGTTGAAAGACAAATGGAAGTACAGAGGTACCTTGGTTTACGAACAGCTTAGTTTATGAACAATTTGGATTAAGAACGCTGCAAACCCGGAAGTAGGTGTTTCGGTTTGTGAACTTTGCCTTGGAAGCAGAACATGTTCCGCTTCCTGTTGAGTGTAAATTGAGTCCCCTGCTGTTATGGGAAAGCATGCCTTGGTTTAAGAACGCTTTTGTTGAAGAATGGACTTCTGGAACGGACTAAGTTCGTAAACCAAGGCACCACTGTATATTGACATGGAGTGCACAGTGAAACTGTGGAACTCAATGACAAAAGAAGGGCCTGCAGGACCAGGCCAATGGGGGCCCATCTAGTCCAGCACCCTGTTCTCACAGGGGCCAACCAGAGGAGAAGCCTTGCAAGTGCAAGAGGACCTTCCCTCCCGTGGTTTCTAGCAACTGGTATTTGGAAGCACTGCTGCCTCCAGCTGTGCAAGGGGAGCAGAGTCCTCCTGGCTAGGAGCCTTGCACAGACCTCTCCTCCCCCCCTTAAAGACATCCGGGTTGGCGGCCATCCTGCGGCAGGGAGTTCCATAGTTTCACCATGTGCTGCAGAAAATGCTCAGTGGGGTCCAGCTGGCTGCCCCACTGAGGGAGACCCCCTTGCAAGGCACTGAGGGGCCAAAGGAGGCAAGCGGGGGGGGCTATGGGGGGTGGCGCTGTGACACAAAGTCCTTCCCTTCTGTCTGCAGAAAGACAGACACAGGAAGAATGACAGGCGGAGCTGCTAATCCACCAGCTCAGGCATTCTTGGCAGGGGCGGGAGAAGGAATCCAGAAGCCACAGTGGCTCAGCCTTTGTTTCCCAGGCTGGTCCTGGCCTGCCCACCACAAAGCCCAGTGCTGCCTGAGAGGCAGAGAGGGCAACTCGGGGGCACTTCCTCCTCCTCGGCTGGCGGGAGACGCCTGCGGCTGGGGGGGCGGAGCAGGGGGTCCTGGAGCAGGTTGCAGCATCCGCCTCTTGGCAGGGCTTCTCTCCTCTGCAAGCACCTGCCGGGCCCCCCCCATGACCCTCCCTCTTCCCACACATGGGGAGCCGGCTAGGGCCACATCCTGACATCTGTGGGGAATCCTGGGAACGGTCCTTTGCTAAGGATGCCGGGAACTGTGAAGTCAGCGCTCTTAACAGGACCTTTCGCAGGTGGATGTGGCCAGAGAGGGGGCTGCACTGGGCCCTTTCTGGGGAAGAGACCACCCCCCACATTCCACAAGGGCAGAGCACCTGCTTGGCATGCAGAAGGACCCAGGTTCAGTTCCTGGCAGCCTCTCCTGAGAGGCCTGGGAAACCCCAGGGAGCTGCTGCCAGTCGGTGTAGACAGAACTGAGTGGGAAAGGCCAGTGGTCAGACTCAGGGCTTCACTGCAATTCCCTTTTGCCTGCTCTTTCCAGGCACAGGTCTGCGCTTAAAAGCTCCGTGTCTGAGTGCGCTCTCTCTCTCTCTCTCTCTCTCTCTTGCTTTCCTTTCTCTTTCGTCTATTCAGCTTTTAAGTCCTTTTTGGCGAATTCAGAGGACTGGCGTCTTCCTTTATTGTTAGGGCCATAACTCAAGGATAGGGCAGGGGACGCCCAGCCAGATGAGTGGGGAATGAATGAATGAATGATATCTGAAACCCTTCAGAGTGAGACAGAGATGCTGCCAGTCAGTGCCTGCCAGGCGGAGTCCTCCAGGTGCAGCTGAACTACAGCTCCCATCATCCCTGGCCACGACCCACACAGACTGCTGCAAGCAGGGATTCAACACCCCCTGGCGGGCACCGTGTTGGTGACCCCAGCATTGGCCACGCAGAGTGAGATGGGCCAAGAACAGGTTCCTGCGAAGGACCAGAAAGGCCTCTTTGGACCACCATCCCGCAGAGCCGCTCTTCGCAGGCAACCTCTGGGTGGCGCCGCAGCAGTGACTCCCCCCCCCCCCAGGCTGGGCTGTCAGCAGCCCCACCCGCTGGCCCTGGATGCGAGGCTGTGGGGGGGCTCCTGTCCGAGCCCCTGCAGGGAGGTGGGGTCTGCCACTGCTGTTCCCCCGACCCACGGTGACCATGTCCTTTGAGGCCCCGTGCCTGATGCTTGGCAGCAGCATCTCCGGGTCGGGCTGGGAAAGGCTCCCCTGCCTGAGACCCTGCGGAGCCGCTGCTGCTGCCAGCCAGAGCAGGCACTTCCGAGCCTGACTCGGTGAGAGGCAGCTGCTCCCTCCCTCTGTTCCCACGAGGAAAGCAGAGAGGGCAGGTGGGGCAACGTTTCTCTCAGCAAGTGCCCGTCGCGCCCACACCCGGCCTGCTCCCGGGACGCTGCTGTGCCAAGAAAGTTGGTGACTGAGCAGGAAGGTGAATCGTTCACGCCGCGGCTGCTGCCACACCTCCGCCTCTCTGGCTCCGGCCAGCCGGGAAGGAGGAAGGCGGGCAGCAGCCCGGAGGCATTCCTCAGCAGGCGCTTGGCAGAGCAGCAGCATGGCCGCGAGTGAGTCCTGGCCCGGGGGGCGGCGGCGGGGGGAGCCTGGGGGACGGATGCCGGTTCTGAGGATGGGAAGGGGTGAGCCCAGGGGGAGAGGGAGAGGAGGGCCGGCTCCCACTCCGGGTGCCCGGGCCCCTTCTCCTCCCGCTGCTCCTGCGGGGTCCCCTCCCTGGGGATTTCAGGGGCCGCAAGCAAGGATGTCTCTGCTCTTCCACGGCTGGAGCCAGCAATGCTTCTCTGGGAGTCCTTCTGGGCTCCAACCCTCTTGCTGGCTTCCCATCATGGGCATCTAGTTGGCCACCAGCTGGGCTAAATAGGCCCCTTCTGATCCAGCAGCTACAGGGCTCTTCTTAGCTTCTTATGGTTGCTAAATGGAGCCTCCATGGACAGAGGCAGTCTAGCTTAGAATTGTGGAGAGCAAGAGTGGGAGATGGTGGCTTTGGAGGTTCTTAAGCAGAGGTTGAATGGCCACCTGCCATGGATACTTTAGTGGAGATTCCTGCATTGCAGGGGGTTGGGCTAGATGACCTTTGGGGATCCCTTCCAACTCTCTATGGTCCTACCTGGGGCTTCCCAGAAGCATTCAGCTGGCCACTGAGAGAACAGGATGAGATGGGCCCCTGGCCTGGCCCAGCAGTCTCCGCTGACGTCCTTTTGCTCTTTGGTAGAACTGCAGCTGGCGTTCATCACTTGGCACAGCTCCAAGAACAACCTGCGGCACCGCACAGCGGAGATGGGGGGCCAGCAGGTGATTGCGCGGCGGGGGCAGCCCTTCACCATCACCCTCCACTTCCAGGGTCGAGGCTACCTGCACGGAGACTCCCTGCACCTGATTGCAGAGACAGGTAGGAGCAGGTGGGGAGGGAGAGGAAGGGGCTTGGCCTGGGGTCTCCAATCCATGAGAGGGGGGGAGATACAAGACGATTAGGCACCTGCATGCAGGAGGGGGCTATTGAAGGCTCTGCCTCCAGTCGGAGGCTGCAAATGTTTCTGCACACCAGCTGCTAGAAGCCCCAGGAGGGAAAAGAACTCTTGAGCTCAAATCCTGCTTGATGGTTTCCCACAGACACTGGAGGCTGGACTAGGTGGGCCACTGGGGGCTCTTCTTCTGGCCCTCAGCCCTCACCACGTCCAGGGCAGCGCCATCCTTCCTCTGAGGAGGACCTGCTGCAAGCCCCGAGGCCTCTTCTGGGTCCTGTGGTCTGCCTTGTCCACAGGGGTCTCTGCGCCCCTCCCTGTCTTCCATCTGGACTGCCTGGCAAATGCCGCCTGCCTGCGTGCCACCAGGCCTTATGAGGAACGGTTGAGAGGAGATCTGAGAGTCATCTCCAAATATCTGAAGGGCTGTCACATGAAAGAAGCTTGTTTTCTCCTGCTCTGGATGGTAGGACTCGAACCCATGCCTTCTAGCTGCAAGAAATGGGATTCCAACATCAGGAAGAACTTTTGACAGTTAACAATCTCCCTTGGGATGTTGTGGACTCTCCTTCCTTGGAGGCTTTTAAATAGAGGTCAGATGGTCATTTGCCCTCTATGATCTAGTTGAGATTCCTGCATTTCAGGGGGCTGGACCCCCAGGGACCATTTTATGATTGCAGCCCTGAGTCCAAACAAGGCCATTGGAGCACCTGGAGTGGGAAGCCCAGAGTTCTGCCTGCCAGCAGGTGCCAAGGGAGTCCCAGATCCTGGCGGAGACCCAGAGGGGTCCTATTGCCAGCAGCAGCAGCAGCTGAAAGGGTCTCGTTTAGCGGCAGCGGGTGCTGCAGACAAAAGCAGGGCCTCTATTTTATGTATTCATTATTGTATTTATATCCCACCCGTTTCTCCACGGAGCCCAAGGTCACACCCAAGGAGCTTCATGGCTTTATGGGGATTTTAACCCTCGTCTCCCAGGTCTTAGTCCTCCTCCAATCCCCACAACAGCCCTGTGAGGAAGGTTAGACTGAGACAGGCAGTGTCTGGCCCCAAAGGTCACCCCAGGAACGTCATGGTTAAGTGTGGGGACTTGAACCCGCTCCCAGGTTGGGTCTCTGTTGCTCTACTGCAGTAGACAGCATGGGGAGGGGCACGGTGGCCCACCAAGGGGCAGCCTCTGTGGGCAAGCCAGTTCCCACCTTCCACGGCAGTGATGATGATGATGGCAGCTCCCTTGCAGTCCAACTAGGCCAGCTCTTCCTGGCTGCTCAGTGCCCCATTGGGCTGCCTTGACCTGGCATGACCCCCTGCAAGAGACCCTCCAGCTCCCCTTGACTCCCCTCTTGCTCTGCAGGGCCTCAACCAGACCAGCAGGCAGGGACACAATCCATCTTCCCAGTGGGGCCAGGACATCCAGACTCGAAGCGCGCCTGGAGAGCCACCGCCAGCGCCGCCAGCGGGCCCCGATCCACGGACGTTGTTGTCTGGCCTCCGGCTGGGGCCCCCATTGGGCGTTACCAGCTGAAGATCCGCGTCGACTCCGACCACACCTCCAAGTTCTACTACCTGGGGGACTTCATCCTGCTCTTCAATGCCTGGTGCCCAGGTAGGGTGTGGGGAGACATTTGGGCGGTTCCTTCAGACCCTGAACTGTGGGGTGGGTTTTAATGGGTGGGAGAGAAGATACTAATTGCAGTTTACCCCTCTAGGCGCCCTCTCCAATTGTATTTCTGTGGTCTGGGTCGCTGCCTATCAGCAATGCAGCTCTGAGGACTCTGTTCCTTCTCATGCTTTCTAGCAAGAACAGGCATTTGTTAGCTTGGGCTGCTAATCTCCCCCAACCCTGCCAGGGTCTATTCCTTGCTCAGCGCTGCAGCGGAAGAGTCCTGGGTCTGCCTCTGGGGGCTTGGAGCATCTCCCTGGGACCTGGGAGCACTGGGGGGGCCTTCCTGGGCATCCGTTCAGTGGGAGGGAGCCTGGCATTCCCCCCAGCAATGGAGGGGAGTGGGGCCAGCACACCCATGAGGCAAGGGGAGGCAACTGCCCCAGGCAGCAGGATCCACAGGGGCCTGGAGGTGAGGCTGGGTCCCAGGAGGGGAAGGTGCCTCTCACAACCCTCCAAAGAATCTCAGAAGAGCTTGCTGGATCAGGCCCCTATCCCGTTCTCACAGGGGCCAACCAGATGCTCCAGTTGGGGAAACCCACAAGCAGAAGCAGAGCACCAGCGCAGCCCCTTCCCCTCCTGCGCGTTCAGAAGTGTTGCTGTCCCCAGCTGTGGAGGCAGAGCAGAGCTGCCTGGCTAGTGGCCCTCAAGAGCCCCTCTCTCCTCCCTGCCTCCTGGGGGAGGGGCTTCCCTACTCTGACCTGCCCCCTCCCCTGCCTCTCAGATGATGACGTTTACCTGGAGAGTGAGCTGGAGAGGGAGGAGTACGTCCTGAACGAGCAGGGCCTCATCTACCAGGGAAACAAGAACTGGATCCGCCCCGTTCCCTGGAACTTTGGGCAGGCAAGTACCTAAGGCGAACCCCGGTGCTGGATCAGGCCAATGACTCTAGCCCCATCCTCACAGGGGCCAACCCAGTGGGCAGCCCAGTCAAGCAGCGCCTGAGACCAACCGCTTCTCCCATTCTTGTTCACCACACTAAGGTAGAGTGGCTCTGGCCATGGAAGCTCCATTTAGGAAGGCAAAGTGCTGCAGCAGGTGCAGCCCACCTAGTCCAGGGCTGACTGAAGATGGGGCTCCGAAGGCATTACTGGACTTCCAGCCGACCTCTCCATCCCTGACCACTGGCCTGGCTGGGACAGCTGGGAGTTGGAGTCCAGAAAGTGCAGGGGGAGAGCCACACCCACAAGCCCCAGCCAGGCAAGGCCCTGCCCTCCCTCCCTCCCTCCCTCCCCCAGTTCTCCTTGGCCCCTGCCCAGAAGAAGAACCTGGCCAGGCCAGGCCAAAGAGCAGCAATGCAGCTGAGCCTGCAATCGTCTGAGTTCGCTTTTCTTAGCTGCCTCACACCGAGTCAGGCCATTGCTCCATCTAGCTGAGTATTGCCCACACTGACTGGCAGCAGCAGCGGCTCTCCGGGATTTCAGGCAGGAGTCTCTCCCAGCCCCACCTGGAGCTGGAGACCTTCTGCATGCTGAGCTGGCCGCCTTCTTTCTCCTCTTCCTCTGCAGTTTGAGGAGGGCATTGTGGGCATCTGCCTGAAGCTGTTGGACAGGAGCCTGCACTTCTTGCACGACCCGGGCAGGGATTGCTCCTTGCGCAACAGCCCCGTCTACGTCAGCCGGGTGCTGAGCGCCATGGTAAGAGCTGCTGGGACCACCCAGCGCTGTGGAACCCCCCCTCCCGAGGGCTGTTCCCTGATCTGCTCAGGGTGGGGCTGGTGGGACCTTCTGAGATGGGGGCCCAAAGCAGTTGGCTGGACTTGCCCTCAGCCAGGAGACAGTGCAATGCAGAATGCGCAAGAGGCATCGCCTTCCCCCTGCCCCACGCCTGCCACCCAGGAATACAGCGTACAAGCTGTTCCGGATGGGGTTGCCATAGCTTATTCCGCTTATAAATCACTTCCAGAGAAGCACCTTGAAGCTGTTTCACAACACAGCAAAAACAATTAAAAACCCTTTAAAATTAAAAACAACTGCATGTACACAGACAGTTTTCCTTCCCCCGGAAAGAGCAGGCACGTGGCAGGGGTGCTCCAGGCTCCCGTTTCGACTGCTGCAATGCATTGTGGGTAGGGCTGCCCTTGCAAGGTGCAGCTGCCAGGACATTAACTGGTTGAGGAAAACACTGGTTTAGGACTCTGTTCTGTCTGAAACAAAAGAGGCTGGCTAAAGCCATGTGGCTGGAGCAACCAGCTCAGAGCTCCTCACATGGAGGGAGAGAGAAAAAACACAAAGGTTTGGTGACCCAATTCCTCTCCAAGTGACAGGTGATGACATAGGCTGAGGCTGGCAGGGACAGCTGACTCTATGGTTTAACCCCTTCATGAACCAATTAGGCTCAAACACACTAGAGTTAGGTATATGAGGCTGCAAGTTCAAAGTACTTTGGGAGGCTCAGTTGAGTGGCTGTGAGCTTGGCTTTGCCTGGAGGGGTCCTCTGGCACTCATGGGGCTGCCTGCCCTCCCCCCCCCTCCAGATCAACAGCAACGATGACAACGGGGTCCTCCTGGGCAACTGGAGCGAGGACTATTCCGGGGGCGTCCGCCCCACCGAGTGGAGTGGCAGCATCGCCATCTTGACCAAGTGGGACCACAGTGGGGGCCGGCCGGTCAAGTATGGGCAGTGCTGGGTCTTTGCAGCCGTGATGTGCACAGGTAGGGATGGGGAGCAATGCATGCTGGGAGCAACTCCCCAGGGAAACGTGGAGGCCTCTGCTTCACCTGCAAAGCCAGAAGGGACAGTGCGGAGGGGACTGTCCAGCTACTATTTGTCAAGATCGTTGTGAAATGAGAAGTAGCTGTATTTTGAATAGGAAAGTGATAGGTTGCATTTGGGAACATGAACTTCCTCACCTAGCAAGGAATTTAAGAAACACAGCATTTTTCCTGACTGAAACCTCGTAGAGAGGTTGGTACTTTAAGGGGAGGTGGACGGAGGGGGGGCAGGTAGCAATACACAGGGCAACTTTTAAATACTGTCAGTGAAAGCAGGTGGCCCATCTGAGCCAAAGGGAGAAGCAGGTGTGCCAGATTTCCTTAGGGGAAAAAACAGGGGGTGGGGCGGCCAAATAGTGGGCTGGAGAAATGGACCCCCGAGTCCCCTGTGATGCACACACACACAGAGAGAGAGACTTTACTCTTGGGGCCCAGAGACTGGCCCCATGGGAAATGGGGCAGATATGGGGGTCCCTGTAAGAGCCTCGCCCCAGCTGCTTTATCACTGGAAGCTGAAGCTGCTGCTCCTCTCGCTATTCACATGCTCAGAGGCTAGTTACAGGAGCCAAGTACAGGATCCCGGCAGAACTGGCACAGCCATCCCTTCCCCGGTGGGGGGGGGGGGACAGCAGCACTTGGTTCCCCCAGCAGAAGCTGAAGGGCAGCAGGTGGGGAGGGGTCCCAGCTGCCCAGGACGGCACCCAGCTGCGCCCTCCTCTCCCCAGTGCTGCGATGCCTCGGGATCCCTTCACGAGTGGTGACCAACTTTGACTCGGGGCACGAGAAGGACGGGAACCTGATTATCGATGTCTTCTATGACAAGGCCGGGCACCTCCTGCCCACAGAGAGCAAGGACAGCATCTGGTGAGATGGGGCTGCCTCCTGGGGGGCCCTTTCCCCCTCCCGACTGCCAAATCCTCGGGGGCCCCTTCTTCTCTGCATCACATGATGGAGGGAGGACCACCCTGACTCAGGGGCTCCTTGCCGGGGATGGAGTGAGGCAAGGGCTTTCCTTCCCAGGTGGCCTTTGACCTCAGATCAAACCCAAGACTGGGCTCTTCTCTGCCCAAAGAGAGATACAGCCCCAAGCGGAGGCTGGGGGGGACATCTGTCAGGGATGCTGTGATTCCCCCCCCCCATGATGACCCCAGTGGTGCATCTTACCACAAAGCACACCCCTCCCAGCTAGAGAGACCATCTCTTTGGGCTCTGCTTGTCTTCTGCTGCAGGAACTTCCACGTGTGGAATGAGTGCTGGATGGAGCGCAGAGACCTTCCCCCCGGCTACCATGGCTGGCAGGTCCTGGATGCCACCCCCCAGGAGCGCAGCAATGGTGCGTTTTCCCCGCTCCTCCTTCCAGCCTGGCCTGGGCTTGGCCTGACTGCTTCCCCATCATGCCTCTCTCTGTCTCTGGGGGACCTTGGTGGGCAGCCCCATGAAGACGCTGAGCCAGTGGGTGGAAGCGGTGAAAAAGGCCAATGTCATGCTACAGATCTTTAGGGAAGGAACGGGAAATAAAACTCCCAATATCATAACCTTAGATTATACCAGTCTAAGGTGCGACCACATTTGGAGTACTATGCACAGTTCTGGTCACCTACAGGATATTGTGGAGTTGGAAGAGGGTCAGAAAGGGCGACTGAACTGATCCAGGGGGTGGAGCAACTGCCTTATGCGGAAGGAAGCGCAGGGATATGGATGGCTCCTGGCCAGGGTGGCCCTGCTCTGCCTCCACAGCATCTGAATTCCAGTTTGGGGAAGCCACAGGTGGGGAGGGGGCTCCTGCGCTCAGGTCCAGTTTGTGGACTCCCAGCTGTGAGAACAGGATGCTGACCCGGATGGGCCCCTGGCCTGATCCAGCCCTGACATTTCCCTTCCCTCCTGGCAGGGCTATACTGCTGTGGGCCAGCCCCTGTCAGCGCCATCCGGGAGGGAGACGTGGACGTGCGCTTCGATGCCCCCTTTGTGTTCTCCATGGTGAATGCTGACCGTGTGGCTTGGCTGCTGGACGGGGCAAGGAAGGAGAAGCTCCAGTGGGACACCAGTGCTGTTGGGAACAACATCAGCACCAAATGCGTTGGGAGCGATGAGCGGGAGGACATCACCAGTGCCTACAAATACCCAGAAGGTAGGGAGATGGAGGAACCCACAGCCACCCAGAAATGCGTCCTGCACCCGGCCAGCTGGCCTGACTCAGAAGTTGTAATCTGGATTCACCGTTCCTGCAGGCGGTTACAGAGGAGCAGAACAGATTGTTCTGGCCTGGAGACAGAGCCGGTGGAGAGGCCTCTTGGCCAGCAGGCTCCTAAATTGCAGGGTGCTATTCCCTCATCTGAAGGCTGTGAAATTCTCAGCCAGCATGTCTGATCCTGCTTGTGATGGTGGCAGCAAAGCGCCTTTAGTGGCTGGGGCACAGGGAAAGCAGGACGCCCAGGTTCCCTGGCTGCTAAGAGGCTGCCACAAGCACCTCGCGGGTGAGCCTGAGGGTTGCTGCACTGTCAAGGCTGGGCTGGGGCTGGGCTTTGTGGCGCACGATTGTTCTTGCGATTGGGTCTTCGAGGGCCTGGGGCCACAGGGAGGAAGCTGCCGCTGCAGGAAACCTCAAGCAGCCGGAGCACCAGCTGGGAGTGGCTTCTACGAGCTCTGCTCTAAAAATCAGCAGCTGCAAAATGCCTGCAAAAAGATCCACATGAAACCCCACATGAGTGGGGTCATCTGGAGTCCCTTGTCCGCAATATGCTGATGACACACAGCTGTCCTTTACATCTGCAGGTGGGCAGTGGAAGTGCTGGACTTGATAATAGTCTGGTCTTGATAATAGACTGGATGAGCGCCAGCCAACTGAAGTTCACTCTGGATCAGGGTGGTTCCCTAGACTGGATGGCGGGGAGGTGGCCTTGATGGAGTGGGTACGCAACTTGGAGGTACTTCTGGGTCAAGTGGTCTCAGTGGCCCAGAGTGCTTTCTAGCAGCTTCATCTGGTGGCCCAGCTGCACCCTTCTGTGGCCTATGCTCTGGAAACCTCTAGCTTAGATGACCGCAACACATTATGCGTGGGGCTGCCTCTGATGAGAGTTCAGAAACTTCATCTGGTGCAGAATGCGGTGGCCAAGTTGCTCACTGGGGCAAGATGGTTGGAGCATATAATGCCAATCCTGACCCAACTGCTCTGGCTGCCAATTTGTTTCCAGACCCAATTCAAAGTGCTGGTGCTGACCTATAAATCCTTCAATAACTCAGGATATGACTGCCCTGGACCCTGCGATCATCCTCTGAGGCCATTCTTTGTGTGACTCCTTCCCGAGAGGTCCAGGGGGTGGAAACATGAGAAAGGGCCTTTTCTGCAGTGGCTCCCTGCTCATAGAATGCTTCCCCCAGGGAGTCCCGCCTGGCGCCTTCATTACATGTCTTTAGGTGTTAGGCAGAAACATTTCTCTTCTCCCGGGCCTTAGGCTGGTTAAACAACCTATGGCTTTTTCAAGGTGTTACTGGTTTTTCTGCTTGTTTTTGTTACGTTATGTATTTTGTGTTTTTGTTTCGTATCTTTATGTTGTAAAAACTACCCTGTGATATTTGGATGAAGGGCAGGCAGCTTATAAATTTAATAAGTAAATAAAATAACATAAATAAGTTCAGGGCTGCTAACCTGCTGATTCTGCTCTGCCTCCCTGGTGAGAGACAGGAACACAGTCCCAGTTGCTGGAAGCCGCGGGGGGGGGGGAGGGGGCTGCTCTTGTGCTCGGGGGTCCTGCTTGCTGGTTTCCCCTTGGGGCATCTGCTTGGCCCCTGTGAGGAGAGGAGGCTGGACTAGGAGGGCCTCCCGGGGCCTCGTCCTGCAGGGATCAAAGGCCTGGAAACGATGCCTTATGAGGAACGGCTAAGGGAGCTGGGCATGTTTAGCCTGGAGAAGAGGAGGTTAAGGGGTGATATGATAGCCATGTTCAAATATAGAAAAGGATGTCACATAGAGGAGGGAGAAAGGTTGTTTTCTGCTGCTCCAGAGAAGCGGACACGGAGCAATGGATCCAAACTACACGAAAGAAGCTTCCACCTCAAACATTAGGAAGAACTTCCTGACAGTAAGAGCTGTTCGACAGTGGAATTTGCTGCCATGGAGTGTGGTGGAGTCTCCTTCTTTGGAGGTCTTTAAGCAGAGGCTTGACAACCATATGTCAGGAGTGCTCTGATGGTGTTTCCTGCTTGGCAGGGGGTTGGACTCGATGGCCCTTGTGGTCTCTTCCAACTCTAGGATTCTTTGATTCTATGATCATCTTATGCAGACTGCAAGTAGGCTAGCAGAGATCTGGTGCCTCTGATGGCTCCCAAACTCCTCCGCCAGTGTGGTGTAGTGGTTAAGAGCGGTAGTCTCGTAATCTGGGGAACCGGGTTCGCATCTCCGCTCCTCCACCTGCAGCTGCTGGGTGACCTTGGGCCAGTCACACTTCTCTGAAGTCTCTCAGCCCCACTCACCTCACAGGGTGTCTGTTGTGGGGGAGGAAGGGAAAGGAGAATGTCAGCCACTTTGAGACTCCTGAAGGGGAGTGAAAGGCGGGATATCAAATCCAAATCCAAACTCTTCCGCCCTTAGCCAAGCTCCGGACCCAGGGGGTGCGTGCCTCACCTCGTGCACTCACTGGCCTTGCCTTGTCCTTCCTCGCTCCCCACAGGCTCCCCGGCAGAGCGCCGTGTGTTCCTGAAGGCCCTCGGCCAGAGGCAGCCGCTCAGCCCCCCAGTGCGATACAGGTCGGGAGTCCTTCCGGTTGCGTTCTCTGCCTCTGTGGAGGACAGGACCCGGGAGCCGCCGCCGGCCATGGCCCAGACCTCTCTGAAGCTCCAGCTGGTGGAGAGTCCTGAGGTGGGCCAGGACATCCAGCTGGTGCTGGCGGCCTGCAACCTGGAGTTTGTCCACAAGGAGCTCAAGCTGAGCCTCAGCGCCCAGTCCGTGCTGCACGATGGCCACCCGCGGCCGCCCTTCTGGCAGGAGACCCTGTACCTCTCCCTCCGCCCCAGGGAAGGTAAGGCGAGCGGGAGGGGGAGCGGGCAGGCCTCCCGAGGCGCTGTCTCCGGGGGAAGGAGTGCCGCCCGCCTCTGACACGGGCCTCTTTGCAGAGACGGAGCTTCCCTGGACCATCTCCTACCAGCAGTACGGGCAGCAGCTGGGAGAGGATAAGCAGCTTCGCGTCATCGCGCTGGGCGAGGAGAACACTACCTGGCTGAAGACCCTGGCAGAGAAAACCATCACCATGGCCAGCCCCAGCCTGGACATCCACGTAGGCACATCGCCTCTGGGTTGGCGGGGGTGGCACAGTGGGCTGCTCACCTGGGAGATGGGACAGCTACTGTGGGGTCGAGTGCAGGTTTTCCAAAGGCTCTGTTCCTGGGGGCAAAGGAGCCAAGACACATGACCGGCTCCCTCCCTGGCACACACCTTGCAACCCACGTGCCTCCCTCCGATGTGGTTTGGGTGGGCTAAAGCCATGCAGGCTCAGCAAGAAACATCCCAGCCTTCTTCAAAGTGGGGAACAAGCTTGCCCCCCCCCACCGCCCAAGTTTCAGGCCAGGCAAAGAGAGGGCTGGGGGGTGGGCACCTGTCCCAAAGAGCCCCACTCCCTTCTGCTCCTAACCGCTTGGTCCTTGGCACAGGTATTGGCCTCCGTGGTGGTGAACCAGCCCTTCCCGATCCAGGTGGTGTTTGCCAACCCCCTTTCGGAGCCCGTGGGCAACTGCGTCTTGACCATGGAAGGCAGTGGGCTGGTGAAGGGCCAGCCCCAGATACAGTGAGTAAGGGGGCAGGGGGGCAGGAAGGCTGGTTGCAACTCATCCCTCCAGGCGCCCACATGCATGGGGTGAACAGTTTCAAAATCCCATCCTTGGCAGCAAAATTTAAAATCACAGACTGTAAAACTTTGTTCAGGCAACAACTTGGGAAGGAAGTAAAATAAGACTTACTTACTTTATAACCATGCACTGGATCACAGCAAAAGCAATAATAAAAGCTATGCAAGCAAAATACTTACATTTACAGTATAACCAGCTGGCATCTGCCTGGCACAGGCAACATTTGCCCTCTTTGTGGTCAAAGGAAGAGAGAGGAAGAGAAAGTACTCTATGCTCCTCCCTCTCCTAGAGAGGAGGGGAAATGGCATCACACAGAGCCCTCTCTACCAATTGTATTTCTATGGTCTGAGTCTCTGCCTGTCAGCAATACATCTCGGTGCTCTTAGCTCCTTCTCCGGCTAACTAGCAGGAAGAGGCATTTGTGAGGTTTGGCTGCTGCCCCCTTGGGGGAGGCTTCCACTCCCAGCGCCTGATCTCCTGGAGGAAGTGCAGGCCAAAGGATGACTGGGGAGCAACGCAGTCAGTTCACAGTTCTGCGTCTCTGCTGCTTGGGAGATCTTTGGGGCAGGATCCTCCCCCTGCTCCATGGGTGTGTGAATCTGCACGTGGCCCCTTCTCCTTCCCCGTCCACTGCCAGCTCTGGAGCCATTTCTGAGCAGGAGCATCCCTGGAAGTCAGGGGCCCAGCAACACATTCAGTTGCCTCTCTGGCACCGTGGAACTACGAACAGCAGAGAGACCTACAAGCAGGAAAATATGTGCCTAAAGAGTCTTTAGAAAAAAAGGAATAAGCAACCATACAAACTGGAAGATTTAGCATCCTTTCTGATTTACAGGAGCGTAGCATTGGGGGCCAAAGCCTTTGTTGCCAGTCAGGGAGGGAGAGGAGAAGGCCACGAAGACCCTCTCCCACAGGGGCCTCCATATATCTTCCTGCTCTTTGGTCAAGAGGTTGGATGGCCACCTGTCAGGGACAGAATCAGAGTTGGAACTGTAGAGTTGGAAGGGACCCCTGAGGGTCATCTAGTCCAACCCCCTGCAATTCAGGAATCTCAACTGAAGCATCCTTGATGACAGATGATTTATTTATTTTCTCCACTTCAGGGGGTTGGACTAGATGACTCTTAGGTTTCATTCCAGCTTTACGCTGCTATGGTTTATGCCTCCTTGGCACTGTGAGTGCCCCCCTCCCCTCCCCCGGCCATTTGGGGCTCATCACTGCCTCAGAGCTGGTAAGAAAGGAAAGTGTGCCGTCCCTTTGGTCTCCTCCCTGCCAGGCTCTTCTTCTCTTTGCAGGTTGGGGCCCCTGGGCCCCCGGAAGCAGACCAGCGTCCGGCTCCAGCTGACGCCCTACAAGAGCGGCCCCCGGCAGCTGCACGTCACACTCAAGAGCAGCCAGTTCCCCCCAGTCAAGGGCCACAAGCAGCTGCAAGTGGCCCCCCGCTCGGGATGGAGGTGTCGCAGGGACTGACTAAGCCGGAACCCCCGGCAGCGCCTGGAGGGCCACGACTGCTCAGACCCCCTTTGCCCCCTCCTATAAAAGTCTGCATTCCCATCCGTCGCCGTCGCTTCGCCGGTTCCTTCTGCCGCCGCAGACCCCCGTCCAGGCAGGCAGCAGTCCTTCCGGGGAAGACGCCTCGCTATCCTGCGCCCCAGTCCCGCGCAGACACACCGTCGCTCGTAGGGATAGAGACACTTACCGTAATTGTTCAATCAATGTCATAAAAAACTGCGGCTTACAAAGAGAATAAAACAATTAGGCTGTCAATAAAAGCAACTCTTTAGAACATAAAATCGGCAATAAACTAACGCGTGTGCACAGGCTTTCCTGAACCAGAATGTCTTGCGCACCCTGCTCTCCCCAGCGATGCGAGAGAGGGCGGCGAAGGCGCCTGCCTGAGGTCAAGGGGCAGGGAGTTCCAGAGGGTAAATGCTGCCGCACTAAGCGATCGGCTTTTTAGAAATGCATGACAGTTTGCGCGGCGCCACCTGCTCTTTGTGGCCTGCAGGGAACACACCTGAGCCGCGTCCCGCGAATGGGAAAAACCACACGAAGCGTGAGAAAGCGAACCCAGCAGAAAGCAGCCCGCCCCGTAACGGGCAGCTGCTTGGAAGGGCCCGTCGGAACCGCCCTGCCAGCCGCACGTGGCAGAGATAAGGGCGGCAGGTGACGCCAGCCTGATAAGGAGCCCGGGATAGGCGAGGGGGCCCCACCCCACGGGCCCGGCAGAGGCAGCCTCGCCATCCTCGGCCCCGACCGTCCGCCCGCCCGCAGCCAGCCCGAGGCAAGAGGAGGAAGGGACCGAGCCTGCGGCCCGCAAAGCGCCATGGGCCAAGGTGAGCGGGGACTCCCTGGGCACTGCCAAGCGGTCTAAACCCGGTGCCATCCCAGAGGCGTCTGCTAGGCTCCTCGGCGCAGCATCACAGCGCGGCGCAACGGAGGCTGGCCAGGCGGGCGGGAGCCCCTGGCCTTGTAGGGAGGAGGCCGGCAGGGAGCCACGAAGCGGGGCGAGGGTGCTGGGTGCAAGCTGGGTGCGTCTCAAGGTGGGGGGCGTTTAGGCCCGGCTAAAGCGGGGCGAGTGGGAAGGGTACCAAAAGAGCAGGTGGGTCGGAGGGGGCTGACGAGCGCAGCCCGGTCGAAAGGACTCCTCTACAGCCAAGAGCAGGAGCAGAGCTTTGGGCAGCAACCTCAGTGACCAGGAGGAGTTCGGGGACCAGCCCCGTTCTCACGTGCGGCGTGTGCGTTGCTCTGTCACACCCAGCGGCGTCAGGCAAGACCCCCCTCCCGCGCACTTTTGCAACATGGCTTCCCCCCGCCATTCCAAACAGACCTCAGCACCCTCAGCAGAGTCCCACTTCTCAGGGGTCGTGAGCAGCCCCCTAAGCGTCTTTCAGGGGAGAGAGGGACATTCCTGGCTGCCGCAGTCTGGCGGTCAGTCACTACTGTCCAGACGCCGGCCTCTCTGGCCCATCTCGAGGAGAGCTCAAAGACCCCCGCAGGGCCTCGTGGCCCCTCTCTTGCCTACCTGCGCCCCCGTTCCTTTGCCAGAAGAGCGGGAGGGGAGCGGAAGCGACCCCCGACCCCGCCCTGCGTGCCGCCTGCCCCCTCACCGCCCGCCCTCCTCCCGCCCCGCAGCCCTGCAGGTGTCGAGATGCGACTTGCAGCCGTCGAGGAACAACGCGGCGCACCGCACGGCGGCCGTCAGCACCGAGCGCCTGGTGGTGCGGCGCGGGCAGCCCTTTGCGCTCACCCTCCACTTCCGAGAGCCGCTGCCCGGAGCCCCCCGGAGGTACCTGCGTAAGACCTGCCTGGTCGCCCAGACGGGTAAGCTCCGGAAGAGCCGGAGGCCGAAGACCCGCGGCTCCCCGACGGCCCCGCCGCACCAGGAGCCCCGGCGCGCCTCTCGCGCTCCTCCGGCTGGGAGGGGGGTGGTTGCCGGCTGGCAGAAGCGGCGGGAGCCCACCAGGAGACGCACCGTCTGCAGTTGCAGAGCAGAGCGGGAGGGGGGCGTTAAGCATCACAGGGGAGAAAAGGAGCGGCAGCACATTTGCGCGGCGCCTGGAGGGAATTCCAACCCCTCCAAAAAAGTAAGGCGGGTCAGAGATGAAGGCGAGATGAACAATTGAGAGCGTCCCATTAACTTTCTCAATCATTTCAGCGGTCCTGTAAAGGGGGTCCGCTTTGCTGGGCACACGAGGGGTGGGACTTGCACCTTCGCCAGCAGCAGTGCCCCAGCTGGGGGCGGGGACAGAGAGGACACGCCCACAGACCCTTTTTCAGGAAGCTGTGACTCCTGCATTGCAGCGGGTTGGACTAGATGACTCTCGGGTCCCTTCCAACGCGACGATTTTGAGGTCAGGGCCCCGGGCCACCTCGCGTAGGACTTTTTAGACTGCTTGCCAGCGATCCTCCAGCGCGTTCAGCGGGTGGTGGGGAGGTCTCGGCCAGCTCCACATGGAGACGGTGCCAGGATTTGAACCCGGGACCTTCTGCTTGCAAAGCAACTAACTCTCCCCCAGAGCTAGAATGCCCTTCTCGGAAGGAATGTAGAAAAGTAATTGTGTAGCACCGTCTCCTAAAACAGCTGGGAGGTGTGTCATATGTTTGCACTAGATGTTTTAACACCCCCGTTAAAATCAGTTTGCCCTGAATGAAGCCCTGAATTTGGCCCTGCGGAGGCTCGCCGTCCACCCCACCCCCCGGTCTGACAGGACTGTCGAGGAGAGCTCAAAGACCCCCGCAGGGCCTCGTGGCCCCTCTCTTGCCTACCTGCGCCCCCGTTCCTTTCTCCAGCCAGCCCCCCAGCAGACCTGTCCCCCGCTCCTCGCTGCCTTGCGTCCCCTTTTGGCCATCTCGCGTTTCTGGCTGCAGGGCAGCGGCCAGCCCAGGCGGACGGGTCCCTGGTGCGCTTCCCCATCTCCCGCCAGGGCCGCCAGAGCGGCTGGGAGGCTTTCGTGGACGCCCCCGAGAGCCTCTCTTGGACGCTGACCGTGACTTCGCCCGCCGACGCCGCCATCGGCCGATATTCCCTCCTGCTGCAGCATGGCCGAGGGGCTCCGCGCCCGCTGGGCACCTTCACGCTCCTCTTCAACCCCTGGTGCCAAGGTAGGCAAGACGCGTCGGTGCCAACCAAGGCCAGGATGCCGGAGCCAAGAGGGCAGTGGGTGGGGTCGGAAGGTCTGCTGCGGGGAGGGGGCGGCGCAGGGGGACCCCTGCCAACCAGAGCAGCCCCCTCCCCAGGCTGTGCTGCCGCCGCCCCCCTGACGGCCCGTCTCCCGCAGAGGACAGCGTCTTCCTGCCCAACGAGGCGCAGCGCCAGGAATACGTGTGCAATGAGGAGGGCACCGTTTACTGGGGGCTGGAGGAGGCGCCCCAGCAGCAGCCCTGGGACTACGGCCAGGTGAGCGAGAGACCCATGCCCCCTCAGCCCAGGGGTCGGCTGCGCCTGGCCGGTCTGGGCCAGGTGGGCGGCCGCACCTGCGGGGCTGCTCCTTACTGCTGCGGAAGGCGCGCGCGGAGCGGAGGGGTCGGGATGGTCGGGGGACGCGAGTGGGGCTCCCCCCATCCTCCAGCCTTCAATGCTCCGCCTCCCTTTTCAGTTCGAAGAGGACATCGTGGACCTCAGCCTGGCCCTGCCGGCCTTCGGCCTCTTCTGGTTGCAGGACGCGCCCTGCGCCCAGCGCAGCGACCCTCTCCGCGTCTGCCGCCTGGTCAGCTCCATGGTAGGTGGGCAAGAGCAGGAGGCAGAGTCGCCCGCAGACCCTGCCGGCTTAGTGGAAGCAGCTGCACGTGCTCAGGAACCCGCGGGGCCGGGCCGCTCGCGCCCCCTGCTGGCCACGGGGTGCATTTAGCTGCCATTCCTGCATTGCAGGGGGGTGGACTCGATGACCCTTGGGGGTCCTGCTGGATATTTTTTGATAGGCAGCGGGTCGGATATGTTTTACAATTTATCCTCGCTATTGCTCACATGTGTGAGCAGAACGTTTAAAGTTAAAACAATTAGTCAGCAGAGTTCAAAACCCCATCCTTTGCAGCACTAAAGTGGAAACTTCGGGACTCGGCTGTGTGGCCTTATTGCCATTCGTCCAGGCTGGGGGAACAGACTGGATTTCCCCCTTTCCCTCTTAATGAAAAGAATAACACAGCAGACTGTAGACCAAGCGTGAAAACAGCATTTACGTGCATAAGTCTTGCGTTCCACTCCAGCAGCAACAGTAACAAAAAGAAGACCAGGAAAATGCTCCTTGCAAAATGCATAGTTAAAAAGGAAGTCTCCATAAATGTCTGGCTGCCTCGGAAGCAGCGCGAAAAAGAGAAGAGCTCTGAGGCAGGAGGAACTCTGAGTCTTAACCCTTTCATACCTGCAACGTTATTTCGACTGTGAATTCCCACAATCCCTTCTAACGCTACATTGTTATGTTGGGGGGGGGGGGCTGGACAGGCCGCCTTTCTCCTGGTGCTGCTCACTTTTCTCTCCCCACCCCCCTCCAGCTGAATAGCAAGACGCACCAAGCGATCCTGGAGGGTGGCTGGACCGGGGACTACAGCGACGGGACGTCCCCTTTCCAGTGGCCGGGCAGCGCCCCCATCCTGCGCCGGTGGCTGGCAGCGCGAGGGCAGCCTGTCCGCTACGGGCAGTGCTGGGTCTTCGCGGGGGTCCTGTGCACAGGTACAGGGTCCTGTTCAGGGATGGGCCCCAGGCGAGGAAGGGGCCCCGGCTGCCTGAGATGGTTGCCCCCCCACGCCTACTCTGCTAGCTCTGAGGGACGGGACCCCCTCCTGCGGAAAGGGGTTTAGTGTCGAGGGAGCCGGTGTAAACGTCGCCCTCCTAACGGGGCGTGGGCGAACCTGCCGTTCCCTAAAGCTAAAGGGTTGTGATTCCTGCACGGAAGGGGGTTGGACTGGATGGCCCTGGGGGTCCCTTCCCCGGGAGCCCTCTCGCCGCCCAGCTCCCGCTGCCTCTCTCTCTGCAGTGCTGCGGAGCCTGGGGATCCCCACCCGCGTGGTCACCAGCTTCGCCTCCGCCCAAGACACGGCCGGCCGCCTGCGCGTGGACGAATACTTCGACGAGAGCGCCGCCCTGATCCCCGGCCTCTCCGAGGCTGCCGTCTGGTGAGGCGCCGAAATACTGGAGTGGGAGTGAGGTGGGGAGACGGACGGGCTTCGGGGTCCCCCAAGACGCCCCCAGCCCTAAGACATTCCCCCCCCCCCGGTCTCCCGCAGGCCTTTCCACGCCTGGAACGAGTGCTGGATGGCCCGTCGGGATCTGCCCACCGGGTACGACGGATGGCAAGCCGTGGATGCCACGCCTCAGGAAGAGGGCAGCTGTAGGTCCCACGGGCGGGTGGGGGGCTGAAGGGAGAAGGGGAGGGACACTGGCATTGACCCCCAGCCACAATATGGAGAGAGCGGGATGGGGGAGCAGCTTCCACCTAGAGGGGGGTGAGGGATGGGAGAGAGGCCATCTGTCAGGGATTCGTTAGGTGGGATCATTGCTTCTATGATTGCATTGCAGGGGGTTGGACTAGATGACCGTTCGGGTACCCTTCTCTACAGGTCTTCCGTGATTCTGACTAGCTTGCCCTTTTAGCCACACTGTGTAGCCCCCTCGCCTCCACCTCCACAAGCCAGAGGGGGGCTTCTGCTTGGACCACTACCAGAGGCTAAAACAGGGGTTCCTTGGGCCACAGGGGCCACCCCTACTCCAATTGTTGTCCTCCCCTTCCTCTCCAGACTCCTCGTTTTGCGGGCCAGCCCCTGTCCGGGCCATCAAGGAAGGCCGTCTGGACCTGCCCTACGACGTCGCCACCTTCTTCGCAGCCACCCACGCCACCTGCGCTGCCTGGGTGCGACAGGACAACGGGGACTTCCAGCGTGCCTTTTCCTCCACGAAGTTCGTGGGCAACAACCTCAGCACCAAGGCAGTGGGCAGCGACCGGTGCGAGGACCTCACACACCACTACAAGCACCCGGAAGGTAAGTGGCGCAGGTGAGCTATTGCTCTCTGCTTGGCCCCCCATCCTGGGGTGGGCTCTAAATCTGGCGGCATCTCTGACTCCCCATTCTCAGCCGGTCAAGGAAGAAATTTATCACCTGCTTCCCTGAGGAGCAAAGTGGGAATGGCTTCTGGGTTTTTTGCAGGGTCTGCTGCAGAGAGGGCTGTGCTGAAGAAGGTCTTTCAGGAACAGGAGCGGCTCCAAGACCAGATTGAGGGGGACAGCAGCCCCCCTCAGCCTCCACTCGCCCCTCCGGCCCAGGAAGACGACACAGAACCTCTCCTCTTTGCCCACATCCAGGCCAAGAGCTCCTGGCCGCTGGGGCAAGACGCCCCAGTCTCCGTGTTGGTGGTGAACCGGACTGGGGAGGAGAAGAGCCTGGCACTGGTTCTGGGCGCCCAGCCACTGCAGTATGATGGCAAGGCCCTGGCACAGTTCTGGAAAGAGGAGCATCACTTCACTCTCCCCAGCGGGCACGGTAAGCTTGCTGGGGAGGATTTGCTGATTGCAATTTATCTCTTCAGGCGCCCACATGTGTGGGCTGAACAGTTTCTCAAAATCCCATCCTTGGCAGCAAAATTAAAAGCACAGGAATTAGGCTAAATCCAACTGTGAAGCAAGCTGGCTCTCCCTTTCTTACCCTGATTTAACAAAGAATCAGGGAACAGCCTGGGAAGTAAGTTTAAAAATAGAATTTATTTAAAATCATGCATTGGTTAACCTCAACAGTAGCAGCAAAAGCTATGCAAGCAAAATACTTCTGTTTACAGTATAATCAGCTTCTGGCATCTGCCTGAGCTGGAGCAGATAAAGGGCATGTCTGCCCTCTTGGCTGGTCAAAGGAAGAGAGATGAGGGGAAGTGACATCACACAGAGCCCTCTCTACCAAATGTATTTCTATGGTCTGAGTCTCTGCCTATCAGCAAAACAGCTCTGTGGTCTTAACCCCTTCTCATGCTAATTAGAAAGAAGAGGCTTTTCTTAAGATTGGCTGCTACTCTCCTACACAGAGAACCAAAGTTGGAAGGGGTCCAAAGGGGCATCTAGCCCCTTTGGCACCTCTGGGTAGAGAAAGTGCCTTGCGGCCAGTGCTGACCCTGTAGGGCTAGATGGGCCATTGGTCTGGCTCAGGAGGAGGATGCATCCTGCAAACACCCCTCCCATCTAGTCCAAGTTTCTTGCAGAGGCATCACAGCCTGTGATGGACAAGTCCTTGGTGCCCTCTGTGACTCTCCCTGAGCCCCCCCTGTCTTGTTTTCCAGAGGAAGCCCTGAGCACCACGCTGCCTTACGCAGAATACGGCCCAGCCCTGCGCAACAACTCTCTCTTGCTGAAGCTGACGGCGCTGCTGAGAGACACGGCCTCCCATAGCAACCACCTGGCCTGGCAGGAAATCCGCTTCTGTGCCCCCGGACTCAACATCCAGGTCAGTGGGAGGCCAGAGCAACACCCCCCCGTTTCTCCAGCTAACTGCACAGACACAGCTGAACCCCACTAACACCTGAAGGCAGAGCAGAGAAAAATCAACTACTTTCTAATCCCCCCCTCCAGCAGCTCACGGTGGTACACAGGGTTCTTCCTCCCCACTGCACAACCACCCTGTGAGGTAGGTTCGGCTGAGGAACAGTGATTGGCCCAAGGTCACCCAGGGAGCTTCATAGCTGAGTAGGCCTTTGAACCCTGGTCTCTTCCAGGTCCTGGAGCAACTCTAGCTGTTGCACCACAGTATCTCAAGAAAGGCCTCCTCCAATGCCTGTTTTGAGGGAGTGAGCCCCCAGTCCCCTTTCCTGACCGTGAGCCCTTCAGGGGAGGAGGTCCTTGTTTCTTCAGACTTGGGGTGCCACAGCAAAGCAGGCTGGGTAGAGCCCTGCCCCTCCCCATTAGCAAGCCCAGTGGGTCTATGGCTTCAGCCCACCCCTGCCCCCCAGACCCCCCAATCCCTGTGCTGCCATTGTCCTGCTTTCTCCATGAAGGTCCCTGAGCGCACAGCCCAGTTCCAGGCCACCCAAGCAGAGATCCAGCTCCACAACCCCCTCCCGGAGCCCCTCCCAGGCTGCCTCGTCTCCGTGTCAGGATGGGGACTCATCCACAAGACCAGGAGCTACAGGTGAGGGCACTCCTGGGCAAGGTGGCTTTCTTTGGGGTGGGGGGATCAAGCCCTCTCCATGAAGGAGAGAAGGCTCCCTGGCATTCCAGGTGAAGGCAAAGGCACACACTCCCCATGGCTGGATCAGAGCAAGCGGAGGTGGGAGGGGGTGGGACTGTGCCAGCCCAGCCCCTCTTGTCTGCCAGGATTGAGGGGGAAGGGCTCTCTGCTGAGGTGCCAGCTGGATTCACCTGCTTGGCACCTCTGATAACAGATGGCGGGGTGGTGTTTATAGGCTTGGGGGGGGGGGGAAAGGTGAGGAGCTGCTCTTAGAATCATTGAATTGGAGAATTGGAAGGGACCCCGAGGGCCATCTAGTCCAGCCCCCTGCAATGCAGAAATCTCAGCTCAAGCATCCCTGACAGCTGGCCATCCAGCCTCTGCTCAGAAACCTCCCAGGAAGGAGAGTCCCCCACCTCCCCAGGGAGTCCCTTCCGCCATCAAACAGGTCCTCCTGTCCAAAGTTCTTCCTGGTGTTGACATGGAATCTCCTTTCTTGGAACGTGAGTCGTGCCCGAGATGCCCCTTGCCAGTCTACCATTCTGATTCCGTGAATCCATCTGGAGCAGGAGAAAACAGGCTTGCTCCATCCTCCTCCTGAGCTGCCCCTCCTCAGGAGAGCTGGCGACCCCCTTCTGCCCCTAACAGCCCCCTCTCCTCCTCTCTGCAGGCTTGGAGACATCCCAGCTGGCAGCAGCAAAGCGCTGAGGATCCCCTTCACGCCGACCCAGGCCGGGCCCCGGAGGCTGACAGTGCGTGCAGAGAGCCCCCTGCTCCAGCCCCTCAAGGCCTGCAGGACCATCCAGGTGGGGGCAGCAGCTTAGAGCTTCTCCAAAGCAACAGGACCCCTCCCCCGCATTACCATTAAATGCACTTGGAGTGACACCCCTCAGACCGTGGCTCCTTCCTCATCAGCCCAGTGCGGGGGAGCCCTTTCCAAAAGCAGCAGCCCCCCTGTCCCCAAAGCAAGCGGGCTGCTCTCCTGCACTGCTGTTTAGCAGGTAGAGCCAAAGGACAAGCGGCGCCTGTGCGGCTCCCTCCTTCCCCTGCGTTACGTCTCGGCCTGCAGTCTCCTTGGGGCAGAGACCTGGCTTCCTCCGGTGCTTTGTGAAGCCCCAGGTGCATGGGTGAGGCGCTATAAATGATGAGGAGCACACAAGACTTTCTCTAGCGCAGGAGCCTGGCCAGCACAAGCACAGGGGGGACTTTATTGCCCACCCCAGAGCACAGGGGCAGCAGCTATGGGGTCCCGCAGGAGTCCTGCCTCCTCCCTCTTCTGCAGGCAGCCACAGAAGGCACCCATGGGTCCGGCACCCCTCGCACAGGGGGTCCCATCAAAGGAGCCCTTGGGTCAGCTCTTTGATTTTGTCCATGTTGTGGTCAACTGCCCCGGCCAGGAACTGCACCCAGTTCTCTTCCGACGGAGGGCAGACAAAGCTGGCGCTGGGGAGGGAGGAAAGAGAGAGATGCAGGTGAGCAATGGGGGGCCACCCTGACAAGGCCCCCAGTCCCAGCATCGAGGGCGATTGTGCTGCAGCAAAAGGCTGGCTAGGTCTTTAAGACGGAAACCGTTTCCCCACCAGCTGTGCCCCTCTGCCCACCCCCCCAGGCGGAAGTGGCAGAGACAGAGGAGAGGCTGCCCTGCTCACCTGGTCAGTTCCAACATCTTCTTTAGCACAGACGCCAACTTTGCAGCCTAGAAAGAAACAAGATGTCAAGCCCAGAGCCGCTGCTCCTGGAATTTCACCTTTTCTAGGAAAACCAAGAGTCCAACAGGAGCAGGTGGTTTCTCGTCCGCTGGCCACAAGGTCCGGCAGGCAAGTGTGAGGCCTTCTTAAAAGGGCTTCTCCCTTTGGCACTCCCTGGCTGGCACCGTACGGCCCCTCGGACACAGCCTTGACCTTTCACCCCTGAACAGAGGGAAGGGCTGTCCCAACTCAGGGAGGAGGACCAGGTCAATCTGCCAGCAGCACCTCCACGTAGGGCTGGGGAAGAGGCCCTCTGGCCTCAAACCGCAGAGACTCCCTGGCCAGACAGCGTGGGCCGTCCTTGGTTCAGCGGCAGCTTCCTCCATTTCTGTGCAAGAGAGACCACGGCTGCCTTTGCCGAGGGCAGGGAAGGGAAGGGAAGGGGAGGCCAGCTTGGGAGAGGAGGAAGGGAAGGGCGATCTGCCACGGGGCATCAAGCACCCCCTTTTCCAGGGGGCAGGAGAGGCCCCTCAGCCCCAGGGGCAACTCTCCGCTTGCACAGTCTTCTCTCCCGCAGGCCATCTTGGGGGTCCCAGGCCCCCCACCCTCATGGGCTGAAGTGGGCAAATAGGATCTCCCCAAAGCTGCAGAGGACCAGAGGCTTCCCCTAAAAAGCTTCATCGTCCCAAATGGGCAACTCACATTCAGCCGCAGAGCCAGCTGGTTCACAGGGGGGTAGGTGCTCAGCACCAACTCGTCCACACTGCAGAATAAAACAGGAAGGAGGAGGGGTCAGGGGAGGGTGCCTTGCCGTTTCCTGCCCCCCCCCAGCCCCCAACCCAAAAGAGAGGCAGCCTGAGGGAGCACAGCATGCACTGGACTCGGCTGCAAGGCTCCTGGCGCCCCCTTCCTCAGGCTCATGCAACCCTCGGGGGGGGGGGGCTTTCCAAGGACAGAGTGGAGCAACCCTGCAGGGAGGGCGTTGGGACTGGTCTTGCTGCCCTGGCCCACCCCCTAGGCCACAGCAATCCCCCCAAGGCTCCCCCGGCTGCCTCACCTGGGGCTGACGTCTCCTGCAATGTCGGCCAGGTCGTCTAACTGAGCCACCTGCTCAGCCTTGTCGGTCCTTCCACGGCCTCTGACGGCCCCCTGGACCCTCTTCAGGCAAATCTTGGCGGCCTTCACCAGCCCCAGGCAGGGGCCAAGCAGCTGCCGGTCAGCCGCTGACCAGTAAGTGTCCCTGTTTGCCCGCGAGCCCAAGTCCTCATCCTCCAGGACATCACTGTACGGGTCTCCACCTTCAGTCTGCGCCTGAGCAAAAGGGACATGCCAGTCACACTCTCATCCCGCCCCCCCCAGGCAGGGAAGGGGGTGGGCATCCACCGTCCCAGTCACGGGAATACCAGGGGGGCCACCAAGTTGCTAACCTCCCCAGTCGGGCATTACAAGCAAGGAGGGAGGAAATAAGACTGATAGGATTGTGGAGTTGGAAGGGACTCCAGGTGTCATCTAGTCCAGCCCCCTGGCAGCTCCCAATGCAGGCGGGGGGGGGCGCTAAGGGAAGTGGGGGGAGGCAACCACAGCGCATCTGGGGATTCCCAGGTCTGCAGCGCAAGAGGGAATCCAGTCAAAACCCTACTAGATCAAGGAACAGTGTTACACCTTGTACCTGCTGCTTAATTATGCTTCCCCCTAACTTTTAGCTATTACATCTCCTTCTGTATCTGAATGGGTTGAGAAAATTTGGACTGCAGTAGCTATGATCAAGCCAAGTTATTATAAAATAACACATATAAAGCAGTTTACCCCTTTCTCCCATAAACCTGTTATTCTGGAATAACATGTTCAGTGCTAACGCCCAACCTCATGCTGCTTTCAACTTGCTGAGTATTTCTGTATGCTCCTTATCTTTGGTTTATTTTGTCAATTAATGAAATGTAAAAACCCCCAAACCTCTATTAGGCCAAAGGCTCCCTCTGACAACCCTTCCTATCTCAGTAGAGCAGATTTACAGGAAAGCCAAGCCAGTTTTTCATGGCGGCTGCATAAGCTATTAAGAGCCCAGAGCAGAGGGGCGAAGCCCAGGGGTGGGGGCTCTATCAGGGCAGCCCAGGCAAGGCAGGAGCCCTTATCCGGAGAGGCGGCCTCTAGCCTGCGTGGGGCGACAAATGCCCTTATCTGCCCCCAGAAGCCACACAGCAGAAGAGGCAGAGGGGAGAGTGGCACATCCAAAGGGGGGGGCAGTGCCAGGTTTAAGTATGGGTTGAGCAGGCTGCATTATGGGGGGGTGGCTTGGACTTTTGCCAAAATAAAAATTAAGAAACAGGCAGATTTTACTATCTGGGCCCAGTAACAGGAAAGAATGAGGTGCTCCGTCAAGGGTCAATATGGCTTTCGTGAAAGGCATGAGCCCATTTACTGCCCCTGAACAAACACCCCCACCCCAATTTCAGAAGACTTTACATTCTGGCAATCTGCATTCTGACCTGAGCCCACCGTGTGACGCAGCGTCTGAAAAGGCAAATGCAATTTCAGGATACCTAAATGTTGTGCTTAAACCCATTGGTCTGACGCTTCAAACTTAGAGGCTTTCCAGTTGCAGAATAGGGATGGTGATACCCCCTGCTCTCTTGCAAGTGAAGCCGGCAGACAGCCCCCCCCCGACAGCCCCCCTCCCTGCGCACCTGCTTCATCTCCTCCAGTGCGTCATTGACAATCCCCAGCGCCTGGGTAATGGCCAGGGTCACAGCCGCCTGGTTATCTGTGGGGAGAGAAGAAAGGGAGGAGGAGCAAGGCAAGAAGGGGAAGCAGCAATGGCAGCGCCAGGGGTGGCGTCCCTCGCCCTGCCCCACCCTGCCCCCAGGCTGCCCTGGGGTGGCCCCTGACTCACCTCGAGGCATCCTGAAAACTCGGCTGCAGGCCTCCCAGACGCCTCCCGTCGAGACAAGCTGCTCCTGCGAGAGGCTGCAAGGGAGAGCGGAGAAGCGTCAGGAGGGGGCCCCAGGCCCAGGGGGGCCTCCACTTTTGCGGCAAGGCCCACGGGGGCGGCAGAGGAGGGTGCCCCACTCTCTGGGGAGAGACGTCCTGCACCTCCTGCCTCCCCCCAGCATTCCCTGGGAAGGTGAGGGCCGGAAGCAGCAGCAGCAGCTCACCTCTGCAGGGGGGTCCGAAGGATGACCTCGATCAGCTGAATCATCCCCTCCACCACCTGCACCGTGGCATCGCGCACTGCTCTGCGCAGGGTGGTCCCTGCAGGGGGCAAAGAGAGCCCCATCACCGCTGCCCTGCCTCCTTGGCACTCACGCACAGAGACTGCAGGCAGCCCCCCCCCCAGACCTCGTATAGAACCTCAGGCTTCTGGTTGGAAGGGACCTTGAGGGTCATCCAGTCCAACCCCCTGCCATGCAGGAATCTCGGCCACAGAACCCACGACATCCATCTCTGCTTCACAGCCTCCAAGGAAGGCGAGTCTGAGCTGCATAGCTCAGCTGCCTGGTGCTGATAAGGCCGAGGTGGCAGGTTCGATCCCCGTAAGGGACAGCTGCAGGGGGTTGGACTGGATGACCCTCAGGGTCCCTTCCAGCTCTACGATTCTATGGGAGACGGCTCCACTGCCCAACAGCTCTTCCTGTCAGAAAGGTCTTCTGAATGCTGAGTCGGAATCTCCTTTCTTGTAAACTGAACCCACTGCTTTGGGTCCTGCCCTCCAGAGCCGGAGAAAACCAGCAGGCTTCCTCTTACATGGGGCAGCCCTTCAGAGAAGCGAAGACGCCTCCCCTGCTATTGGGGGCCCCTTCCAACACTACAATTCTCGGACTCTTCTTTTCTCGCCAGCACAAGGTGCAGGAGCCCAACCTAGTGCCTGCCCCCCGGCCTGCTCCTCACACGCTGCCCCCCAGAGAACCCCCTTGTCCCTGCCTCGCGGGGCCCCATCTTGCTCACCTTGGCCCTTGGGGAGCTGGTAATACACGGAGGCGGCTGCCAGGACAGCGCTTTGCACCCCTTCCGCCAGGCTCTCCTGCTCCTGCAAGGGGACAGCACCCAAAGGTTACCTGGCTCACAAGGCAGCAGGCCACCCCCACGCCGCAAAAAAGGCCCTGGGCTCAGACAACTAGGCTGGGCAGGATGGGGGGGGGAGAGGAGAGATCTGGGAGCATTGAGGGAGAATTATCGGAAGCCTGTGAAATTAAAGCAAAGAATGGATCAAATGAGAGAAGGACCCCCCCCAGTGGCCTCGCCAGCTGCTCAGGTGCCTGGAGCGATGGATGCGCCCTCTGCCCAGGGGCAGGGCAAGCCACCCACTGGGTGGGGTGAGCTGGGGCAGGGCCGCTGCATGGAGCCTGGCCACCACCGCCCCTCAGCTGCCGTTTGGGGCAGCGTGGCGCCTGCAGGTGCCCGAGCCACCAAGTCACCCCCAGGAGAGAGACATGGCTTGGGCACCCAGTGCCCCCCCCCCCGCCACACCTTTGCTCTTGATTCCAGGAATAGAGAGTGTTGTTCTGTTCGGCATCATCATCATCATATATTCCCTGTGGCATTTTTAACTGTCAGGTTAATTCAGACTCCCCTAGCCCCCTGCCATTTTGTCACCCCCCCCCTTAGTGATGACACCGGGGCGGCCCGCACCCACCGCACCCCCTTCCTATGTCACTGAACCCTCCCCCCCCCGGCCGCGTGAGAAATGGCCAGGATGGGGGGGGGGGAGGGACGGGGGCTCCGGGAAGCCCCTCACCCACCTGGAGGGAAGGCGGCGGGGGTCTCGAGAAGGCCAGGCTCAGCTTGGTGGCTTCCTGCGAGGCGGCCTGGAAGGCTTCCTCTGCGGAGAAGGGCGGGAGGGTGAGGCGGGGGGGGGTCGCGGGGAAAGGCCCCTCCGGCCAAGGGGGCAGCCCATCCCGGGGGGGGTCCCTGCAGCCTCGCCCCCCCCGCCCCGAGGGGTCTCCGCGAAGGCGGCACCTACCCAGGGCCTCCCAGAAGCGCCCGGCCTCGAAGCCTCCGGCGCCCTCCCGGCTCTCGCCGCCTGCAAGAGAAGCGTGCCTCTGAGCGCCTGCAGAGCGCCGCCCGCCCCGCCCGCCCCCCCCCCCCCGCCCCGGAGCCCGCGCGCACCTCGCAGCTCGCCCAGCGCCGCGCTCAGGGCCTCCCGCACCCGCCGCAGCGCCGCCGGAGACCCGGGAGACGCCGCCATCGCCCAGCAGGCCGCGCCCAAGGGGAGCAGGCGCCGCCCCACTTCCGGGGAGGCTGCGCGGCAGGCAGGCAGGCAGGCAGGCAGGCAGGCAGGCGACGGGGCGAGCGGCCGCGCGGCTGGAGCCCAGGGCGCCCTCGCCGGCCCCTCGCTTGGCACCCAGGAAGGGAAGCGGGGGCTGGATCCCGCCCGGAGTGACGCTGCCCCCGCCTCGCATCCCCGCGCTCTGAAAAATCAGGAATGTCGGAGGGTTTCTTGTATTTTTTATATTTTGTGGGAAGCCGCCCCGAGTGGCTGGGGGTATGCATGTCTGTATAATAATAATATTAATAATAATAATAAATGAATGTTCTCCCTGAGCCACGCGACGGAGCCAAGCCGGCCTTTCCTGGAAGCCGACCCCTCGCTCCTGCCCCGCACATGGCGGCTCCTACAACCCGCGGCAGGGAACCGGAGCTGTGGGTGAAGAAGCCTCGCCACCGCAACCCTCGACGCCGAGCGGCTCCGCTTCCGGAAGTCTCTTGACCGAGGCAGTTGCGGGAGCGAGGGGCGCATGCGCAGCCGCCTCCACGTGCGCCCGGCCGAGCAGAGCCCTTCGCGGCGCGGCTCCTTCCTCGGGATCCCCGCGTTGCCGAGCGGGGTCCCTCCCAGCCCTACCCTTCTGTGCCTGCGAGAGTATTGCTAGGCTGCCCTGCCTTATTATCAGGATGGTGCACCATCTTGTTCCCGGGAAATTGGAAGGGGGTGAGAGACTCCCCCCCCCCCACGAGCCTTGCCTCTCCACACCTCCAGGGAAAGACACGGAGTCTCCGCTGCACATCACCAAGCCATTCACTCACACAGGCATTTATTTCCCTGCCTTCCAGCCCTCACAGCAGCATCTCTGCAAAGGGATCGCATCTTGCAAGGGGAGCTCAGCTCAGGGGCCCGCGACTCCCTGCCGAGCCCTAGGTCTCCAACAGAGGAAAACACGGGAAGTGTCAATACCAAATGTAGCAATTCACGGATAAATGTTTCTATGTACTGGCTCAGTGGGAAAGCTTTAGAAATTCACAAGAAATCACTTGTTGCATCAATCTCCGTTCCAATGGTATTTAGGATCCAGGGAAGTGAGGTATTAGGGGAAAGGTGAGAGAGCCCACCATAATCCCTGAGATGTACAGTCACATCCGCAGGAGTCATGACTGGTGATATCCTGCTCCAAAAATGTCAGACAGATAACCATCTCAATCACATTGCCTACCTGCCCCATAGTGGGATGAAGCTCCATCAAGACAAAGGGGTGTATTTGACTTGACTCAGGGATCTGGAAACTGTAAATGCTTTCCTTTGTACTGCAATTGACAGGGGCATGCCTGGATCTCAGGTTCTACCTGAGACCACACATTTTTTTTGTATTATGGGAAACTTTGGAATACGCATGTAACCCATTGATCTGCTTTTCTGGCTGCTGTTTTGCTTCTATCTCCTGGCTGAAGTCTCTTGTGTGTGACCCCGACCTGAACCTAAGGGAGTCAAGGTTAGGTGACTGTGGGGTGCTCCCTGTTACAATGTTAAAACATAAAACGCCATTTCAAAAACCAAAATATAGGTAACTGGCTAATCGAAATACATAGTAAACAGTGGCACAAAAAGTGCCTTTGAGAGATGCCTGGAAGTGCAAAGGGAGGGTGCCTGCTGGATCTCTCTTGGGAGTTTCCCAGCAGTGGTCCAGAGACACCACAATGAACAGCTCTCCCCCCCCAGATCTGTGATGGAGTTTGAGTTGCTCAAGCTTTGCATATCCGCAAGAGTCAGGACGCAGCAGCATGTGAGCAGCCATCACAGATGCATTATTTAGCAGAGATGTCGCATGCTGCTGGTTTTGTCCCCTGAATTCTGCGCCCTCCCAAGGGCTGCACTGCAGAGAACCCATTGCAGTAATCCCGCCTCAAGTTTACCAGGCAATGGCCTAGAGGGGGCATGCAATCCTGACCCAGTTATGGCCGTAGCTATCACAGCAGGTGAAGCTGGTGAAAGGCCCTTGTGGCCACAGCCCCGTCTTGCCCCTCTCCAGCTAAAGGGCATTCTTCATGGGGGCTCCAGGAGCAAACCTCCCTGCCGGGAGAGCCCCACGGGCACAGGCACCCTCCCAGGAGCAGCTCCAGCCTGACCCAGAGGGGACCTTTGGCATCGTCCAGGACACAAGCCCTTTCCTGGCCCCCACAGAAGGATGCCGTCCTCCCACAGAAAAGACACTCAGAAGCACAACGGGGGATCCGCTATGACAAATTTATTTGCAACAGTAAAATCTGGCAGGCAGAGGGTTGTCAGGACAGGGGTGCCATGAGCAGAGAGTGGGGCCCTGCGCTGCCCAGTCTCAGCCCCTCCGACAACCCAGGGTCATTATCTGTTTCACAAAAGCGATAGACTACTTGATTGTAAAAGCACTTTGACACTTGTCATCTTGCTTCTTTGGAAAAGACAGAGCAGGCGGGAAGCAGGTGGTGGCTCCTGGAGCTGCAGGGCAGGTGAGGAGAGACAGCAAAGAGCAGATACCCGAGTTGCCTTTACCTGCTCACCTTCCTGTTTGCTTCATCTCACCCACTGCTGTCATGTTAAAAGCTCTGCAACTGTTTCATTGAACCAAGTCCACCATGATAGGGGGCCCAAACGTGGTAAAAAATATTAATACGTGATAAAAATATTAAAATATTTTATGGAAAGCAGCTCCCGTGAGGGGGGGCCGGCCTCCTAGCGCAGGTAATTATTCACGTTCAAGCGGTTGGCCTCCTCGGACCAGGCAGCGTGGGTTGCCCCGTCCATCTCAGGGGCGAGCCGGTTGCTGGACTCCAGCGTGTGGTGCTCGCCCCCAATGGTCTCCCGGCATTCCGGGCAGCGGGTCGTCTCCATGGCCCCCCCGCACTCGCCAATGACGTAGAAGTGCCCGTTGCGGCACTTGAACCAGTGCCCGCGGGTGGCTCCGCTGACGGCCGCCACAATCTGCTTCCTTTCCTCCTCGGAGATGCCCAGCCCGGCGACGGTGGGCAGGACGGCCTCCAGCTCCTTCAGCTTGGCCTTCGCCTCTCTCTCGGCCTCGGGGGTGAACCTGCCAGGCCCCTCCAGGACCTTCCGGGCCGCGCTGACCAGCTCCGCTGTGCCGGGGGCCCGGCTGGCCTTCTCCCCAGCGGTGCTGCACCTTGCCAGGAGCTCCACCAGGTAGGTCATCCGCCGCAGCTCGGTGCGCAGCTCAGACACCTGCTGCCCGCTGAAGCTGTCGCGGGGCTGGTCTAGCCAGCCGGCCACCTCGGCCAGGCGCCTCCTCACGCCCTCCTGCTCCTGCTGCGCCAACTTTCCTACATTGGCCATCAAGCCTGCCACCTGCGCGTAGAAGCCAAAGAGGGTCTCCACCAGCCCCAGGGTGCTGGCGGAGAGGGAGTCGTCCTCCAGCCTCTCCCTCAGCTGCTTGTGCTGCCTGGTCAGGTAGCGCCTCAGGGTGGTCTCCTGCTGGAGTGCCCTCATCAGCTGGAGGGCGCCCGAGGCGATCTCTGCCGAGCTGCCCTGCATGCGCCCCTTCACCACCTCCACCTCTGCCAGGCTCCTCTTCACCAGCGTGCCGTAGCGCAGGCTCTTCCGGACGGGCGTCTGGCAGCTGGGGCACACCTTCAGCCGGACAGCCCCTTCCTCTTCCTCCTCGTCGCCATCCATGTAGCGGTCGAGGCCCAGCGCACTGAAGATGTGCCCACAGTCCTCCAGCTGCACAAAGCGGGCGTCCGGCTCATCCTCGCAGCCAAAGAAGATCTGCGTCAGCTCCTCCGCGTCACAGGTCAGGCACTTCTGCGGGCAGGGCTCCCCACACAGCCCGGCACAGGGGTGCCCGCAAGGGAGGTGCTTGGGGCAGGGCACGTCGCAGCGCGGCCGGTCACAGGGCTCAGAGCACAGGCGCCTGCACTGGTGGTGCTGGCAGCGCCACTCGCAGGGCTCCATGCAGGGCGAGCAGGGCGCCCCGCACTGCTTGGGGCAGCGGCTATGGACGCAGCGGTTCTGGCAGGGCTGGCGGCACGGGGGGCAGTCCCTGGTGCAGGGCTGGCGGCACTGGTGGCCGCAAACCAGCGGGCGCTTGCAGGGGCTCTGGCACGGCTGGTGGAAGCGGCCCCCAAAGCAAGCGTGGCACGAGCCTGGGCAACGATGCCCACACTCCAGGACGCTGTCACACTTCGTCTTGCAGTGGATGGGAAGCCCGTATGCCATCTCTGACGCTGCTGAACATGGCACCTCCTGGCTGTGCCCACATGGCAGCGTCGCCAGGACCAGCTCTGGGCAGCGCCTCTTGCACTGCTGGCCGCAGGTGAGCCGGCAGGCATGCCCGCACTCCAGGGTTTTCCCGCAGGGCTCCTTGCAGCAGAAATCCTCGGCAGCCATCGAGCAGGGGACCTGTTGCTGGTGGCCGCACCTGGGCACCGTCTTGGGCACCTTCACCTGGCACTTCCCGCAGGGCTCACAGCACAGCTGGGGGCAGCGGTGCCCGTTGTCACACAGCACCTTCTGGCAGGGCTTCAAGCAGCGGAGCTCCTTGTGCTGCGGGTCATAGGGGTGGCACGCCCGGGGGCAGACGTGGCCGCAGCCCAGGCGGGTGTCGCAAGGGACGCTGCAGCCCCCCTCGGGCACCTGGCGGAAGTCCTCTGCCTGCACCACGTCCGTCTTGGTCTGCGGGTGGTTCTGGCAGGCCAGGCGCAGCGCCCGGCCCACGTGGCCCTTCTCGCGCAGAGTGTGCAGGATCCTGCTCCAGAGGGGCACCTGGCGGAGCATGCCCATGTTGCCCACACAGTAGAGGCCCTTTTTGGCGCGGGAAAGGGCCACGCAGATGCGGTTGGGGATCTGCAGGAAGCCCACCCGCCCCGCCAGGTTGCTGCGCACCAGGGAGAGCAGGATGATGTCGTTCTCCTCCCCCTGGTACTTGTCCACCACGTGGACCTTGATGCCCTGGAAGTCCTTGGCCGGCAGCAAGCGGCGCAGGCAAAAGAGCTGCCCTGTGTAGGTGGTGAGGATGCTGATCTGGGAGGGCTGGTAGCCCTGGTGCAGCAGGTAGCGGCACAGCTCCACCACAAACTGGGCCTCGTGCTGGTTCTGGTGGCTGCGGCCCTCCTGGATCTCCTGCTCGAGGAAGCTGTGCTCCACGAAGAAAAGGTTGGAGGAGACGCCCTGAGCAGAGAGGAGGAGAGGAGAGGAGGCTGCTGAGCTGGCAAGGCAGAGTCTCCGGGCCAAAGGCTGCCAGCCAGCCAGGCGGAGGCGAGGGGAGGGGAGAGATGCTCACCTTGATGTTCTCGTAGCGGAGCACCGAGGGATGGTTCTCCAGGTCCTGGTAGATGTGAGGGGTGAGCAGCTGGGCGATCTCTGGCCTCATGCGGTGCTGCAAAAGGGCAAGCCGAGGGAGAGGAGATGGAGGGGGGAAGGCAACCGCCCTCACGGAAAGAGGGGCTGCCTCAGGCGGCCACCGCCCTTCTCTGCTTCAGGGTCTGAGGGGCGAACCATGTCTGGCTGCCTCTGGGCCGCCCACCCTAGAGGAGAGTAGCCAGGGGCTGGGGCTGCCCCCAGCCAGGCAGGAAAGGCTCCCAGCTCTTCTCCCCTCTTTCCTCGCTTGTGCGTGAAAGAGAGAAACCCCCATTTGGAGGCTGTCAATGCTTCCCAATCCCAGCTGCTGGAAACCGCCCCCCCCAGGGGAGCCAGTGCTCTTGCACCCAGATCCCAACTTTGTGGGTTTCCCTTTGGAGATCTGCTGGGCCTCTCGGAGGCGAGGCCGCTGGACCGGCTGAGCCCCCTTTGGCCTGATCCAGCAGCCTCCACAGAGCGAGCAAGGGGAGGGGGCCGGGGGGGGGCCCTGCTTGTGCCTCACCTGGAAAGCGAGGCGGACGAAGGGAAGGCCGACCTTCACCAGCCGCTCAAAGAGAGAAACCTCCAGGTGGAAGTTCCTGGCCAGGTCGTAGACGTTGGCGCTGGGGCGCAGCTGCAAGGAAAGAAGGAAGATGGAGCCTGTGGGGTGGGGGGCGGGGGAGAAGGGGTGGGGCCCAAGGCCAGCAGGCCCCGCCCCTCATCTGGCCCACCCACCCACCTACCTGCTGGTGGTCTCCAATGAGGATGAGGTGCTGGCAGGCCCTGCTCAGCGTGGTGATGACGTGGGCCTCAAGGACTTCAGCCGCCTCTTCCACAATGACCACGCGAGGGGCCACCTGCTGCAGGACCTGGCGGTACCGAGCGGCTCCTGGGGTGAGACGGGGGGGGTGAGGGGACGCCCTGATCTCTGCCCCCTCTGCCTCCAAGCCAGGCTTCTGCCTCCAATTGGAGGAAGTGTGAGGGCAACGGCAGCAACTACCAAGAGTAAGGCCCACGGGCAGCCCTGCAGGCGTGTTGTGTTGCAGCTGGGCACAGGTGAGAGAGGCTCCTCTTCTCTCTCTCCCCCCCCCGTCACAGGTGGGCCCCCCAGGGTGTGTGGGGCAGCTTGCTGCACAGCCTCCTCCTCACCTGTGGTCGTCATGCCCACGATCTGGGCTGTCCTGAAGACACAGAGGTCCTGGTGCTGGCGAAGCTCAGCCAGCCTGTCGGCCGCCGCCTGGTACTTCTCTTTGTGCTGCACCATCTCGCGCTGGATCTCAGCTTGGTGCTTCTGCAACCAGTACCTGTGCGGCACAAAGATCAGGCTCTGCCCTTAGGCAGAAAGAACCAGGGGCACCAACATAGGAGGGGGGACGCCTGGCTTACTAGTGGCACGTGTGAAAAGGATCACAAGCTGAACACGAGCCAACTGTGTGATGGAGCAGCAAAAAATGTGAATCCACAGAGGTGGAGTGTCCAGATCAAGGGAAGTCATAGTCCCACTCTATGCTGCCTTGGTCGGACCACACCTGGAATAATGTGTCCAATTCTGGGCACCACAATTTTAAAAGGATGATCCAGGGTCAGTAAACCAAGCCTTATGAGGAACTGGGGATGTTTGGCGTGGAACAGAGGAGGCTGAAAGGAGATGTGAGACCTGTCTTCAAGTATCTCAAGGACTGAGAAGAGGGAGCAAGCTTATTTTCTGCTGCTTGGTGGGTAGGACTTGAACCTGTGGCTTCAAGTTGCAAGAAATGAGACTCTGACTCAACATCAGGAATAACTTTCTGAGCATAAGAGCTGTTTGACATTGGAATGGGCTCCTTGAGAGGTTGTAGACTCTCCATCCTTGGAGGTTTTTAAGCAGAGGAGGTGTAGGGGGGTGGGCATGGGCGCCAGAGGCCCCTGCAGCAGAAATTACCTGTAGAGCTTCCAGCGGGAGCTGAGGTTCAGCTGCCACACATCCAGGACGGCCTCGGCCTCCTCTTTGGTCATCGCCTGCCATTTTTTCAGTTCCGCCTTTGCTTGTCGCTTCATCTTCTTCTTCCGGCCCGGCTGCAGCTGCAGAGAGAACCCCAAGTGGGCAGGTGAGGAGGAGGCCGGGGCAACCCCTGTCCTGCCCGCCTCAGGGGCAGCGACAACAGAGCTTTCACCCCCTCCAATGCAACGCACTGTGTCCCCCCCCCCAATACCTGAAACCCAGCGTTTTCTGCCCCATGTGGGGCTCTCTGCTCCCCCTTCTCCTCATCATCCAACCGCATGGCCAGAAACAGGTCGTCCAGGTTGTGCCTGGGGGGTTTCCTCCTCCGCAGCCGCCCGTCCTCATCGTGGTCCAGCAGCCGCTCGCGCTGAATCAAGTCTGCCTCCTCCACGACCTGCAGCAGCTCTGGCTCTGCCTGTGGGCCTTCCTCCGCCTCCTGGTCTTCCTCAATGCCTGAAGGGCCACAACGAGACTGGTAGGTGGCGGCAGAGAGTGGGAAGGCCCCAGGCTCCTTCCGTGTCTCGAACTCGCCACCTCATCCTTGTCCCACCCAGAAGCTGCCCAAAGGAAAGCCCCTTACCTGCATTTTCTGGCCATCCTGGATCGGCCGTGTTTTCAACCGGCGTGGCGCCAAGTCCCAGCCACTCCAGTATCAGAGAGTGCTTTGGATCCATCCAGTCCTCTTCCTGGAGCAAGAAGGAGCAGCTCAGACAGGCTCAGCGGTGGGCAGGTGCCACAGTCCCAGGGACCCCAAGACAGGAAGGCAAGCAGGAGCCGGGGGCCACGAGAGGGGCGGGGGCAGGCGGGGAACCCTTGCAACGGCCTCGTGCTCCCAGAGAGCCAGGAGGTCTCTCTGCAGCAGAGGTTCTTCTGGGGAAATCTCCCTCCAGGGCGATGAGTCTTTCCTGGGTGCTGACGGTTTAGTGTGGCAGCACCTGCCCTTGGGAACTCCCTGCCCCTTGACGTCAAGCAGACGCTGCCACTTTGCTCTTTTTGGTGCCTGCTGAAAACTTCCTTTTTAGATAAGCCTAACCTCGATGGTTAGAAACTTTCAACATTCTGAATTTTTATGGATTGTTTCTTTGTATATAAACACACACACACACACACACACACACACACACACTCAAATTTCAAGCAGGTGCATCTATCGATTTCATGAAATAAATAAATAAATAAATAGGATGGTTTCTTCCATGACTGGAGTACCCATCAGCGAGGAATTCCTCCCCGTCAGAGCAGCCAAAGCAGCTCACACTCTCGCCCAAGACTTTGGCCCCTGCTCTGTTGCTTCCAGCTGAAGGGCTGGAGAAGCCCTTGAGGAGTTGGGGGGCTCCCCCTCTGCTTTCCCAGGGGCACTTGGTCCCTAAGACGGAGAGATCCTGGTGGGGTGTCTTCTTGCGGGGCCGCCTTCTGATGCCCCCCCCAGGTGCATCCCTCCTGCTCCTTACCAGGCCCCTCACGAGGCTCGCCCAGTGCTGGCTGGAGATGCAGCTCCGCAGGTGCTTCTCGTGCAGAATCCCGTGCAGCCCGCACTCCAGCTGAGCCGCCCCTCGGTTGAGTTCGAACTCGGCCTCCCGCATCTCACAGGTGATCTGCCCTCGGGAAAAAGAGGCCAGGTCAGCCCCTCCAGCGGACAACGCCCAGCAAGGGATCAAGACCCAGCAGAGGACAGCTGGGGGCGCCCGGCCGGGCAGCTCCGCTCCCGCCCTTCCTCTGCTGGCACCTCCAACTGCTCTCCCCCCAAGGGCGCCCTGCTCTGTCCCTCTGCTCCGCCCAACCTCCAGCTCTGGCCCTGGTCTGGGGAGGCAGCGTGGAGCTCCCTTTCAGCACCAAGGCAGCAGTTCCACAGGTGCTGCGCTCCAGTGACAAAGCAGCCCTCAGCTCTGGCTGTGGCCTGAACATCCAAGGTGAAGAGATGTCCGGCTGTGTAACAGACTCCCCCAGAAGGGGGGCAGTCTCTCCTTCCTTGGAGGTATTTAAACAGAGGCTGGGTGGCCATACGGGAGGAGTTCCTGGGCTGCGATTTCTGCGTTGCAGGGGTTGACTAGATGACTCTTGGGGGTCCCTCCATTTCCCTGTGCTTTGCTGATCTGGCTGTTCTCCTGGACAAAGTCCAAGCAACCCCCCCACCACGAATGACACCCTCCAAACCAGCCCCCTCCCCCCTCCCCCGCACGTACGTCACTGTAGGACCACCGGAGGTGGCCAGGCAGGCCTCTCCAGAAGTCGCTTCTGCCCCGCAGCTGCTGCAGGGTGAACGGCTTCAACTTCTCACTGTTGCTCCTGCCGCCAACTCGCACGATGCCCGTTGGCTGGAACGCCTGGATTCCTGGGGGGGGGGGAGAGACGTAAAAGTCAAGGTGGGATATCTAAGCAGGGGACCCACACCCTCCCGCCACTGCCAGGACAATGGGCAGCCACCCGTACGGCGACCCTCCCCCCGCAAAGGCGTCTCAGTAATTCCTGCAATGCAGAGGATTGGACTGGATGACCCTTGAGGGTCCCTTCCAATTCTGCCAATCTCTATTCTCTCCTCTCTCTCTCTCCCTTCCCCACCCGGCCAAGGTGCTGCTGCCCAGGGCAGGCAGACCCCCCACCTTCCAGGAACTGGTCCAGGGCATGGTTGGTGTAGCAGACCACGAGGATGGGGGTCTCTCCACGGGCGGCCTTGTTTTTCAGCAGGACTTCCATGATCTTCAGCCCAACGTAGGTCTTCCCTGTGGGAAAAGCCCCGTCAAAGCAGGAAGCTCTGTCTGCCAACCCCCCTGCAGCCTCAGCCCTTCCCCCCACCACCAAGAAAAGGCTAGCAGCTGTGGGGGGGGGGTCACAAGCCGCATCCCCCATGCCACAGCCAATTCACTGCCATTCCAAGCAGGATCTGCAGGCAAGCAGCACCCTCCGGGCTTGGCTCGGGTTCAAACCCCATGAGGCAAAGGAAGACACCTGATGCCAGAGTGAGGGTTTTTTTTTAGAAAAGTGGGCCTTGTGGGGTGTCAGGATCCAGCCGGCCAGCCGGCTCCACTTCACACCCACCCCAGTTTCAGGCAGAAATCTGAGCCTCCATCTGGAGAGGCATGGTGGTACAGTGGTTAGGAGCATCAGACAAGGACCTGGGAGAGAACGGGGTTCAAATCCCTAAGTCAGCCTTGCAGTTCACTTAGTGTGCCTCTGGGCCTAGCCTACCTCACAGGGTTGGCGTGCGGATAAAGCAGGAAGGAGAATTCTGCATGTTGCACCCTGAGCTCCTTGGAGGAAATTGTCAGTATTTTTCACTGTTGCTATTGCAAAGGGTCACAAGACCGAATGATTTCATTTATTATGAATGTGCGAATGGAAGTCAGGCTGATAAACTGCTTTGTTCTTTCTGTCTCCAACAGAGAGGATATGTGAGGAAGCTGCTCACACAACTGTTGCTTTTATTTCTTTGCCGTAAATAAAGATGCTTGATGCTACAAACCACCACAGCTCTGCTTTTGCTGACTCTGCCAACGTGTGCGTGTTATCTTTCAGACGTGTGTCGAAGTTTATATGGGACCCCGCTATCAAGGGACGTAAATGTGATAAATACATACGGTTTTGGGCCCAGGAGAGATCCTGGAACTCCTCTGCAGCAAAAGGCTCCCCCTCCCAACCCCACTTCCTGCAACAGACGCCTCTTCCTCAGAGGATGGGATGCCCGACTCACCTGTCCCCGGAGGCCCCTGGATGATGGCCAGCTCCTTGGTCAGGGCGAGTTTCAGGGCTTGCAGCTGGGACTCATCCAGGCCCACGGCTTCCTGGGTCGGCCACTGGGAGGCGTCCAGCACGTCCACACGGCCCTCAGGGGCTCCTTCCGCCCCAGCAGGGGGGGGCTTGGTCATCAGGCACCTGAGGTCATAAAGGCTGCTTCCCGGCTCCCTCCGCAGGTACGCCGGCTCCCTCACCTGGGCCTCGCAGTGGACAATGTACCTCTGGAAGGGGACGTCTTCCTCTCGCAGCTCCTGCAGCCCCTGCAGGACGTGTCGGTAGGCCTCAAAGTAGGCGGTGGTCTCCACCATGACGAAGGAGTCGGAGGGCTGGACCTCGGCCAGCAGGGCCTGGCTGTGGGCGGCGAAGGAGAGGTGGACAAAGCCCTTGCGCAGCTCCTGGGGCTCCCGGTCGGAGACCGTGGCAAAGAGGAAGGTCTCAAAGTTGTCCTTGGACAGGCAGACCAGGGAGCCGTACAGCAGGCGCTTGGAGTTTTCCCACCGGACGGCGCCCAGCGGCGTGGAATCAAAGTGCACCTTGTAGTCAATGCCGGTCCGGGAGCAGAGCGGAGCCAGGATCCGGGCGTCCAGGTACACGCGGATGTCGTCAAACCTCCTCCTGCCCGGGCCGGCATCCTCAAAGCTCTGGAGGAACTGGAGGATGCCCTCTCTCAGCGGCCGGACAAAGTCCTCCCTCAGGAGGCGAAAGTGGGTGTCCAGGTAAACGGCGGGGCTCTCGTAGGGCTGGCTGATGAGGTTGGGGCGCAGGAAGGGCTTCTGGCCGCGGTTCACCTCCTCGTAGGTGGGGTAGATGGACATGGCGCGGTACTCCCCTTCCTCGCCGGGGGCGGTGGGCTGGAGGAGGGTGCAGCTGTCCACCCGCAAGGTGCCCTCGCGCCGCCGCTCCTGGAGGTGCTGGATGAAGCCCTGCAGCTTCTCCAGACTCTGGTCCAGCTCCTCCGGGAAGTCCACCCCCAGGGCCTGGAGGCCGTTGACGGAGCCCGGCAGGACAGACATCAGCAGGGCCACCTTCTGGAGGGAGCTGGCCGGGAAGATGCTGACCAGCTCCTGGACCAGCGCCACCACGCTGGCAATGTGCTGGGGGCACTGGTGCCGCACCTCTGGCCGGGCCTCCGTCAGCATGTCGGCCACGTACTGGGGCAGGCAGACCCGGAGGAAGGAGGACTCCTTCACCGTCTCCAGCAGCCGCTGAATGCTCTGGCGGTCCATGCGGGAGAGGCAGGCCTTGCGGAGAACCTGGCACAGCAGCTGTACCATGTCCGGCCTCATGGCAACTGGGGAGAGCGCCTCCCGCAGGCGGGGGCTGGAAGCCAGCGTGATGGCCACCTCCGAAGGGTCCTTCTCGAGGAGTTCACGGAGGAAGCGGGTGCCGATCATCGGGCCTCGCTGCTGCGGAGAGCCTCCTGGCCCTGCGTGGGGCCGCTGGGTGGGGTCAGCGTTTGGGGCCCCCCCTCTTTGCCTTCCTGGGCCATCCCTGGCCGGCCCTCCCTGGTTCTGTCCCCCAGCCCTCCGCTCCTCCCTCGGATCAGCCCCAGGCCAGACGCCCCCTCTGCGAGGGAAACGGTTCCCCTCTGCCCCCGGCCGCCTGGGTGCCCCCTCAGCCGGCCTGCTGGGGTTGCGCGCCCCGTCCTGGTGGGGGGTCCGGCCACTGCCAGCCCTCCGCTCCGCAGCTCTGCCAGGGCCAGGGCCAGGGCCCCCCTCACGCTGCCCACTTGCGTTCTGCTGGGAGGCTCCTCCATCTTGAGGCTCTGCAGAAGGAAAAGAGGGGAGTTGGAGAGTCTCTGGGCAGAAGCCCAAGCTGTGCTTCGCCTGGGTGGGTGATGCCCCCTTCTGCCCCCTCCCCCTTCAGGGGATAACTTTGGCTTCGCCCCTCCAAAGTTAGGCAGGGACTGAATTCTCCACCCAGGGGCCGCATCCAGAGGGATCTGGGAGGGAACTGGGCGGCTCCCTCCTCCTCCTCCTCCTCCCATTTGGCGGCTCCTCCCCCAGAAACGATGGACCGGGCGGGGGGGGGGGGCGGAGAGCCGGGCCGGGCGGGGTGGCCCAACCTCCCGTTGCCAAGAGCCGGAGCCGCAGGACGGGGTTTCCCCGGCGGGAAGAGGACGCTGGACCAGATCCAGCCGCCAAAGCTGAAGCAATTGCTCGGCTCCTTTTTCCGCTTTCTCATCCCGGTGCGGCAGAAGGGAGAAGACCGGTGCTCTCCGCTCACGCCGAACCTGAGACGCCTCCCCCCCCCCCCCGCCAGCCCGTGGTCGCCCTGCGAGGCGCAGAAGCCCCTCTTCGGACTCCGGGAGGGGCGGACCCTCCTTCCTCGGAGGCTTGAAACCGGAGGCTGGACGCCATCCGCCAGGGATCCTCCGCGTCCTGCATTGCGGGGGTTCAGTTAGATGACCCCTGGGGGTCCCCTCCCTCTTCCCAGTTGTAGGATCCTCCCGCTGTTCTGGCGAGAAGCGCAGGCTTGGAGCAGAGCCTCCGACCCCGGTCCCGGTCCCGGAAAGCTGCGCTTCTCCTCCGCTCTGGCCCGGCCAGCCGCTTTCAAGGACTGATGTTTCAATGTACAGTGGGACCTCGGGTTAAGTGCTTAATTCGGTCCGGAGGTCCGTGCTTAACCTGAAACTGTTCTTAACCTGAAGCACCACTCTAGCTAATGGGGCCTCCCGCTGCTGCCACGCTGCCAGAGCCCGATTTCTGTTCTCATCCTGAAGCAAAGTTTCTGAACCTGAAGCACTATTTCCGGCTTAGTGGAGTCTGTAACCTGAAGCGTCTGTAACCCGAGGTACCACTGTATTTTTCATCTTTTGTTGGAAGCCGCCCAGAGTGGCTGGGGAATCCCAGCCAGAAGGGCGGGGTGGAAATAATACATTCTTCTTCTTCTTATTATTATTCAATTGGGGCTGTCACCTCTGCCTCTGCCTCCCGCTCCTCCGCCTCTTCGCGGCCGCCGCTGCTGCTGCTGCCCCCGTCCGCGCCCGTCCATGGCTCTTCTCCGCGCGGCGCTCCGCTCCGTCCCGTCGAGGCGCCTCCGGGCTCTGCGCCTCCTCCTCCGCCGCCGCCGCCTTTTCGGCTCACTTTCGACTTTCGCTTTCCCCTTCCCGGCTGGCTCCGCCCCCGCTTTCGCTTTCGCTTCTCCCCCCCCCCCCCCGCGCACTAGAGGCGGCGCTTCCCGCCCGGCCCCGCCCCGCCGAGGAACCCCGGCGCCCCGGTCGCTGTCCCCGGCGGAAGGGAAAGGGAGCCGGACGGGCGGAGCGCTGCGGGGGCGCACCCGGCGCCCGGCACTTCCGGTCCCTCCGAGACCACGATGGAGCTCGGCGAAGGATGGCGGGCGAGGCTGGGCGGGCCCGGCGGCGAGGAGGCCGAGGAGGAGGAGGAGGAGGAGAGCGGCTCCGAGGCCGAGGTAGGCGAGGGGGCGGCGGGAAGGGAGAGCCGGGCAGCGCCTGCCCCGCTCGTCCCCCTCCTCTCCGGCGGGGCCTTGCTCTCCCTCTCTCTTTCTCCCTCTCCCCCTTTCTCTCTCTCTTTCTCCCTCTTTCTCTCCCTCCCTCTTTTCTCCCTCTCCCCCTTTCTCTCTCTCTTTCTCCCTCTTTTCTCCCTCTCCCCCTTTCTCTCTCTCTTTCTCCCTCTCTCTTTCTCCCTCTTTCTCTCCCTCCCTCTTTTCTCCCTCTCCCCCTTTCTCTCTCTCTTTCTCCCTCTCTCTTTCTCCCTCTTTTCTCCTTCTCCCCCTTTCTCTCTCTCTCCCTCCCTCTTTTCTCCCTCTCCCCTTTCTCTCTCTCTTTCTCCCTCTCTCTTTCTCCCTCTTTCTCTCCCTCCCTCTTTTCTCCCTCTCCCCCTTTCTCTCTCTCTTTCTCCCTCTTTCTCTCCCTCCCTCTTTTCTCCTTCTCCCCCTTTCGCTCTCTCTCTATTTCTCCCTCTTTCTCTCCCTCCCTCTTTTCTCCCTCTCCCCCTTTCTCTCTCTCTTTCTCCCTCTCTCTTTCTCCCTCTTTCTCTCCCTCCCTCTTTTCTCCCTCTCCCCCTTTCTCTCTCTCTTTCTCCCTCTTTCTCTCCCTCCCTCTTTTCTCCCTCTCCCCCTTTCTCCCTCCCTCTTTTCTCCCTCTCCCCTTTCTCTCTCTCTTTCTCCCTCTCTCTTTCTCTCCCTCCCTCTTTTCTCCCTCTCTTTCTCCCTCTCTCTTTCTCCCTCTTTCTCTCCCTCTCTCTTTCTCCCTCTCCCCCTTTCTCTCTCTCTTTCTCCCTCTCTCTTTCTCCCTCTTTCTCTCCCTCTTTCTCCCTCTCCCCCTTTCTCTCTCTCTTTCTCCCTCTTTCTCTCCCTCCCTCTTTTCTCCTTCTCCCCCTTTCGCTCTCTCTCTATTTCTCCCTCCTCCTTTTCTGCCCCTCTTCTCTCCCTCCCCCCTCACTCTGTCTCCGCTCACATCTCTTGTCTCGTCTCCCCCTAGGAGGTGTCTGTGGGCCGAGGCGGTCGCAGCGGAGACTTCGCGGCGGGCTTTGCGTTTGCCGAGGCGTCGGCGGGGCCCAGCGGAGGCCCCTGGGCGGAGGTGCTGAGGCAGCTCAAGGGGAAGGTGAGAGTGGGGGGGGGGGGGGCTCCGCAGGGGCACATACTCTGCGCCATCACTCCCCCCCAAAAAAAACTCCCACCACCACCTTCTGGCCTGATCCAGCAGGGCAGCTTCTCCGAAGCCACTGCCAATTCTTCTTCATCCTCCTCTGGAGCAAAAAAGGTTCCCGGACCTTCTCTCTGTCCCCCTGCTCCTCTTATCTGAGACCTGCCAAGTCCAGATGGGAAGGTTGCTCCGTGCCTCAAGGTTCCCATGAGGTCATCCTGCTGGAGCTTCTGATCTTTGGGGTTTCACTCCTGCACTCACCTTGTTTGTTTTCTCTTATGCAGAGATCCGCTACTAGCCTGGACGAGAAGATTGCAACTGTAAGAAAGAAAAGGAAAGCCCAGGTTAGAAATTCCCACCTGTTTGGAATCTTCTGGGTTCCTGTATCTGCGTGGATAAGGGCAGCAATTTGCCCTCGACATTGCAGGGGCGCATCATGTGGTGCATCATGTTACACGTCATGTGCCGGTACTCGAGCGCTGGGTGTGGAATGGGGAGCTGGGCTCCATGCTTGGCCTCCTCCTCCCCACGCTACATCGGGCAGGGAGGAGGAGGCTGCGGGGCAGGGCTGCCAGCTCCACACTCTTGTCCACACAACATCGGCAGGGAGGAGGAGGAGGGCCACGGGATTTTGGGGCAGCTCAGTCCCCTCCTTGAAAAAATTGGGGGTGCTGAATACCCCTCAGTCCCCACCACTTGGTGTGCCTGTGTGTGGATGTTGTGCTGCCTTCCAAAAGTAGTGTCCTCCAAAACTAAGTGTCCAACTGGTCTATTTCATGTGCAGGGGAACCTCTGTGACTGCAGAATGACTTATCTAAGCACAACAGAACTTCCCATTTTCAGGACCCCAAAGTCAGGGCAGGTGGCCATTCATAACACCATACATTTGGAAGGGGCCTGGAAGGTCTTCTAGCCCAATCCTCTGCTTAATACAAGATCAGCTTCTGGATGGGGCAGCATGTGTAACCCATGAAAGAGCTGTGTGGGCTTTGCCTTTTGCATGAGGTGCCTGCAGTGTGATTGCATCTTTGTAGGGACCCTTGGAGAATCTTCAAGCAGTTTTTCTGGTTCAGTGGACCATTATTTAATCATGGAATCTTAGAGAAGGAAGTTTAGAAGCAGGCTTACAATGGCAGAAACAATTCCCTAACGTATTTGACGCTAACGGATTTGTGTCACATAAAGTGGTGCTTTATGTTCTGGCTGCAAGAAAGATGAGAAAAAGAAACAATATTGCAAAAAGTTGCGCTGGAGATTCAGAGGTCTAATGGAAGTTCAGCTTGGTATGCGCTAGCAGATGATACAAACTCTGACTCCCTTTCTTTATATGCTTGATGCTTTGGAGTACGTAGTTGTTGTACGCTGTTTGTTACAGTTTGGCAAATTGTAATGAAATTGTTACGGTCTTTGGTCAAGACAATAAACTCTTTGGCCATAGAGAAGGAGGCTGGGCAGTAAAAAACAATGTCCCATTTGGGGGGGTCTTTTCCAGGAAAAGCAAGCTAAACAAGGGCCAGCAAAAGAAGATGCTGGGGAGGCTACACAGGAGAATGTAGACAAGATGGATGCTGGAGGAAGTGAGGAGGAAGATGCAAAGGAGGAGGTGGAGGAGGAGGAGGTGGAGTCTGAGTACTCTTCGGCAGATGAGAGCATCTTCACAAAAGCTGGTAACCATGGCGATGGATGTGCTGTGCAGGCACCGGGGCAGAAGAGAGCAAGTGTGCATCTTCTGTGCCTTACAGTGGGGCAGCTGACATACTTTTTGCAGCTAGCTGCATGAATCGAGGTTTTAGTAGGAGGTGCTACTCTCTGATTTGTAATGTGTTCTGATCATCTTTTGGTGGGGGGGTCGTGTGGTTTTTTACAGATACACTCAAGGTGAAGCAGCGACGGAAAAGGAAGCGAGGTGGAGAGGAGGTGAGCCTTTGGATGCTGGGTGGTGCCGGGTGAGGAGGAGTACCTGCAGAAACAGGGGTCCTTCCCTCATGTTGTGACTCTGTGTTCCAGGCTTTCTCTTTCTGATCCTCCTTTCTAGGAACCTGAGCAGTTCTTTGAAGATGCTTCACAGTATGATGACAGCCTGTCGTTCCAAGATATGAACCTCTCCCGGCCCTTGCTGAAGGTAGCCAGATCCTGCTTTCTTTCAGAGGGAGATGGCGAAGGTGGTTGCCTAGTCTCTTTTGGAGGGGCAAATCTCAGCCCACACTGAGTCATCACATTTGACAGCTTTTGTGGCCCCAGGAGTAAATTAGGCAAACATGCCTTGCCTAATTCAAACAAAATAACAAAAGAAACAGATCTGTGAAAATGCAGGCTTGTTTGGTATCTCTTATTGGAAGGACAGCAAAACAAAAAACAAAAAACTACTGTTTAGCAGCAAAGATAACGTTAGGATGTTCACCATACACTGGAACCTCGGTTTTTGAGCATCTTGGAAGCTGAACGTTTCGGAATCTGAATGTCAAAAACCCGGAAGTAATTGCTTCTGTTTTCAAACATGTCCGCTGCGTGTTTTTCTTTTTTCTCAATGGATTTTGCCGACCTCCCATCCCATTGCTTCTTGGTTTTCGAACGTTTTCTCTGAGGTTCCACTGTACTGTTAACAGGGTTCGAGGCTTCTGGGTAAATGGACCTTAAATGAGCCTGTAGTTGGAGGATGGAAGAAGAAAGTTCTTGTTTATTTATGTTTAAATTTGTATGCCAGCCTTCACCCGAAGATCACAGGGCGGTTCACAACATAAAAATACAAAATGAGACCACAAAATACATAAGAAAACAAAAACAAACCCATAACTCTCCACCCACAAACACATTTAAAAAGCTGTAGAAGGTTAATCAGTCAAAGGCCTGGTTGAAGAAAAATTGTTTTTGCCTGGCAAAAAAAGATATGTAATGAAGGCGCCGGGCGAGCTTCTCTGGGGAGAGCTTTTCACAAATGAGGAGCGCACAGCAGGAAAGGTTTTGCCCGCCCTCTGGACCTCATGGAGGAGGCATCAGAAGAAGGGCCTCAGGTGATGATCACAGGGTCAGGGTCACTTCATGTGGGGAGAGGGGGTCCTTGTCGGTTGTCAGTCAGTCCAGTTTATTTGCTAAAAAAGGGTTAGTAAGGTGGACATTTAACTTGCTTTCACTTTAAGATGAGCATAAGAATGTGGGTTTTAAATTAAAATCAGTAGTCTTTTTTCAATATTTGTATTGCAGCTTAGACCAAACTCTGCCTATCAAATCAAAAGCTAAAGGTAGATCTGTAAATGCTACAAGAAGATACCGTGTTAACCTTTTGTGCATGCACAATTTGCCGTCAAAGCAGCTGTCTAGATTGGTTCCTGCTGCTTCAGTGGGATATTTCATTTCCCTCAGTCCACACAATTCAATGCTCTGAAATCTAGTTGAATTCTTCTCCATTATTACATGTCCAAAGCTGAAATAAGAAATTCTACCACATTCTGCAATTGGTTCCTCTAGTATAAAAAACCACTTTCCTAAAAATTCTGATTATTTTCTGAAGATCCTGAGAGCGCTTAGCCACCTGACGTTCAGAATCAAACCAGCCATCAGAATCAAGTATTTCACTTTCTGGGGCTGTAGTAGTAGTAGTAGTAGTAATAATAATAATAATAATTTACTGTATTTTTCCATGTGTAAGACTATATTTCCCCCCTATTTTTTCAAGTTTAAAATTAGGGGTCGTCTTATACATGGATAGTGCATATGGGGGATTTCTTTATTTGGAGTCCCAAAAAATAGGGGGCGTGTTATACATGGAAAAATACGGTATTAGATTGCAGAAAGACGGGAATTACTGCCTTTGTAGGCTATCAGCAGAATTACCTGAAGTATTGCCTCGAGTGATAAAACGTTACCCTTGAGTTCAAATAAGTTGTAGTCTGAGAGTGGATCAGTCTCTCTCTCTTGGAATCTGCTAGGCCAACCAGGGTGACGTAGTTAGCCTTCCTGCACGGAAGACGCCCCTCGGCTGGGTATGGGCAGCAGCCAGCAAGGCTGAGCTAGAAATGGCCACTTTCCCATTCATCTCCCCTGAAATGATCGTATGCTGGGATTACTGCCCAGTTTGGAGACCCAGTCCCTCTGAGAGGCCAGAGAGCAGCATGTTGATGTGCGTTCCAAGTTAAGCGTTTGCATAGTTGTAGGGCAGAGACCTGCTCACACTGGCTTCTTCCCAACGGCTGTGATTGGCAGGCAATAACCGCCCTGGGCTTCAAGCAGCCGACCCCCATCCAGAAGGCCTGCATCCCTGTGGGGCTCCTGGGGAAGGACATCTGCGCATGTGCGGCTACAGGGACAGGTAAGCCCCGGGTTCAAGGGAGTGGGGGTGGGGCAAAGGCTTGGGGTGGGCCAGGAGGCTGACCTATGTCTTTGTCTTCAGGGAAGACCGCAGCCTTCATTCTGCCTGTGCTGGAGCGCCTGATCTACAAGCCCCGCCAAGCCCCAGTGACGCGGGTGCTGGTTCTGGTGCCCACCCGGGAGCTGGGCATTCAGGTGCACTCTGTCACGAAGCAGCTGGCGCAGTTCACCAGTGTCACCGCCTGCCTGGCCGTGGGTGAGTGAGCAGGACCCGGAGAGGGCTCCTTGGGGGGCGTGACTTTGTTTGCACCCATCCTGCCCAGCAAGGGGGCTGCAGTGCATTCGGTGAGCTGATGCCCCCGCCCGGTTTGTGTCCTTGCAGGGGGCCTGGACTTGAAGACCCAGGAGGCGGCGCTGCGCTCGGGCCCCGACATCCTCATCGCGACCCCCGGACGCCTCATTGACCACCTGCACAACTGCCCCTCCTTCCACCTGGACAGCGTTGAGGTCCTCATCCTGGACGAGGCTGACCGGTGAGGGGAATCTCTGGGCACAGGCAGGTGGGGGGGTGAGGCCCTCAGAACACCAAGAGGCCTGGCTGCAGGATCAGGCCAAAGGAAGCCCACCCAGGCCAGCATCCTGCTCTCACAGCGGTCCATCAGAGGCCTGCCTAGGGAACCCCAGAAGCAGGACCTGAGCACGAGAGCAATGCTCTCCCCATCTGTGAACCCCAAAACCCCATATTCAGAGGTAGGCTGCCCTGGACACTGGAGGAAGAACAGAGCCGTCATGGCTAGTAGCCATGGGCAGCCACCTTCTCTGTCCATTTGTCTAGTCCTCTTTTGAAGCCCTTCAAGTTTGTGGCCATCAGCACGCCTGGTTTATGCACTGTGTGAATTCCTTCCTTTATCTGCCCTGAGCCTCCTTGGGGTTCTAGTACCATAGAGTCATAGAAGAGTAGAGTTGGAAGGTACTTACAAGGGTCATCAAGTCCAGCCCCTGCCATGCATGGATCTCAGCTCAAGCATCCCTGACAGCTGGCCATCCAACCTCTGCTTAAAAACCTCCCAGGAAGGAGAGTCTGCAACCTTCTGAGGGCATCTGTTCCACGGTTGAACAGCCCTTACAGTCAGAGAGTTTTTCCGTATGTCTACAATCAGAATCTCCTTTCTTGTCACTTGAAGCCATGGGTTCAAGTCTTCCCCTCCAGAGCGGGAGAAAGCAAGGCTGTTCTCTCTGCCATGTGACAGCCCTTAAGATATTTGAAGATGGCCGTCATGTCACCTTTCAGTACTATGAGGAAGGGAAAGAAAAGCATCTCCCTCTCTTCTTTCTTCACCCTGTGTGTTATTTTGCACACCTCTTGTTTTCTGCTCCCTTGCTGCCATTCCTTTCAGGGCGCTGCCCCATCCCCTGGGATCTCGATCCTAGCCCAGACCTGCCTTTTGGCACAGGCTGGCTGGGTTGTCAGCTTTTGTGCCTGGAGGAGGAGGCCTCATCCCCCCCCCACTTGCTCACCTGCCTCTCCCGCTCCCCACAGGATGCTGGATGAGTACTTTGAGGAGCAGATGAAGGAGATCATCCGGCTGTGTTCCCGACATCGCCAGACCATGCTGTTTTCTGCCACCATGACAGACGAGGTACCAAGGGAGACCCAGAGAGGAGACTGGGGAGGGTGCAGTTGTGACAATGCGCTGGGCGGATAGGAAGTGGCTGCGGGAATCTTGTCATGTATTTGAATCTTGGTGCTGCGCTGCAGAACAGCGACCCCCCTGTGATCTCCCTTGGACCGGGATGTCCTGCTTCTCTTGGAGTATTAGGGGGACCTTCCTGGCAGGGCTGACGAAGCTTCCCCCTCTCTGGCAGGTGAAAGACTTGGCCTCCGTTTCCTTGAAGAACCCTGTCCGGGTCTTTGTGAACAGCAACACAGATGTGGCCCCGTTTCTGCGCCAGGAGTTTGTCCGCATCCGGCCCAGCCGCGAGGGAGACCGGGAGGCGATTGTGGCAGGTGGGAGCCTGGAGTGGGGGTCCAGCAGCCCTCAGGGGTAGCTTCTGACCCCATAGCACATAGCCATAATGGTTGCTCTGCCGGATATGAGTTGCTGGGAAAGTCGCTCTTGTGCTCAGATCCTGTTTGCTGGTTTCCTGATAGGGGCCTCTTTTTGGCCGCTATGAGAAGAGAAAGCTGGACTAGATGGGCTGTTGGCCTGATCCATCAGGCTTTTAAGAACATCAGAAGAGCCTGCAGGATTAGGCCAAAGGCCCATCTAGCCCAGCACCCAAACAAATGCCCCAGGGAGGAAGCCCATGAGCCCGATTTGAGCACAAGAGTCCTCTCTCCTGTGGTTCCCAGCTGCTGGAATTCAGAAGCACTGCTGATACGACTGTGGAGGCCAAGCATGGCCATCCTGGCTAAGAGCCACCGAAAGCCCTCTCCTCCCCCATGCTATTTTAAAGCATCCCAGGTTGGTGGTCGTCACCTCCTCCTGTGGGAGTGAGTTCCAGAGGCCATCTGTGAGTTTTGTGTCCTCCCATCCCTCTCCTCCTCAGCCCTGCTGACTCGGACATTCCTGGACCACGTGATGCTCTTCACGCAGACCAAGAAGCAAGCGCACCGCCTGCACATCCTTCTGGGCCTGATGGGCCTCCGTGTCGGGGAGCTGCATGGCGACCTCTCGCAGGCGCAGCGCCTGGAAGGGCTCCGGTAGGCAGGGACTGAAGTGCCGGGGGGGGGGGGAGGTGGCGCAAGAGAGGCCGGCTGCCCCTGACGCTCCCTCTCTGTGGATGCTGCCGTTGTCTGCAGGCGCTTCAAGGACGAGCAGATTGATGTGCTGGTGGCCACGGACGTTGCGGCACGAGGACTGGACATTGAAGGTGTCAAAACGGTCAGTGGCTCTCCCCCTCAGCCAGCTTGGGTCCTGCTCAGCTTCTCACTGGGAGAGCGGGATGCTGGAGCAGGTGGGCCTTTGGCCCGGTCCCGCAGGTGCTCTCCTGAGGCTCTCCTGTCTCGCCACAGGTGATCAACTTCACGATGCCCAACACCACCAAGCATTACGTGCACCGCGTGGGGCGCACAGCACGCGCAGGGCGGGCCGGCCGCTCCGTCTCCCTGGTGGGCGAGGAGGAGCGCAAGATGCTGAAGGAGATCGTGAAAGCAGCCAAGGCGCCCGTCAAGGCCAGGGTCCTTCCCCAGGGTAAGCATGGTGGCAGCGGGGCGGGGTTGGGAAGCAGGGCACGGGGACGGGCACCCTTAGGCCAGCGGTGGCGCTGTGGGAGGCTGAGCGGCTGCCCTTTGCCCCCAGATGTGATTCTGCGCTTCCGGGAGAAGATTGAGAAGCTGGAGTCGGACGTCTATGCTGTGCTGCGCCTGGAGCGCGAGGAGAGGGAGCTGCAGCACTCGGAGGCCCAGGTGAGGAGGAAGAGGAGGAGGAGGAGGAGGAGGAGGAGGAGGAGCAGGGTGCAGAGGCAGCAAGGGGGGGAAGGAGGCCCTGTGGGGGGACGGGAGGAGGCCTTAGGGGTGCCTGGGCTCATGGAAGTGCTTATCTTTGCAAAAGGAAGCAAGCAAGCTCCTACAGAGCAATTTGGTTTGAGTGCCTCCCTGCTTTGCCCCTCCGGGATTCCCCTTTAGTTGGCTCCTTTCGTGGTAACTTCCCCCGTGGGACACAGCCCCGCCAGGTGGATGAGGGAACACGGGGCAGCCCTTGTTTGGCTCCTTACTGAGGTTCCTGGGCATTGAGGCTGTGCCCAATGAGGGGCTCTCCCAACAGCAGCCCCTTGACTTTGCTCTCCTCCTAGATCAACACTGCCAAGCGGAAACTGGAGACGAGTGCTCAGGAAGGGGCGGAGGGCGCTGCCCGCAGCTGGTTCCAGAGCCGGGAGGAGAGGAAGAAGGAGAAGCGTAAGGGCCTGGCCGGGAGAGCGGCAGGGGGCAGCGGCAGGGGGGGCCTTGGCTGTGAAAGTGGGTTCTCTCCTTGCCTGGCTTCTCACCTTCTGCCTCTGGGATCTCTCCTCTTGCCCAGTTGCCAAGGCCCTGCAGGAGTTTGACTTGGTGCTGCGAGGCACCAAGAAGCGGAAGAAGTTCATGAAGGAGTCTCAGAAGAAGGCGGCCCAGCTGACGGTGAGCAGTGGCTGAGTGTGTGTGTATGGGGGGGACGACGGTTGTTTTGAGGGGCTAGTGAGTGAGTTTGGGGGGGGGGAGCACTGCTAGCCCCCTTTGTGCTGTCCCTGCAGCCGGAGGAGCGGTCCCAGTTCGAGATCCTGAAGTCCCAGATGTATGCCGAGCGCCTGGCCAAGAGGAATCGCCGGCCCAAGCGTGCCAGGGCCATCCCCGAGGAGGCTCCGTCCGCAGCGGCCAAGGGAGGTAAGCAGCAGCTCCGCTTCTCGGGGGGGGGGGGCTGCCAGGCTGCAGGTCGCCTTGGCTTCAACCTGGGGTCTCCCTCTCTGCCACGTTCCTCAAGGGCCCAGGCAGCAGCACAAGAAGAAGACGTCCGTGTTTGATGAGGAGCTCACCAACACCAGCCGGAGAGCCCTGAAGCAGTATCGGGCGGGGTGAGTATTGTGCATGCCCCCCCCATCACCCCAACTGCTAAAAGTTCCCCAGCTAGAATAATCTAGTCCAACCCCCTTCAGTAAAGGAATCACGCCCACCTCTTTGGGGGGGCAGGCTTGTGCCAGCCCCGCCCCCTCTGTCAGCAGAGGCCCTGCCTGGCCGCGATCCTGACGTCTCTTTCCTGCAGGCCCTCGTTCGAAGACCGCAAGCGCCTGGGTCTTGGCTCAAGGAGGAAGGGAGGGAATTTCAGAGCAGCCAGCTCCAGGTGAGGCCCCTGGGCTCCCTGCCTTTTCCACCCATGTCTCTCCCTCCGGCTCTCTTCTGCCTCTTCCACCAGAGGACTGACGCGCTTTCTGCTTCCTGTCTTTGTGCAGGTACAAGAGGAAGAAGTGAGGCAGGAGCTCTCCTGGGCTGCCTTCGTGGGTTTCTGGGTGGTGGAGGCCCTTTTGAGTCTTGGTATCCAAGTGAGTCTTTCTGGAGGCAGCAGCACCAGCCACATCCGGGCAGCTGGAGGCAGCTTCGGCTGGGAAGGACAAGCCAGACCGCTTCCCACTGTTGCGGCCTGAAAATCGGAATTCACCAGTACCTTGCTTGCCTGCGTATTGCAGCCCCATTTGCTTTCTAACATTTCTCACCGAGGAAGAAACTGTTCATGTTCTGAGAAACTGTAGATTATTCTACACGTTTATCATTAAAAATGACTTTTTTGACAGACTACAGGTCTCATGTGAAACTTTCTAAAAAAAAGGTGTGGATGATGGTAGAGAACCTCTACTTCTGTGTGGAATTGGGAAAATGTATCACTCAAGTGTGCTGTGAAATATGAAGTCAAAAATTCCCAGTGTCAGGACAGAACTGTGTAATAAGATAGCAGAAATCTTGCTATAAATCATGATTTATTTACAGCTCAATTATTTGCATTTGTAACTGGTCTCAAAAGAATAGCCCAGAATGGGACAAAACAAGAAAAATACGAATCGTATTTTTCGCTCTATAGGACGCACTTTTCTCCCCTCCAAAAATTGAGGGGAAATGTGTGTGCGTCCTGTGGAGCGAATGCAGGCTCCTTGGCTTCAGCGATAGCAACGCGAAGCCTCTGAAGCACAGAGGGAGCGCTCCCTCCGCGCTCCGGAGGCTTTGCGTTGCTTTCGCTGAAGCCTGGAGAGCCGCCTGAAGCCTCCGGAACACAGCAGGAGGACTCGCTGCGCTCCAGAGGCTTTGGGTTCCTTTTGCTGAAGCCGGGAGAGCAAGACTCTGCTGGCTTCAGCAGTGAGGGAGAGCTGCGCAGCGCCCCTTCAGCCAAGCAGGGGGAGAAATGGAAGGGGCTCCATTTCTCCTGCCGCTTCGCTGAACGTGCGCTGAGCAGAGAAGGGGAGATTTTTTTTTTCTTCTCCCCCGTAAAACAAGGTGCACCCTATAGAACTTAAAATATGGTATCATGCCTCTAATGTTGAGAGGGAGAAATTCTTTTATCTTTTTTCTCCACAATATGCTTTTTCTGTGCAGCCTGGGCAGGAGCCGTGAACAATGTTATAGTTAATTGTTGTAGCTTGTCTTCCCTTACCACACCCCACTGCTCTGCTCACAGTTGTGAAGGATATTCTTATGTTATGAATGGTCCGTGTCACCATCAAGAAAACCCTGGACTGTCCGTAGATCAAGTGACTTTTAAGTTCTTACCCTAGCTCCTGGTTGTCATCCTAGCCAGATGTTTCACTGATAATCAGTCGGTCCATCATTGGAAGAATAAGACTTTAGTCTTGCCCCAAAATGGCACGTAGACATTCCATTTTGGCTACTGTAACACTGCCCACAACCCATGTTATTTGGGGATTTTTCTATCCAAGCAGCAAGCAAGCTCTCAACTGGGGCTTTTCCTGCCTGCCTCCTAGCAGCAATTAGCAAAAGTTCAACCTCCTCCTCTTCAGGAATGCTTGAGCAGTTTGACGCCTTGGCAGCAACCACAGGGACACGGCTGCAACGTCCCCCTCCCCCAGGCTTTGGCGTGAGTTCCCCGCACTGAACCTAAGATGAGGGGCAAGAAGCTGGTGACTAGCTTCTGAATAGCACTTGCTGGAAGCTACAGGAGGGGAGAGGGCAGCTCTTGTGCTCAGGTCCTGCTTGCAGGTTTCCCACTGGGGCATCTGGTCAGCCATTGTGAGAAGAGGATGCTGGACCAGATGAGCCACTGGCCTCATCCAGCAGGCTCTTCTTAAGTTCCTGAGCCCCGGTGAAGAGCCCTCCAGGAAGCCTAGACTTGTTTGCTTTGCTCAATCTCAGAATGAATTTGCACCACCACAGCAGGAAATTTCCCAGTGTTTATTAGAAAGGGCAACATGACAACCCCCAAAATATAAAACATACACACAACCCCCCCACCCCACCATTCCCTCAGGGTGAACAAGACAGAAGTCCAAAGGCTCAAATTTTGCTCCCTTCACAGCGTCACCTCTCAGGGCCTGGGTGGGCGCATGCCAGGAGGAGGAGGACCTAGAAAGGACAGAACAGAGGCAATCAGCTTTGCAGGTGCTGCCCCAGGAGGCAGCAGTGCTCTTGCGCCCCAAGGACAACCTTGCCCCTCCCCTTAGTTCCAAGCTTATCAAGGGCTTCTGTCTTGCTCCAGTGAGATTTCCATTCACAGGAGGCCAACAGGCAGCAGAAAAGGACTCTGGATTTGGCTTTACCTCGCAGCCAGCCCTTGACTCAGGCTCAAAGCCAACTCACCTCTCATGCCAGGGGGAGGAGGCCTCATTCCAGGAGGTGGCATGCCCATCGGGGAGCCTCGGCCAGGCGGCATGCCCATCGGGGGGCCCATGGGGGGCCTCATGCCAGGGGGAGGCCCCATCATCCCTGCAGTGAAAAGGAAGCCACTTCAGTCCCCTTGACTCCGCAGACCACCCCTCCCCGAAGTCCCAAAGTGAACCTCAGAGTAATCCTGCTTTGACACCAACTCTTCACGGTGCTCAGTTACTGTCATTTCATCCCAGGTTCTGCCAGTCTGGGTGGGGGAGGCAACTGGGTTGCTGCTTACCTGGAGGTGGGGTCCCTCTGCCCATAGGTGGAGGGGGACCTCCGCGGCCTGGCGCATACTGAGTGGGGGCTCCTGCAATACTGGCCGTTGCGGCAGCCGCTGCGGCAGCAACTGTCCCTCGGCTCTGAGGAGTCATCACCTGGGAGGGGAGAAGAGGCTTTTAGAGATCTGCAAGTGAGATCCCAAGCTGGAGGGATCCACTGCTGTTCCCTCCCCTGCAAACATCCAATGCCAATGTCCTTGAGCTGCCCCAGACTCCTCCCCCCCTCAAGCCATTTATTGGGAGGACGTGCCTCCTGCTTACCTGCTGGGATGGGCCACCAACACCACGCACGGGGCCAGCCAGGCCTGCGGGTGCCTGGGGCATGGGAGCTCCTGCAGGGACGCCCCTTCCAGCAGCTCTGCCAACACCAGGTCCTCCAGCGGCTCCAGCCAGGGGCACGCGAGCGATGCCAGTCTGAAAGAGCCAAACAGTCACTGCAGCAGGACAGTTTTCCAGTGGTGGTGAAGTTCTTAACAAAAAACCTACCATGCTCAGCAGTGAGTCAGGCCACCACTTGCATAATAATATTTTTTTTAAATCTGGGGATGGACTGACACATACATTTATCTGCTTCACCTTTGTCTTCCCAACCCCAAAATCTGACTTTTCTCCCAGCACTCCCCTGAAACTCCAGTTTCTTTCTTCCAAGTACCACAACAAGGAATATTTGGCTGCCCTTCTCCTCTCTGCCACCATTAATCCCCATCCTCTCTGACTGATTTCTTACCCCTCCCTGGTACTCTCCATGTTGAATTTTGATTCTGTGCTATTCCTGATATGTAGAAGAAGCAGACATTTCAAAATAAATATATACTGGCATGTCCTTTGGTTCCAGAAGCTGACTGTAAATATTTTAGAGCAAACCCCAAAAGCCAGACTTAGTCGATGCCTTGCAATTTTAAAGGGGTGCCGTCAGGCCCCTCTACTAAGCTATTCTGGGAAAGGACAAGATCACGAGCAAACATCTCCCCATATCTGGCTCCGCTTACATCTTTTGGGGGTGGCCCCTCGACTGTCATAGAGACCAGATTCTCTCCTCGCAGCAACACCAGGCCCAGCACTCGCTTCTCTTCCCGCTCAGGCTGCTTGGAGTTCTTGGGCCTAGAAGAAGGAAGGAAGAAGCAACCCAAAGCTGTGTCACAAGCATCTCTGCCCCCTACACTTACCTTTCAGGGGGCGACCTGTTGGCCCCTTAGAGAGGTAGGTGTCTTATGCCACATTGGAGGGGGGTCAAGGGGGGGAGAGAGACCAAATGGGGCCCCCAGGCTATGGCAGAAGCACCACCTTCCCTGGGGTCCTATGGGCTGATAGGAAGGCCTGCCCTTGCTGCCTTCGGAGAGCCTTCCAATGGCCCTGCCCTTCCCCAAGGAGGACCAGGCAGGGGGAGACCCCAGCCGCCTTCAGGGCTCCTTTGGTGGCGTGATCCTGCACCCCTGGCAGAACTGTCCAGATTGTGCCCCCAACCATTGACAAATGAGCTCTTCTTTCTGCCTCTCCTCCACCCCCATTCAATTCACCCTCTATTTAAAACCTTTTATGAGGCAAGAATCAATATTTCTATTTATAGACATATTTATAAGCACATTTTAAGCCAGTTTAGCAGCGTGCCCCCAGCCTGCGCCCCTGGCGGGGGCCCACCTCTCCAACCCCGAGCTATAGCCCTGGTTGCAGATGCCCCTCCTTCCACCCGACTGGTTTGTGCCTCAGGAGGTGTCATGAGGGGCTGGGTCGGGGGCCCCTCCTGGGCCGGCCTCTGCTTGGGGGGTGTTGCTGAGGGGGGCCCCTAGCCCCTCCCCCCCGGCCACTCACTTGATCTTCCTGAACTCGTCGCAGTCGCAGAGGATGAGGTTCATGTGCTTGTCAAAAGCCTTGAAGGTGCCGATGAAGACGCGGCCGTCCTGCAGGATGCAGCGCATGCGGTAGTCGATGTGCTGGAGCATCTTGCTGCTCTTGCCCACCGTCTGCGGGGGAGGGGAGAGTGGGGGGGGAGTTTGATAGGTATTTTGAGGTCAAAGTGGAAAAGCCTCCCCATTGTCTTTTCCTTCACAAATCCTGCCTTAAGTGCATGCCTGTGTTTGAATAGGGTGAGCCTGTTACCTGGCTCAGGAACTAAGTATTTATCATTACGAAAGACTGGCCAGGCTCCCCAGGGTATCCAATCAAGTCACCATTAACAGGTAACCTGCCAGAAAGGAGGTAAACAAGGACAGGAGAGAAACAACCTTCAAATCTCTGCTTAGACCGCCTTTTCTGTGATGTATGGATGATGTTTCTGGGGGTGGTCTTGATCTACAGGGTGGCAAGTTCAAAAGTCTTTATAAGGCCTTGCGCACCATTCTTCTGGGTTCCTCCTCCCTCCTGCGTGTGGGGAGTGAGGACCCCGTTGCAACAGATCAATAGAGATCGGGCTTCCGAGCTGCCTTGCTTCTCAATATTCTCTGCTGGGCCTCCGCTATTCTCTCCTCCCCCCTTAAGGACTCCATAGGGGCTCTCGTGTCCCCCATAAGGGGAGAAGGGGCCCCCATCCCCCCCGCCCCCTCACCATGCTGGCGGCGGCGTCGGTCCTCCTTCCCTGCGCGGCTCCCCTCTGCCCGCCTGCCTGCCTGCCTGCCTTCCTTCCCGCCGCCGCCTCACGAACCAAAGACGCGCCTCGCGCTGCCTGAGCGGAACCGGAAGCGCTCGCCGACCGGACGCTCCCCGCCCTACTTCCGGCGCCGGGCTCCGCCCCTCGAAGGCGGGGCTCGTTGCCCGGGTGACCGCCCGGCGCGGCTCCGGAGAAGGGCGGAGCCGCGCCGTCTCCATGGCAGCCGGCGCCGGACGACGAGGCCCCGCCTCCCGGGCTGGAGAGAGACGGAGCGGAGCGGGCGCCAATGGGGGACGAGGCGCGCTCCTGAGTGGCGGGCGCCGCTGGCCAATGGGGCTGCGCGGCCGGGCGGGCGGGGCGGGACGCAGCCGGGGCCGCGGCCGGAGGGAGAGAGGAGGCGGCGGCGGCGGCGGCGCGGAGGGTCCCGGCAGCCGGGTGAGCGCGGGGCGGGCGGGGCGGGCGGGGAGGGCGGCCGGCCTCGGGGGCGGAGGGGCGGAGCGGCGACTCTCGGGGCTCCGTTTCCCCCTCCCGCCCCCGCCCCCTCTGTCTGTGGGTCACGCAGGGGGGGGGGAGGGGCCCGGCGACTTCAAAGGCAGCCTCCCCTCCGGACGCCGCTCTGTGGGGGGGGGGACACACGGGCGCCCCCTGCTGGGCCGGAGGGAGACCGGCCGGCCCCCCATCTCCGGACAGAGGCCCTCGCGGGCCGCCTCCTCCTCCCCCCTGCTGCTCCGGCGAGGCCCGGGGGGGGGGCGCCTGGAGGCCGCCTGCTGGGAGGGAGGGAGGGGGCGACCCCTCCTTTGGCCTGGAGGAGCTGCTCGGCTTCTTGCCCCAACTGGGCGCCCGGCAAGCATCTCCGCAGCTTGGGGGGGGGGACTCCTGCTCTTGCCCCCTCCCTGGCCCACCTGGGCGCCCCATCTCTGCTCCCCCCTCCCAGGCAGGCAGGGTCTGAGAGGGCCTGGGGGCGAGAGGCCTGGTCCTGCGCTGCCCAGGCCCCCACTTCCTGCGGGAGAGGAGGGGGAGCCCCAGGGGCTGCAGACCCCCCCCAAGTAGCCCCCGAAATGCCCCCGGGCTTCCTGTCGCCCGGCTCTGCTGCAGCAGGAGGCTGGTTCCTCTTCCCTTCCCAGAAGGAGGCGGCTTCCTCATGGGCTGCTGCTGCTGCTTTTGCTCTACCAGAACCTGGATGGGGAGCCACAACCCCGGACTCGCCTGGGGTGGGCAGCACCCTCAGCCCCCCCAGTGCAATGGACAGGTGGGGCGCTGCAGAGGGGCAGTTGGGGGAGAGGCAAAGGAAGGGACTTGGTGTGGGGCAGCTGCCTGGTGGGCTTGCCAGCATATGGGGTTTGCCATGCCTGATGGAAGCCTCTGCCCAGGCATTCAGGGCGGGACATTGGAGAAACACCTCCTTCTTTTAAAAAGAGCCAGCAGAATGCATGCATGTGGGCATCCGGAACAGATGCAGCGCTAGCTAAATCTCGGGTTCGATCTGCAGTGCCCTTTATTTCAGGGATCCATCCCTGGGAGACCCAGCTCTCTGGGCTCACTAACATGAAATAGTTTAGCGCCTTCATCTTCACCTCTCTTAAAAACTAAAGGGCAGATCATAATGGTCAACTGTGATGCCCTTAAAATATATTCAACTTTTCTTGGAAAAACAGATTGGGTTGGATGTATTGTGTATGTTGCAGCGTGCTTTATTCCCCCCCTCCAAAAAAAAAAAAGACCTGTTCAAAAACTTGCACAGCACATAATGACCCACATCTCCTGGCAAAACTAAGAGTCGGTCAAATAAAGCTACTGAAGCCTAGAGCCGCAGCAGCAGCAGCAGCAGCCAGGAGAGGGTTAAGTGCGCCTGGCCTTGAATCGGAGGCTGGTGGTGAAGGGGAGGCAGGCAGAGGCACCAGCTGCTCTGGCCCCGGCAAGGCAAAGAGGTGCTGAGCCCGTGTCCTCCCTGGCATCCCTTGGGAGGGGGCCTGGCTGGCTGCTGTGGTCAGGAGAGGGGCTCCTCACTTGCCTGCGCTTCCTCTGGGGCAACTCCTGGGCAAAAGAGCAGAGCTGGGGCATCCGGGTCACCCTGCCCTGCTTCCTTGCCAGGCTGCCCTCCCAGTGGCTTCCCAGCTCTAGGAAGGTGGGGCCGGGCAGTCTTTGGGGGCAGCCCAGAACTGGACCTGGCCAGGACAGCAGGAGGTGGCGCTGGGTGCCTCTGAGAGCAGTGCCCCTCCTTGCCAGGTCTTTGTTGGAAGCTGGGTGGGGGGGGCAAAGAGCTTGCCTAGCCAGGGGGCTGGCTCTGCTTGCCAGGGCTTTGGGCCTTTGTCTTTGGGCCTGTGCAGAGGCTGGGGCTGCTGGCTCCTCGGAGTGCCCGCTTGAGGGGGCATCTCTTGGGCAGAAGCCCCTCTGCCCTGGAGCTGACTTGCCTTTCCCCTCTGGCTAGGTTTGGGAGGCCCATTCCTCGCCCCCACCTGTGAGGTGGCCGTCAGCCAGGAGGGATGCCACCCCCGTCGGACATTGTCAAGGTGGCTGTGGAGTGGCCGGGGGCCAACGCTCAGCTGCTGGAGATTGACCAGGTGACGGGCGCAGGCCGACTTTAAGGGCATCAGAAGAGCTGCTGGATCGGGCCGGGGGGGGAGGGCAGGGACCACATCTAGCACCCTGTTCTCACAGTGGCCAACTGGGGGGTGGGGCAGAGCTGAGCCCACGTGGCTAGTAGCCATTGAGAGCCCTGTCCTCCTCCCAGAATGGGTCTGACCCTGGTGGCCAAGCTGCTTCCTGTGGGAGGGAGTTCCAGAGTTCCACTCTGCTCTCTGCTAAGAAGGGTTTTCTTTTCTCTGCCCTGACTCTTTCAACTGTCAGCTTCCTGGGGTGTCCAGGCCTTCTAGTGCTGAATGGTGGGTGGGCCGGGGGGGGGGCTGCTGATCACCTGCCGTCCAGAGGAGAGTTTCAGCTCAGGCTTCTCTTTCTTCCTCCTGCCTCTCTCAGAAGCGGCCTCTGGCGTCCATCATCAAGGAGGTCTGTGACGGGTGAGTGGGAACCACAACTGGCTTCATGGGGGCCACGCCAGCCTCTCTCCCCCCACTCCAGCCAGCTGCTTGCTTGGCGCTCTGCAGCTGCTGGATCCCCTCCTCTGAGCCCCTCACTTGCTCTTCCGGCTCCTGGGTGTGGCTCACCTGCCCCCCCCCGCTAGCTTGCTTCCTGAGGGAGGAGGCTGACATGGTCCTCCCCCCCCCCCCTTAGGTGGTCGCTGCCCAACCCAGAGTACTACACGCTGCGCTACGCAGATGGGGCCCAGCTGTACATTACAGAGCAGGTGCGTGGGAGCTGCTTCCTAACCCCTCATCCAAAAAAGCAGGGAGCGGGCCATGGGGTGCCAGGCAGCTCCTTGCAACTCTGATCAGGATGGGGGCCTTGGAGGAAACCCACAGAAGCAGACCAGGAGCCCCGCTGGGGGGCCTCCGCTCCTCTCCCAGTCGTGCTAAGCAGCCCCCCCTTCTTGCCTTGCAGACCCGCTGTGACATCAAGAATGGGACCATCCTCCAGCTGGCGGTTTCTCCAGTAGGTCTGGGCTGCCTCTGGGGGGTGGGGGGTGGGGGGTTCTTTATTCCCCTTGCAGGATTTGGAGCCTGCTGGCTGGCTTTGGGCTCATGGCACGAGGCCACCTCCTCTTGTTCTCTCTCTCCTGCCCGACTGAGGGGAGCCCTCTGGAGGGGTTGGGGGTTTGCAAGGGGCTATCTGTTGCCCTGCCCCCCAGTCCAGGGCCGCCCGCCAGCTGATGGACCGGACGCAGTCGCACAGCATGGAGGCTCGGCTGGAGGCCATGAAGGAGCTGGCCAAGCTCTCTGCAGACGTGACCTTTGCCACAGAGTTCATCAACATGGACGGCATCTCGGTGCTCACCCGCCTCGTGGAGAGCGGCACCAAGCTCCTCTCCCAGTAAGTGGACATCCAGCGCCAGCAGCGCTCACTTCCCTGAGGGTCTGTCCTTTAATGTTGACAGTTCTGGCCTTCTCTTTGCTCCAGCACTGCAGCCATTTGCAGCCCCCCAGGGCGCTCTTGGTTGGGGGGGGGGGCAGCTGCCTCAGGGCTGCCAAGAGGGCAGGGGAGGCAGCAGAGACTCGGGCGCCACCTCCTTGGCAGCGTTCTCTTTGCTCTTCCGCAGGACCTGGCTTGGGTGCTCTCTCTCTCCTCCTGGCATGGGAGGTGGCAGCCAGGGGCAGCCGGGATTTGATGCTGGTCACTGGGACACCCAGGGGCGCAAAGAGGGAAAAGGCCACCGGCTAGAAGACAATCCTCCCAGGCCTGGGTCTTCTCCCCATTACTTAATGTTGTAATGTAAGAACATAAGACCCCCCCCCACTGGATCAGGCCCAAGGGGGCCCACCAAGTCCAGCAGCCTGTTCTCACAGTGGCCAACCAGGTGCCCACCTGCGGTTATCGGCAACTGGGATTCAGAAGCATGGCTGTCTCTGACTGGCAAAGCCGAGCCACCCAGTGTCCTCTTCTCCTCCAGGACTTGGTGTGATCCACTCTGAAAGCCTTCTAAGGCGATGGCCATCAGTTTAGTTGCACTGTGCGAAGAAGGACTTTGTGTTATCAAGCCCTGGCGTTAGAAGACAGGGAGGAAAACGTTTCTCTCTCCACTTTCTCAATTCCATGCATGATTTTACAAACTTCCATTGTGTTGCCTCCTACATTTTCTCTAAACAGGCCCAAACGCTGCCACCCTTTCCTTAGCCAAGCCTTCCTAGATGTGTAACTTGGTTTGGCTTTTTAAACTTGATTTTATCTGCATTTTGGTAATGGCATCCTGCCTGCTGTTTTCGAAGTCTGTTTTCATTGCTGTTTGTAATGAATATTTTATGGTATTATATATACCATTTAATATGGTTTTTTAAAACTGCTGAATAGTTAATTCAATATCCACGTTGGCTTTTAGTGGGCAAGCGCAGGGAGGCCTTGAGCCTCTTGGTGGCCTGAGCAAATCCTCCTCTGTCACTGCCAGCCTTGGCTGGCTGGTCGCTCTGACTGCCCGGCCTGCTTTGCCCTTCCCTTTTCTGCTCTGCTTCTCCAGACGGCAGCACATCCCACAGGCGGATGGTGGAGCCACAGAGCATGGAGGGAGCGCGAATTCCTGCCTCTGGCCTCTGGGTTGCAGGTGCTGAGGACACTAGGAGGCCCCAGAAGCAGGCGGCTGCCTTTCCCACTGCCCACTAAGTGCTGACGTGAGACCGCCAAGACGGTGCCCGGTTGCAGCTCTGCGTCGCCCAGCAGAGTGACTCTCTGGAGGGGCTGCCTTGCCCAGCCATGAGTGGGGAGCGAGGGAGCCCTGAGGGTGCCTCCCCCCCTACTGATCTGCCATCCCCTGTGCCCCCTGCAGCTACAGTGAGATGCTGGCATTCACCCTGACAGCCTTCCTGGAGCTCATGGACCACGGCATCATCTCCTGGGACATGGTGTCCATCAGTTTCATCAAACAGGTACAGCCTCTGCGAGTGCAGGTGGCAGGGCTGGGCGATTGCTGCTTTTCAACATCTCACCCACTAAACATCACAATGTACCAGTATATTATAGAATCATAGAATAGAATCATAGAATCATGGAGTTGGAAGAGACCACAAGGGCCATCGAGTCCAACCCCCTGCCAAGCAGGAAACACCATCAGAGCACTCCTGACATATGGTTGTCAAGCCTCTGCTTAAAGACCTCCAAAGAAGGAGACTCCACCACACTCCTTGGCAGCAAATTCCACTGTCGAACAGCTCTCACTGTCAGGAAGTTCTTCCTAATGTTTAGGTGGAATCTTCTTTCTTGTAGTTTGGATCCATTGCTCCGTGTCCGCTTCTCTGGAGCAGCAGAAAACAACCTTTCTCCCTCCTCTATGTGACATCCTTTTATATATTTGAACATGGCTATCATATCACCCCTTAACCTCCTCTTCTCCAGGCTAAACATGCCCAGCTCCCTTAGCCGTTCTTCATAAGGCATCGTTTCCAGGCCTTTGACCATTTTGGCTGCCCTCCTCTGGACACGTTCCAGTTTGTCAGTGTCCTTCTTGAACTGTGGTGCCCAGAACTGGACACAGTACTGTGTCCTGTCTGAAATAAGGATGGAGCTATGCAGAGCCCTCGGCTGGCTTCACAGTTTCCCCCTCATTGTGATTTTTGCTGGCTCCTGCTCTTGGGATTCGCTGCCCTTGCATGAGGCAGGGGAGAGCTCAGCTGGCAGAGTTAACAGGGGCTGCAGGAACTGAGAGAAGCCTTGGCTGGCTTCGTGGTTTTTCCTGCATCGTGATTTTTGCATAGCAACCGTGATTCGCGATATATTGCCAGGTCAAAAACAACGAAACTGATACAGTAGTACCTCGGTTCTCAAACTTAATCCGTTCCATAAGTCCGTTCCAAAACCAAAGCGTTCCAAAACCAAGGTGCGTTTTCCCATAGAAGGTAATGCAGAATGAATTAATCTGTTCCAGACTTTTAAAAACAACCCCCGAAACAACAACTTAACATGAATTTTACTGTCCAATGAGACCATTGATCCATAAAATGAAAGCAATAAATAATGTACTGCAGTCACACAGTCAGTAGCTGAACTGGGCTCCAGACAAAAGAAGAGCCACAAAAACAAGACACAAAATAAATAGCAAAAACAGACAGACCTCAGTGTAGCACTCAAAACAGAAGTGTAACACTCAAAATGGAGCACGTTCGGCTTCCAAAAAAAAGTTTGCAAACCGGAACGCTTCCGGGTATGCTGTGTTTGGGTTCCAAATTGTTTGAGTACTAAGGCGTTTGAGAACCAAGGTACCACTGTATCGCAAAATGGACTTCAAACCAGTTTAGGCAACAGTCCTAGCAGGCGGCACAGGAGAAGGGGGGCTCCCTGGGCAGGGCAGTGGGCATGCATGCCTCTGGCGCTCAGCGGCCTCTGCCTCCCTCCCCCCCCAGATTGCAGGCTATGTGAGCCAGCCGACGGTGGACGTCTCCATCCTGCAGCGCTCCTTGGCCATCCTGGAGAGCATGGTGCTCAACAGCCAGAGCCTCTACCAGAAGATTGCCGAGGAGATCACCGTGGGGCAGCTCATTGCTCACCTGCAAGTGTGAGTAGCGCCTCCAGCACCGCACATCCTGTCAGGGGGGGAGGAGGTGGGGAGCCGCCTGCCACTCACCCCGCCCCCCTTGTGCCCCTGCAGCTCAAACCAGGAGATCCAGACGTATGCCATTGCCTTGATCAACGCCCTCTTTCTGAAGGCCCCGGAGGACAAGAGGCAGGTGGGTGGCCGGGCAAGGGGGTGCCATGGGGAGGGAGGGCACCAGCCATTGCACTCCTTCGCTGATGGGGGGCAGGGGGGAGGAAGGCTTCCTCCCCAGGTGGTGACTGGCCGGTCTGTGGATGTGCTGCGTGGCACTGCGTCTCTGTCTGCCCGTCCCCCGTCCCCCGCCCGCCTGCCTGCCCGCCCTCCCTGCGAGGGTCTCTGTGCTGACTCTTCTGCCGGCTTCTCTTTGTGTCTTTCTGCTTCCTGTTGTCCGCAGGAGAAGCTCCTTAACCCGCTAGACCTGCCTTGCACTGTAAGTAAATCCCTCAGACCAGGAGGTTCCTCTCTAAGAGCACTGGTGTTTTCTCTCTTCAGAGCCAGAAAGCGGGGTGGAAATGTCTTGGGAATAAATAGAGAGAGAGACCCCCGTACCCTTCCTCTGCCTCCGCCTCAGAGGCAGCCTTCTCCGTCTCCGTCTGTCTCCGTCTCTGCCTGTGTCTGTCTCTCTCTCACACATCTATCTGGCTTGCACACCTGGCATGTGTCCACAGGGAGAGGAGATTGTGGCCGCCTTCTCCTCCCTGGTTCTTTGGCTGCTGAGGCATTTTTGCCCTCCTGGACAAGCTGGGCTGCAGCTCCTGGCTAATCTGGAGAGGGCAAAACCAGGGTGATTCTTTTTCTTCCCCGCTGCCACCGCTTGGGTCTGTTGTTGCATCCTGTGGGGTGTGTGCTCTGTGGGTGCACAGGGACGGGCCCAGAGGGAGTGCAGGTGGCCTGGGCTCCTTGGCGGGGCTGCTGAGGTGGGGGCTTTGGGGTGCAGCTTTCCTCCAGCTGCTGCTGCAGCTGCTTTGGGTGATGGACAGCCAGAGGACTCTCCAAGGGTGGGAGCAGCCCCTTTGCTGAATGGCTGCGTTTCCTGTGCTTGGAGCAGGCTGCCACGGCACTGCTAGGCTGCTCAGCACCCTTCTCCCCCCCCCCCCCCAGGAGGTGGGGCACGGTTGGAGTTTCCTCTCTCTCTCTCTCTCTCTCTCTCTCTCTTCTGTCAACCCCCAACAGGAGATGGCCAATGCCTTTGCTCAGAAGCACCTGCGCTCCATCATCCTGGCAGTGAGTAGGACCAGGCTTCAGCCTTGACATAGCCTTGCCTCTGGGCAACCATCTGAACCCCGTCTTGGGGTGCCCAGTCTTTGTGGTCCCCCCATTGCACGGTCTCTGGCCTGCAGGCTGTGGGTGTTTCTGGGTGCAGAGGGTGGGGGCTCCTGTTCCCCCCAAGCAGGCGTGTCCCCCGCTGGTCAGGGGCCAGAAGGGGGACCTGGCCCTGCTCACGCAGGGAGGGGTTGGCAGGTGAGCCTCTTCCCTCTCCTCCCGCAGCACGTCATCCGGGGCAACCGCCCCATCAAGACGGAGATGGCCCATCAGCTGTACGTGCTGCAGGTCCTGACCTTCAACCTCTTGGAGGAGAGAATGATGACCAAAATGGACCCCAGCGACCAGGTGATTGGCAGGACTGTGGCCCCCTCCGTGTGAGCGGCAGCCTCCGCGCTGGGCTCACGCTCTGCCCTCTCTCCTCGCTCGCCAGGCCCAGAGGGACATCATCTTTGAGCTGCGCAGGATCGCCTTTGACGCCGAGTCGGAGAGCAACAGCCTCCCTGGGGGCGGGACAGAGAAGAGGAGAGCCATGTACACCAAGGACTACAAGATGCTGGGCTTCATGGTAGGCAGCCCCCCAAAACCCTCAGGCCGGGGGGTGGGGCATCTCCTCATTCAGCAGCCTGTTCTCCCCACGGTCAAGCAAGTGCCCCAGAGGGAACCAGCAGGCCAGACCAGAGCACGAGAGCAGCGCTTTCCCCTCCTGCCGTTCCAGCAACGGATATTTGATTCAATTTCATATTTATGGTCCACTTTTCCAGCCACAAATGTGGAGCTCAAAGCAGCTCACAATCATCACAATAACGTTAGAAAACAACAGACATTGCAGTTGCTATTCTGTCAAACACAATAACGTGTCAGTAAAGCAAACAATAACAAATTCATCAAAATGATTAATGCAATTAAGTAAATTTATAGTATTTCAAAATGCCAGAAAATATCAGAAATCGTTCATCAAAACTATTAATGCGATTAAAAATTCCCAAACTTGGGTCTCCAGCTGTTTTTGGACTACAGTTCCCATCATTGCTGGCCACTGGTCCTGCCAGCAAGTTTGCTAGCCCTCTCTTGGAGCTATCCTGTGGGAGAGAGTTCCACAGTTGAATTTTCCACTTCCTTTTCCCTGCCCTGAATCCCTCAGCAGTGGGGACCCCTTGGGGGCCGCTCCTTTCTTCTGCTGCTGATGGCAGCCGTTGGTTTTTCTCCCGCGTAGAACCACATCAACCCTGCCCTGGACTTCACCCAGACCCCGCCGGGGATGCTGGCCTTGGACAACATGCTCTACCTGGCCAAGTGCCACCAGGACACCTACATCCGGGTAAGCGGGGAGGGTGTCCCCCTGCGAAGGCCGAGGCTCCTGGACCAGCCCCACCCCCTCACTCTGCTCCCTTCCTGCCCCACAGATCGTCCTGGAGAACAGCAGCCGGGAGGATAAGCACGAGTGTCCCTTTGGGCGCAGCGCCATTGAGCTCACGAAGATGCTGTGCGAGATCCTGCAGGTTGGGGAGCTGCGTAAGTGAAGTCGGATGGGGGGGGGGGAGCACCCAGAGTCTTCTCTTGAGCACTTGTGCCAGAGGGGACCCTGAAGCTGCCTGTGCAGGAAAGTGGCCCCTGGACCGAAAGGCCCCCCCCCACCAGGGAATTTACGTTGCTTGTGGCCACGATGCCCCTCTTCCTCCCTGGTGCTCCCCCCGAGGTGCCATCCTGGCTGTTCTGACCTCCCTCCCTCTCCCCACCCAGCCAACGAGGGCCGCAACGACTACCACCCCATGTTTTTCACCCATGACCGCGCCTTCGAGGAGCTCTTTGCCATCTGCATCCAGCTGCTCAACAAGACCTGGAAGGAGATGCGGGCCACGGCAGAGGACTTCAACAAGGTGGGGTGGCCGTGGGGCAGAGGCAGGGGTGGGGGGTGGAGGCGGCAGCTGCACTCCAGTGGGCAGGGGTCTCCTCCCCTCTGCCCCTGGCACCTACTCCTGCCTTCCGGCCCAGCTGGGCTATCTCCCCTCCCCCCTCCTCCGTAAGAACAGAATGCTCCACTGGTCTGGCCCGGGGAAGGGGGGGTCACACTTTGAAATAGCAGGGAAACCAAGAGACTAGCAAGCAAAAGCGCCTTGTAAGGACCCAGTTGATTAAAAGTATTGCACAATAGGGCAGCCTTGCCAGCGAGCAAAGACTGCCAGAAAGGACATTTGAACAAAGCTTTTATTGGTATGCATCACAAAACATCATGGTATGTATCAAAAGAGGTTACAGGTCAAGGAGTGTCAAAAGTCCGGCTCCGCTCTGTTTTCATCTTTTGTACTTGTCTTCTGGCCTTCAGTAAAGAAAGGCCTGTTGACATTCCCTTATCTTCCTTCCATGTCCCTGGAATGCTTCAAGGAGAAGCTTGCTTCGCCCTCCCGACTCTAAATATACCTCCTTGGCTGGCTGTTGGTGCCCTTCTAGTAATACCAATAAGCTTCCCACCCTCCAGGGTCAGAGAAGCATGGAAATGCCATGCAGGAGGGAGGCCTGTGAGATTTGCAAAAGGCAGGAACACGAGAATCCAATCACTTGTGGATACATTGACACATCATCCTATAAAAGCGTGAAACAACTCGAGCCAAATTTGTACTGAGTCTAGCCCAGCATCCTGTTTTCACAGTGGCCAGCCACATTGCCCATGATGGGAGGCCCATGAGCAGGATCTGAGCGCGAGAGAACTTTTTCCCACCTCAGGTTTCCAGCGAGGGCCATCAAGAAGCATTCCTGCTACTGACCAGGGAGGCAAAGCAGAGCCACTGTGGTCAGTGGCCTCAATAGCCCTTTCAGAGCCACCCAGGCCATCCCTGCCTCCTGCAGGAGGAAGTTCCACAGGTTAACGATGCTCTGCGTGAAGAAGCCCTTCCCTCCCTCGGTCGTTGGATGTTCTCACACTTCTGGGAGAAGAGCTTCCCTCCTCGCCCCCCCCCCCGGTCTCCCTGCCAGGCGTAATTTTGCCCCCCTCTCCCAGGTGATGCAGGTGGTGCGGGAGCAGATCATGCGGGCGCTGCCCTCAAAGCCCAGCTCCCTGGACCAGTTCAAGAGCAAACTGCGCAGCCTCAGCTACTCGGAGATCCTGCGCCTGCGCCAGTCGGAGCGCATGAGCCAGGACGACTTCCACTCCCCGCCCATCATGTGAGCGGCCGCTTGGGGGGGTCAGGGCTGGGGGTGGCGCCTGGCAGGGGCAGCGGGGGTGCTCACTGGCTGCTGTGTGGCCGCCTCCCAGGGAGCTGCGGGAGAAGATCCAGCCCGAGATCCTGGAGCTCATCAAGCAGCAGCGCCTGAACCGCCTCTGCGAGGGGAGCAGCTTCCGCAAGATCGGGAACCGGCGGAGGCAAGGTGAGGGCAGCGGGGAGGAGAGGGCTGGGGGGGGGGAATCCTGGCCACGGCTGGCTCTGCAGGAGGGGAGGGTTGCTCTTGCCTTTGGGTCCCCCTTGGGGGCTTCCCTCTGGGACATGTGCTCAGTTCCTGTGAGGACAGGCCTGATCCGGCTGGGCTAATCTTAGGTCCTTATGGAACCTCCAGCTCCAGAGGCAGTCTACCTTGATTCCTAGATTCTATGTTTAGGGAAGTTTTTAATGACTGATGTTTTAATGTATTTTTTATCTTTTGTTGGAAGCCGCCCAGAGTGGCTGGGAAAACCCAGACAGATGGGTGGGGTAGAAATAAATCATAATCATAATTAGGCATTTGGCCCCCGTGACTTGATGCCCCCTCCCCCTTTGGGTCTTTCATTCTTTCCAAACCTTTCCAAACAGATGATTTTCTCCTCCAGCATAAATCAGGATCTTTTCAGGGGTGCCTCTTCGCTTGCCAATTATGTCCAGATTCAAAGGTTATTCCACAGCTCACCATGGGAGCTTGCTGGGACTGTCCTAGGATGGAGCCATTGAGCCCAGCGCCCTTGCCTTTTCGTCTGGGAGACGGGGATTTCCATCCCTTCTCACAAACAAACAAAAAGGCATTCACAGACGACTGCGGGTCGTGCACTTTTGATCTCCTTGAAAGGTATGGGGCTACATGCCCCTTACCCCCCCATTAGTCTCCGTCTGGGACCCCTCCTGGGCGCTAGAGCACCTGAGAGGGCAGCTTGCCAGGTTTGCTGCAAAACAGGAAGTCCACTTCTCCGTGATTTCAGAGAAGCGGCCTCCCTGCCTTCTTATGGGCCGTGTGCTGTTGTTCTCGCCCCGCAGAGCGGTTCTGGTTCTGCCGCCTGGCTCTGAACCACAAAGTGCTTCACTACGGGGACCTGGAGGACAACGCCCAGGGGGAGGTCACCTTTGAGGCCCTGCAGGAAAAGAGTGAGTGCCATGCCAGGCCGGGGGGGGGGTTAGGTGAGGCACTGGGCAGGGGCTCAATGACCAGCCCTCTGGGCAAGGGCAGCCAGCAGCCCCCGGGGGGCTTTCTCTGTGATTCCTGGGGGTACCTCCTCCCAACTCTCTGGTTCTGTGGAAGAGGGAAGGGGCTTTCCCGCTGTTCTTGCCCAGCCTGACCAGCAGCCCCTGCCTCTCGCCCAGTTCCCATTGCAGACATCAAGGCCGTCGTCACTGGGAAGGACTGTCCGCACATGAAGGAGAAGGGGGCTCTGAAGCAGAACAAGGTAGCTGGCTGGGGAGGGGAGGAAGACCCGGGGGGGGGTGTCCTTGGCAGGGGGTGGGGACTGGCCTCCTTGGCTCACCAGCCCTGCTCTCCCCTTCCCATCCACAGGAGGCTCTGGAGTTGGCCTTTTCCATCCTGTACGATCCGGATGAGACCCTGAACTTCATAGCCCCCAACAAATATGAGGTGAGTCAGGAGTGAGGGGAAGCTGCCTTTCGCCCGATAGATGGCCCTGCTCCTGCAATGCACTTCCTCCTCCTGGCGTGTCCCGTGGCTGCAGTTCTGAGTCATTGAATTGTAGAGCTGGAAGGCACCCCAAGGGCCATCTAGTCCAGCCCCTGCCATGCAGGAATCTCGGCTCAAGCATCCCTGACAGATGACCGTCCAACCTCTGCTCAGTAACCTCCTGGGAAGGAGAGTCCCCCACCTCCCGAAGGGAGACCCTTCCACAGTCTAACGGCTCTTACTGCCAGAAAGTTCTTCCTGGTGCTTCACTGGAATCTCCTTTCTTGTAGCTGGAAGGCATGGGTTCGAGTCCTGCCCTCCAGAGCAAGAGAAAACATGGGGCAGCCCTTGAGAGATTTGACGACTGCTCTCATATCTCCTGTCACTTCCTCTAGGGAAAGGGCTGTTCTCTCTGAAGGAAGCCCAGGCCACTTGGGGCTTTCACAAAACCAGGGGAGAGCGTTTGTGGGTGAAGCAGAGACTGTCTCCTTCCTCTTGAGCCCAGAAAATCGAAAGGAGGACTGAAAGGGGGTGGGGGCCCTGCCTTTTACCCAGGAGGCTTTCTTGTGCCCCTGCCCCCAGCTAGGGAAGCCATCCCCGGTCTCCATGTGGAGATTCTTAGAACAATCTCTGTGTCCAGCTGCCCCATCTGGGCTGCTCTTCCTCCATTTCCCCCCCGCTGCTTTGCTGCCTCTCTGCTTTCTTCAGCCCCCCGCCCTTGACTCTTTCCTCTCCGTCAACCTCAGCTCCTTTTTTCAAACCTTGCAAGGCTGACCATGTAGCTGCCCACCAACTTCCTTCCTGCCTCCCTCTCTCTCTCCCTCTCTCTCTTGCCTGTCTCTGCAAAGCTGCTCAGTCTCTGAAGAGTCAAGGCGGGGGGGGGGGGGAGAGACATGAATCCCACCATGGAAAATGGAAGGGAGCTCAGTGGCTGAGGAGAGAGGGACGTGGCAGGGTTGAGGAGCCTGATTTTCTTGCTTGGTTTTCTTCTGAAATAATGTGTATTGCTTTCCAAAATGAAAGGTTATGCAAAATTCTGCAAATTGCAGTGTTATCAGGCAGGATCTGGTGGCAATATACAGTCCATGTACAGTTACAGATCACGGTCAGGTAAAAACAAGGCACAAAATAAAACCCAAAGAAATTAAACGGCAGGTCCGTGAGTGCGTGGAAGGGGGCATAATGGCAGAGACATGAGACAAGGCGAGGGGGCAAGATGTGGACCCCGTTAACTCAAGGGAAAGGAAGGAAGGTTATTAGATGCCATTATATGGGAAGATCTTTTTGGATGAGGCCTCTGAGTCCGGCATCCTGTTCTCACAGAGGAGAGGACTCCCTGGGAAGCCCTTCCTGGGAGGTTTGTGAGCACAGCTTGTCTGTCTGTCAGCTGCCATTCCTGCATGACCCCTGGGGTCCCTTCCAACCCCACAATTCTGTGATGAAGGAAGCGGGGGCAGGTGTGTCCCCCCCCGCAACATGTCAGGGGGCAAGAGGAGGGGCAGCCAGGCCACACACCCCCTATGGTCCCTCCTGGGGTCTCAGGTCCCTCCTCCCCTCCCCCGCAGTACTGCATCTGGATTGACGGCCTGAACGCCCTCCTGGGGAAGGAGATGGGCAGTGACCTGACCAAGAGCGACCTGGACACGCTGCTCAGCATGGAGATGAAGCTGCGCCTGCTGGACCTGGAGAACATCCCCATCCCGGAGGTGCCCCCGCCCGTCCCCAAGGAGCCCAGCAGCTACGACTTCGTCTACCACTACGGATGACACCCCGGGGGGATCAGCCTCCGGCCCCCTCCAGCGCATGCCCAGGACCTCTTCTTCATGCTGGGGTGGGGGTGGCCTCCTCTCCAACTGCGGAAGGAGGGATCCTGCTGGGCCGTCGCGTTTGGGGTTTTTTTTTATGCTACGAGACTCTCCCCTCTATGGCAGCTGTTCTCCGCCCTGCAGCAGGGGGCAGCCAGAGCCCGGCTACTCCAGAATCAGCCGGCTGCGCTGGAGGGCTGAGCATGCTCTGAAGCCCCCCCCCCCGGTGGCATTCCCTGCAGATCTGTGGCAGAGCCGTCCCTGGTGTGCCTTTGCCTGATGTGCTTGGCCTGAGACCGCTGGGGCTCTTGCCTTCCCCGGGAAGGGGCATGGCAGATGGGGGCTGGCAGCAGAGCCTCATCCATGACTGTCTCTGGGGCCTGCCTTGTAGGGGGCTGGGCCAGGTGACCCCTGGGGACCCTTTCCAACTCTACCATTACATGATTCTCTTACTTTCCAGACAGGCAGGGGCTCCATCCTGTGAGCCCAGCAGTGGCAAATGCAGCCCGTGGTACAGCTTCTGCCCCCCCCCCCCATCTAGGCTCCCCTGGGTGGAAGAGCACTGAGACGCCTCCCCCACCAACCCAAGAAAGGCTGCCAATCTAGCTGCTTTCACCTGGCAGTGGGGCACAGTGCACAGGCTGGACCTGGCATGCCCCTCACCCCCCTCCCCGATCTTTGCATTAAAGGCTGTTTTCCTCCTTTTTGCCGGCTCCTGTTTCCTTCTTGCACAGACCAGGCTGTGGGAGGGGAAGATGCTGCCCAGGCTGAAGCAGAAGCGGACTGTTCCCTGGGAGGGAGAAAGGGCTTCCTGCTTCTTGTGGGTGCCAGTGCCTCTCCCCACCCCCCACCCCAGGCAGAAGTGAGAGCTGCCTGGTGAAGATGGTGCCAAAATCATGGATTTCAGAGAAGTGAGTGGGCAGCAACACGTCCCATTTCCCCTCTGAAAGCTGGCAGTAAACACCGGAGGTTCTGCTCATGCAGGTCTTATTTTGAGCAGAATATGGGTGCCTGTGAGGCTTCCTGCGGTTTTGGAAGACTGGGGACACGGACCCCCGCTTGCGAGGGCAGCCCAACCCTTCTCTGCCTGCTTGGCAGGGGGCTGCGTCTTGCCTCCCCACATCGAAGGCTTCAGCTTAAACCCTGTGGGCACAATCATCCCTGCTGTCCCCCTGCTCCCTTTTCGGAGTGGCTGGTTGGATTACAGCCAAATTTGGGCCACTTCATGAATGGAGCATCGCTGTCAACCTCTTTTTGGGGGGAAATTCCCTTATTCCAACGCTGTTTCCTGCTGCTAGCCCGGATGGTTAGATATCCCATAGACTGTCCCTGGGACAGGTGAGGCTGCTGATCACTTATTTTCAAATCTGAAAGTGGACAGCTATGGAATGGAGGGCGGTCAGGTCTAGCCAGCCAGGGGCCCATGGATGCCTTGCGGGCCGGGACTCCCAGCCTCCCACCCCTAACTGGTGAGGATTCTGGGAGACACTGGGACCTGGGGCCCATCCTTGGATGTTTGGGGAGACCCTGGAAGAGCTGCAGAGGTTTCCCAAGAGCAAGCCGTGCCAGGCTCCAGGCCGCTCTGTATCTGCCCGCTGGGCGCCTCCGGGACAAGGTGGTGGGTGCAGTAGGGCAGGGACAAGGGGGTCAAGCCCCACAGCTGCCTCGCTCGCCTCCCAGCCAGCCAGGTGCCCCGCCTGGAAGTCTCACTTGGCCCCCGACGGGCCCTTCCTGCAAGTGGGCGGCAGCAATCGGAGTCCGGACCTGGGTTCGAATTCACCCCCGGCCCATGAAGGTCACGGGGAGTAACCTTGCGCCAGTGACTGCTTCGGCCTCGCCTACCTCGCAGGGATGGGGGGATCACATGAGCAGGGGGAGAACCAGAAGGGGGGCAAGAAATGAAGGAAGCCGAGGGGCGCGGCGCCTCCCCAGGGTGCAGTGACGGCAGGCGCCGCCAGGAGGCGCTGGTCTTCGCCCCGGAGAAGGCGGAAGGGGCCGCTCTGGCGCGGCGAGTCTCTGTCGTCCGGCCGGCCGGGAAGGGGCGGGGCCTGTGGCCGGAAGCGGCTGTCGGGAGGGCGCGGCGGGATGCGGGCCCCGGGGGGCGGCGCGGGGTCGGCGGCGCTGGCGGCGGGGCTGGTGCTGCTCTACTACGCCTTCTCCATCGGCATCACCTTCTACAACAAGTGGATCATGAAGGTGGGCGGGGCGGGGGGGAGGGAGAGGCGCCCCTCCCCACCCGCCCCGCCCCCGGCTCACCCCCCTCTCCCCTCCCCCCTCTCCCCGCAGAGCTTCGGCTTCCCGCTCTTCATGACGCTGCTGCACCTGCTGGTCATCTTCGCGCTCTCGGGCCTGACGCGCCGCTGCGCCCGGAGACCCGCCCGCCCGCTGCTGCCCTGGGCCGCCTACCTGCGCCAGGTGGGCCCCGCAGGTGAGGCCGCTCCCTCTCTCCCGCTGCTCCGGGGAAGGCAGCTCAACAAGCTCTAGCTTAAAGCTCAAGGGACCCCTGACCATTAGGTCCAGTCGTGGCCGACTCTGGGGTTGCGGCCTCATCTCGCTTTACTGGCCGAGGGAGCCGGCATACAGCTTCCGGGTCATGTGGCCAGCAGGACTAAGCCGCTTCTGGTGAGCCAGAGCAGTGCACAGAAACGCCGTTTACCTTCCCGCCAGAGCAGTACCTATTTATCTACTTGCACTTTGACGTGCTTTCGAGCTGCTAGGTTGGCAGGAGCAGGGACTGAGCAACGGGAGCTCACCCCGTCACGGGGATTCAAACCGCCGACCTTCTGATCGGCAAGCCCTAGGCTCTGTGGTTTAACCCACAGTGCCACCCGCATCCCATAGCTCTAGCTTAGGGCCCCCAAAAAAATTTAAGGGAAAAAAACACTGAATGTACATTTCCAAAACATAAGATAAAAAAGAAATAAAATAAAACCGATACACAGCAACAGTGTTTTGTGTTGTGTAGGTTCTTATTTGTTATGTGCAAATAGTTTGAGATACGTATTAGTTCTGTTAATTACCATCTTGCATATATTCAAAACAAAAAACAGTGGCAATTTGCTGTTGACAAAGGACAGCTGGACATAGAAAGGACCCCATTACCTTCAGTATCAAAGCTAAATCCGGCCCTAGGGGGACCATTAGCCTTGAATTTCTGCACAAGCAGGCAGGCAGGACGAGAAGCATCAAGGCGAAGGGGCAGGACACACCTCTCCACGCCTTCTTTCACGGTTTGTGAAAATACGCCTGCTCATGTGGAGGGCAGCAGTTGGTTCTTTTCCTCTCCTGTTCCTCACACTTGGAGTCCACAGGGAAAGGGACCCAGGAAAGAGAAGGAAAAATGCGGAATGTACAATTTGTTCTTCCATATTTTACTGCCGGAAGAGGTGGAGGTTGGCCCGGCAGCTCAGTCCCAGGGGAGGAAGGTGGCAACATTCTATCCCCGAATGCTAGTTGCTTGGGGGCAAAGGAGAAGGGCTGTAGCCTTGTCCTCGTCTTGGGGGCTTCCTGGACACATCTTGGCTGACTAGCTGTGGGTGAGACAGCCAGGCTGACCTCTCATTTGGTCCTCTTTCTCTTTGCCTCTCAGCTCTGTCAACGGCCCTGGACGTGGGGCTCAGCAACTGGAGCTTCCTCTACATCACCGTCTCGCTGTGAGTATGGGGTGGGGTCTTGTGAAGACGCTGCCCGTCTCTCTTGCCTGCCTGCCTGACGGCCGCCTTCCTCCCTGGTCTTGCAGCTACACCATGACCAAGTCCTCGGCTGTCCTCTTCATCTTGTTCTTCTCTCTGGTCTTCAAGCTGGAGGAGCCGGTGAGCGCCCAGCCCCTGTGTCCCCAAGGCGGAGCGGGAGGGGATCATTGGGCCTGCGGCCACCAGCCAACCTGCGCTGTTCTTCTTCCCACCAGAGGGCGGCGCTGGTGCTGGTGGTGCTGCTCATTGCAGGGGGGCTCTTCCTCTTCACCTACAAGGCGACGCAGTTTGACATGGAGGGCTTTGCCATGGTGCTGGGCGCCTCCTTCCTGGGCGGAATCCGCTGGACGCTGACACAGATACTTCTGCAGAAGGACGAGCTGGGTATGTGCCCTTCTGGGGCGGGTGTCGGGGGGGGGCAGGCGACACCCTGCACCGTTTCCCCCTCCTTGATGGGCTCCCCCTTCTCACCCTCCTGGCAGGACTCCAGAATCCCATAGACACCATGTTCCACCTGCAGCCAGCCATGTTCCTGGGCCTCTTCCCCCTCTTCGCTGCATTTGAGGGTAAGTTGTTTGGGTGAGGCGGGGACAGAAATGGCACCTGAGCGGGAAGCAGAGGGAGCGGCAGAGCAGGGGATCCAGGTGCAAATCTTCTCCCAGGGGAGCTGTTCCCCAAAAGGATGCTTGTCTGGGGGTTTCTTACTCTAGGGCAGTGGTTCCCAACCTTTTTTTGGTCGTGCCGCACCTAAGCATCTCTAAAATCCTGGTCCCCCCACATAACCTATAATTCTTATTATTCAAAAAGTGAACTAATCACGTGGAGGAAGCCTAAAAGGCCATTAACTGTTAATAACTCATTCTCAAATTGCCCCCTAGTGGGGTGTGTGCCCCACACTGGGAACCATGGCTCTAGGGAATTCACTGGGGTCCAAGCAGGGTTTAGGTTCCTTCTCCAAAGCTGTTGGCTGGTACGTTCGTAGCTCCAGTCGTGTAGAAGGGGGGAGGGAGAGATTCTGGGGAGGAATAGGGAAATGTAAAATAGTCTTTTGTTAGGTGTGGACAGAATGTGCGGGGTTGTATCCATGCTCATAGACCCAGGGAAGCGAGTGGAGGTGGCTAGACAGCGCCCTGTGATGGCGCATTGTGCATAAGTGGAAGAGAACAATGAGCGGGGGGAAAAGCCACGTCCGTCAGGCTACTTTGGGCTGGTTCTTTAGTTCTCGGCAAACAGAAGTTACAAATCTAGAGCTGGAGCTGCAAGACAGGACACCACCCAAAAGCATCTCAGTTCATAGGAAATTTTAAAAAACATCAACGTTGAAAATCAAAACTGTCACCACTGTGGAAACCCAAAGAAATGCTGTATTTGGACTTGGGAATTATTTGTTTGCTTCAGTGCAGTCTTGCGGCCACCAAAGCAGCTCCTCTTCCTGTAGGAAAAGCTCATAGTGGACCCCTCAGGCCTCCCCTCCCCGCAGGTGGTCAGGCAACTTTCCTGGTCAGTTGCAAGGAGTATTTTCCTTGGTTGCGGAGGGAGAGAAACCCTTGGAGTGTTTGTCAATCTGTTGCTGAGTTTCTGCCTGCTCCAAGGTGGGTCGGCCTCCCCAGAACAGGGCTGAGCTTCCCTGGGCCCCTGGCTCGGCAGGAGGAGCCCTGAGGGCCCCTAGGGCTGAGCACCCTCCCTTGGAAGTCCAGCCCACGGCACTTGCTTCCTGAGCCCTCTCTCTCCCCCCCTTCCTCCCAGGCCTGCCCTTGTCTGCGTCGGAGAAGCTCTTCCGTTTCCACGAGGTGGACCGTCTGCTGGGCCTCTTGGGCAAGCTGGCCCTGGGGGGGCTGCTGGCCTTTGGGCTGGGCTTCTCCGAGTTCCTCCTGGTGTCGAAAACCTCCAGCCTCACCTTGTCCATCTCTGGCATTTTCAAGGTATTGGGTGGCCTTTCCTCCTCTGGCCCTTCCTTGCCCAGCCAGCCAACCCATGGCCCCAGTCGCCTCTTGCTTGGCCCCGGGTGGGAGCCCATGAGTCTTTGGGGTGGGGTCTTCTCTTTGTCCCATGGAGGCCTGAGGGGCTTCTGTGCCCCAGTGAGAAGTGCTCAGTCCACCCCCTTCCCAATGTGAGACTTTCAATTGGCTCCTGGGGCCGCCAGTCCTGGCGGCTGTGACTCGCTCCTGCTGTTGTCCTCAGGAGGTCTGCACTCTTCTGCTGGCCACGCACCTCATGGGAGACCGCCTGAGCCTCTTGAACTGGCTGGGCTTCGTCGTCTGCCTCCTGGGGCTCTCCCTCCATGTTGCGCTGAAGGCTCTCAGTGCCACAGGTAATGTTGGGGGTGGTGGGGTCTTGGGACTTGGGCTTCCTGCATAGCCAAGGTTTGGGGTGGGGGCCGGAGAAGCCCGGCTGCCTGTTGGGGGCTGGCTGACCAGTGCCTCCTTCTCTGCAGGGCAAAAGGGTGCCAGGCAGCCCAAGGAGTCTTGCTCCAGCCCGGACTTGGAGTTGCTGCTGCTCCACCACCAGGAGGAAGAGGACCCTGCGGGATTCCCCCAGCGCTGAAACACGCCAGCAGCTCAGCCAAGAGAGCCCAAGGCAGGGGGAGCCGGCTACCCCGGAGGGCCTCAAATGGGGGGGCTTGGGACCCCTTAGAAGGGAAGAGGCTGAAGCACTTGGGCCCTGGTGTTATGGGAAAGATCTCGGGGGTGGGGAGCCACAGGAAGCTTGGGGGGCGCTGCGCTGCGTTGGGTCTCCGTGGCTCAGAGAGGGAGCTTGGGGGAGGCTGTAAAGTGAGGCTGACCGTGCCATCCTGTGACACTGGGTGCCTCCTTTCTGCACCCATCTTTGTGCCCTCTGGCCTGCGTGCCCCTCAGGGTCGGAGGCAGTGCCACGTGAATGTGTTAAGGAGCGAAAAGGCTGTTGGGGTTGGAGGACCAGCTGGTGCTTTGGGAGACGTGTTGGGACCAAAGTGGGCTGAGGCCAGAGCAGCAGCCGAGAGCCTCCTGCTTTCTGCTTCTGGGTTTGCAGCAGTCCCTGGAGTTTGCAGGGGGTGGGCATCATGGTGGTCTCAGAACTAGGCGCTTCTGAGATGGTACTCGGAGCTCCAGCTACTGGAGGAAGCAGTAGAAACCTGCCACGAACTTGGGCAGGGTGTGGGCAGAGAGAGAGTTGGGCATAGGACCAGAAGGTAGCCTTGTGGAAAGCAGCTTGGGAGCTGGAGCCCTGAACGCGGAATGCCCTGGACCAGTCAGGCAGCCTGGGGGAAGAGGAGCCCTCCCATGCTGATATCTTGAAGACACGGGAGGCCATCTCTGGGCTCTGAAGAGTAGCATTTCAGTGTCCTCAACCCTCTTCACCCTTGCTTGGAAGTAAGTCCCATGGAAGTCATCCGGATTTGCAAGCAAGCAAGTATCGGATCGCAGCCCTGGGGAAGAATGTGGCAGCCGCCTTGCCAGTTCCCCTCCACTCCCAGCTGTGGCTGCTCAGAATGGCCCTGGGCAGCTGGCAAGAAGGACACGGGGTGGCGCTGGCAGCCGCTGCCACCATTCAGAGGTGTGCATGGTATTCTGAAATGCAGCTGTGCCATCCATTCAGATGTAATGGTGGCGCTTGTGGTTTTAGTTGGACCAAAGCGGGCCCATCCAGCCCGGCTTCCAGCCTCCCAGAGTGGCCGGTCAGATGCCCCCAAGGGAGACCCCCCCCCCCGAGGACTGAGGGCTCTCCCCACCCTGATTTCTGGAGGCGGCATGGAGTCGCGCTCTGTCCAGTCGCCACTTGCAGCCACTCTTCCTCTGTCCCCGGCTAAAGCCAGCTGAGCTGGTGGCCATCACTGCCTCTCCTGGGAGCAAATCCCAGAGTTTAACTCTTCACCGTGTGAAGAAGGGCCTCCTTCTCTCCCCATCCCAAATCTCCCTCTTCCTTGGTGACCCTTCTTGGGTTCTAGTAGCAGGAGAGGGAGGAAAACCTTGCTCATTTTGCCCAGTTTCACCCATCATGTTTCCATTTTCTAACCTCAGCCTGTTGCAACCTTCCTTCAAGGGGCAGCTGCTCCAGCCCTTTAATCTTGGGGGGGGGGGGGAGCTGTTGGTTGGTTGCTTTTTCACCCTTGAACATTTTGCCCTCCGTTTTCTAGAGCTTTTTCCAGCTCTGCTGTGCTTCTTCTGGAGATGAAGTGAGCAGAACCAGACTGTATCCCATATTCAGCCACCATAAATTTTCATAAGGAAAATGAGATGACCCGACTACCCTTATGGAAATCTATGACAGGATCACACTTGGAATCCTGTAGGCGGCTTTGCTTTTGATCCCTAATGTTGGATTTGACACATTCACAGCTGCTGCACATTCACTTGACATTTTCAGCTCCCCACTGCAGCCCCAAGATCCCTTTCCTCACCCGTCACTCGGAGGATGTACAATCACATTGAACCACATTTGCCATTTTGTCACCTGGCTGGCTTGGTGGCAGGAGGGGATCCCTGGGGATCCCTTGGCTGTCCATTTCCCCCTCACCATTCTCAATAATGTGATGTTGTCCACAAACTTGACCAGCTCTCTGCCGATCCTTTGCTTTGGATCCTTTATGATCAAGTTAAAAATCATGATTAAAAAAATCCTTCCAGAAACAAAAGCTCATACCAGTAACCAACTTGCTTGGTCTCTAAGGTGCTACAGGAAGGATTTTTTTAATTTTGTTTTGACTACGGCAGACCAACACGGCTACCTACCTGTAATTAAAAATCATGGTACCCTGCATGGAGCCTCTCTTATAATAATAATAATAATAATAATAATAATAATAATAATAATTATTATTATTTATTTCCTGCCTTGCAGGAATGGAAGGATGTTCATTCCTCCTCGCTGCTTCCTGTTCAAGCAGTTGCCCTTCCAGGAGAGGCCTGTCCTTTCCTTCCACAGCTGCTCAATATGCCTCATATCTTGGGAACATTTGGTGGGAAGTGGAGTTTCTGCAAGAGAGGAGAGTTGCCTCTTTGCTGAGCTTGTTAAGATTCTTGAATTCCCCACTGGTGTGAAGTGAGTGACCTTCATTCCACGGCTGAGGAGGGTTAGGGTCAGGCCCGGCTGGCCCTTGCCTGCCTGATGCCCTGAGCAAAAGGCTTTGTCCTCCTGGGCCCATTGTCTGCCTGGCCTTTGATTTGCAGGGACAATTTGCTCTTGGGTTGCTCCTCGCCTGCTCTAAGCCCCCGTGAACTGAACTGCCTTCTTGCCTGCCCTTTTCCTAATTTGCGGTCAGTGCTCTTATTTTGAGATGCAACTACAGCGGCCCTTCAAGACAAGGCACGTGGGCAATTGCGTTTAGTTGAAGAGCAGCCGTGGCAGAGATGCAGAGAATCCACAAAGCTGCCAGGGAGAATCCCAAGAGCAGAATATTCTGGTGGGGGGGGGGGGGGCTGAAATGTACATTCCACAAAAACGCACAGCTGATTTCAAGCATCCAAAGGTACCCTATAAACTTCTTAACAAAGGAAATGTAATTGCCTGTGTGTCTTAAATGTTTTTAGTGTAAATTGTTGAATCTGCAATCTTTTGGAAAAGGTGTGATTGTGAAGAAAGACACCCATGTTCTCCTTTGCCTGGAGGGGAAGGTGTTCTGCGGAGTCAGGCCACAGATCTGGACCTGCCAAGGAGCCGTGTCCTTGCACCCCCGTACAGCCCCACCTCTCAGTCCCAAGGACCTCGGCTGCTGTGGCTGTCTGGGACCTGCCTGTGCTCTGCCCCTGCCCCCTGCTGAGGAGGGGGGCTTCTTGGCCCCCAGGCGCTCTGCCCCAACCAAGCTCCACAGACAGGAAGGAGTTGGGAGATGCCCCGGAGTTCTGCCTGTCAGCCCTTTCCTCCTCCATGCTGGGCACGACTGGAGTGGCCCGGGCCAGCCACTGCTCCATGGCAACGCTGTGGGAGGCCAGGGGTGTTGCTGTGTGCTTGCGTTGGTTCTGGAGGAGCCATGCTGAAGAAGGCCCCCTCTCTGTGCAGGGTATCTCAACATGGGAAGGATCCTTTGCGTAAGCTGGAAGTGACCGTGGGAATAGAAATGGCGGGGGGGGGGGGAGGGAGTTGCCAAAAGCAAGGGAGAGTGGAAATCAGACATGAAATCATCTATCCCACCTCAAAATAGGCGGCGCAGCAGCAGAGAAGCCACTGCAGAGAGCAGCAGGAGGAACGGCTTGGGGTCTCTTCCCTGGGAAGGTGGATGGGGAGGAGGAAGCAGGCAGCTGCCCTTGGGCATCGGTGGGGGGGGAGGGGAAGGAGGCCTCTCGCCCTCTGCCCTTCCTCAAAGCCTGAGAACTGAAGCAACGCGGAGTTGCCAGTCTGAAGGGCCCAGAGGAAGAAGGGCACCTTCAGGCGAGGCTGGCTTAGCAGCGACAGACTTTGCCACAGCAGCCTTTGAAGCATAAGAAAACTGTGATGCATGTCGGGATGGAAGCATCTCCTGTGACGGGAACCTGGACGGCCAAGCACACCGTCTTGGGGAGTGGGCAGGAAGAGACAGGTGTGTTCTCTCCTGCTCCCCCAATGGCTTTGGCCACACAGGAAGCGGGCAGCAGGTGGCGCTGCTGTGCCAGGCGCCCATGTGCTAGGCTGCTGCTTCCTCCTGCATGTGTTTGGCCTGCAGCTGCCAAATGAAAACCTCAGCAGCTTGGAGGGCCTGGGTTGGGGGGTCTGGGGGCTTCTGGGGGGGCAACAGGGCCTCTGAATCCTCTCCTTCCTAGGCAGTGGGTCCTGCTGTGCTCTGCAGGTTCCTCCTGGGCTCCAAGCTGTGGAGCCGTTTCCAGGGGGCGCTGGGAAGTCACACTCCGATGGCCCCTGGCATTTGCCCCCTGCTCCTGCTGAGGGCTGCTGGAGAAGGGTGAAGAGGCAGCTGCCACTCAAGGTGTAAAACCGAAGATCCCCTCCTGGATCAGGCCAAAGGTGGAGGGCACCTCACCTGTCCTGTTCTCTCACAGTGGCCAGCCAGGTATTGCAACAGGAAGGTCCACAGGCAGCAAGGCAGGAGCACCTTGGCAGCAGCTCTCACATTCCCTGGTCCCTGCTGCTCAGATACTCGGCAACTATCCTACTTTGAAGAGACATCTGAAGGCAGCCCTGTTTAGGGAAGTTTTTAATGTTTAATGCTGTATTGTGTTTTTAATATTCGATTGGGAGCCACCCAGAGTGGCTGGGGTATAAATAAATTACTATTATTACACGTCCTTCACATACAGTGCTGCTCCTCCTCCCTGCTTGGTCTATTCCTTTTGAACAGGTCATACCCCTCAGTTCCAAATTCAAGCCATGTCTCTCATCCCACCAGGTTTCAGTAGTCCCTACCAGGTCATATTTGCCATCCTGTATTAAACGCACCAATTTTTCTTGCTTGTTTTCCATGCTCTGTGCATTAGTTGCCCCTCTACTAATGTGTAGAGCATGGGAAACAAGCAAGACGAATGCCCTCTGGGAGCTGTTGGGCTCCAACTCCCATCATCCCTGACCATTGGCCTTGCTGGCTGCTGGGACTTGGCCAGTGGTGGGTGGGACCACAGGCAAAGATGTCTATGGAGTGGCTGGTGTGAATGGGACCCTTCTCCACAGACTCTTGCACCCCCCATTTCATTAGGCAAGGAAGAGGCATTCTCCAGGGGTCAAGAACCAAAACACTTTATATAGGCTTTATATTGGGGGTGGGGGCAGAGCCCCAGTTAATTCTTTTTATTGATTTACTTGATTACCCACCTTCCCCTGGCTACACCCACGCCTGGAGGGATACGTTTGAGCCCCAGGCCTGGGCTCCTCTCCTCTGCAGCCATCATGGCAGGGGATGCCAACCCAGTGCCCAGGAGCACAAGGCTGCTTTGGTGCCCCTGGGATGAACTTGAATTCCTAGATTCACAGCTTTCATTTTTTTAAAAATGTAAGGTTAAAGCATCTTTTGGAAGATATGAGGCAACAGATATGGACAGCAATCGTTTTGTGCGTGAGAGAGAAATTAGCCCTCTGCCTTTCAGGTTTTCCTCCCCCCAGAAAAATGGATGCCCATATATGTGAGAGAGGGAGAGTTGGGCTTTGTAAGGGGAGGAGAGACCGTGTGTGGTCTGGTCTGTGAGAGATGCATTTGGGCAGAGAGAGGGGAGGAGCATTTGTGGTGGGAGGTGAGCAATGCATGTGTGTGTTGGGTGTCCATGTGCATGAGAGAGTTTTGTGTGGGCACCTGGTACATTTTTGCTGATGCTGAGAAATGCTCCCTATTGTTAGCCAGCAACCCCACCTGGGGGGGGGGGAAGCACAGAAATTAACATCAACCAGCAGACACAGCTGACTTCTCATGGGAACCTGAGGTTGAGGAGGAAGCCACAGTGACTGCTCTCTCTAACTGTGTGTGATGCCATGCTCACATGGTGGCCGTTTTGTGACTGGTGCCCACATCACAGTCTTAAAAGTGAACAAAGACATTCGGCCAGAGATGTGGAAACTCAGATTTTGTTCTTCTAAAACCGCAGAAAGCACAAGGTGGGCTTCCTTCAGGGGCTAAGTGAGCACCAGGTGTTGTCAGAGAGCAGGTTGTGATGTGTGGGGTCATGGAAGGAAGGGGGCAGGCCTTGAGGAATCCGGCCTCTAGTGACCCAGGCCTAGGAGGGGGCTGGCATTTCATCCTGGGTCTCCCTGTGCTGCTCCCACAGCCAGTTGACACAACCAATTGTGCCTCAGCTGGCAGTTGCCATTAATATACTTGGGAGCACAAGTTGTCTGCCAGAGTCGCTGTCGGAGGAACTCCATCATTTCCCCAGCGATAAGACTTAGTCTTTACAGAGCATTTCCTCTTAGGTATTCCAGGTGTGTTCCATGCCATCATTTCAGCAACCCTTCCAGCACTGCTGTGAAGGCAGACCAGGCTTCCTACCTCCACGGGGGAGGAGGAGGGCTGTGAGGCAGATGGAGGCTGCCTGCCTGAGGCCACACAGTCTCTGGGGCCTGGGGTCAGCCTGGCACTTGGCCCTGGGCCCCCCATGGGCTCAAGGCAGACGTCTCCCTCCCTGGCACCTCCTTCAAGTGGCAGAGAGAAGGCTTTGCCTCCCCAGCTGCAGTGCCCTCGCCTGCCAGTTTCCGAGCCAGAGATGCTTCCTGGTCCTCTTCTCTGGCAGCCAGCAAGGCTGGTGCTAAGGCAGTCGGTCGCCGCAGAGGCAGCCGCCTTGCACTGCCCTTTCCTGCCCCATGAATTAAGCAGCCCCTGTGGGGAGCTTGGTAATACTTTTATTAATAGTTAATTACTCCCTCTGCCTTGCCAGAGAAATGAGACTCACTCAGGCCTCATAAATCCAAGCAGTGATCCTGCAATAAAAAGCAGCAAGGAGACTTCATTCCGGTGGCTCCTTCAGCAGCCTTGCCTACAGCGCTGGCATTTAGGGAATGACAAACGTCGGCACCAGGTGCCTGGGCGCAAGGGCGCAGAGGAGAGGGGTCTGGCTCCCGTCCAGGAACAGGCCTCCCTCTGCTCTGGGCTGGATCCATGGCAGGCTGCAAGTGGCCTTTGCTCTGGGGATCCTTGTGGGGGGACAGCAGCCCCCTGTTGCACTGGCATGAGAAAATGGGATAGACTACTTTGGCTTGGTGAAGTTCTCCATCCTTGGGCCCAGAAACTAATAGGCAGCCAATGCAGTTGGACCAGGATCGGTGTAAAATTCTCACACCTTTTGTGCCAATGAGCAGCCTGGCTGCCAAATTCTGCAGCAGCTGAAGTTTCCAAGAACAGTCTTCAGAGGAAGCCCCATGCACAATGCGTTGCAGTAATCAAACCTGGAGGTTACTAGAGCGCAGTTGACAGAGGTGAGGCTATCCTGTCCAGGTAGGAGCGCAGCTGGAAGAGGGCGGCTGGGAGCTGAGCTGGGGAATCCGGTCTTGCCTGCCCTGCAGATGATGGGCACGACCCTCGGGGGTCTTCTTCCCCAGGCCTCTGAGCGCTTCCAAGCGCGGCTTCTAACGGGGGTCGCTGCCAGATTTAGGGGGGCCTTGCATGGCGCTGGTGCCCCTCGCCAACAGCGCACAGTGGCCGCCGTGCTTCCCCGCCGCCTTTCCCGGGGAGCATCGAGACCTGGAGGGCAGAGACGGCGGCCGCCCCATCCAGTCCAGGCAGCAGGTCAGACGCCACGCTCTGTCCGGTTCCCATGAACCTGGCAGCCCCGCGGGAAGACGGGGAAAGGGAGTCCCCGGGAGCGGCTCTGCAAGCCCCCGCCGGCCCGCGAGCTTGGCGACCCCGTGCCTAAGAGGGAGGCGCCGCTGCTTGGACGGGGCGGGGAGAGGGAGGGGCGGTTCGGCTGGTTGTCCGGCGTCCGCTTGGCTCCTCGAGGGTTTCGAAGGCCGTTCTGGCGAGGCCGTCGCCACGCGGCTGCGCCCACGAGCCCCCCGACGCCCTCTTCCCGGTGCCAGCCTCCGGAGCCCGGGGATCTCTGCAGCTCCGCGCCTGCTGGTGGAAGCCGGAGTCCGACGGCAGCCGCCCTCCGCGCCCGGTCTGGGGTCGCCAGCGGACAACGGGCTCGTCGCGGGCGCGCCTTGCCTCTGCCGAGCGAGCGCGCACGGTACTTTGGGGGGGGTCTCCCTCCCGCCCCGTCGAGGAGCGAAGGTGCCTTTGGCGAGAGCCCCCGCTCGTTGCCGCCCCCCGGATTTGCATAATCCTGCATGGCGATATGATAATGATGTTTGTTAAAGACAGAACGCAATAAATTCATCCCGTTAAGTTGTTGCTGCGAAAGGCAAAGAGAGTGATTTACGGCGGCGGTGCGGAGCCGCGTCGAGGCTGCGGCAAGGCGGGCGGACCACGGCGGGCTGCCTGTGCCGGGAGACCCCCCAGTGCCCCCACCCAGCCATGCCCCCCAAAGGCAAGGGCGGCGGAGCCGGGCGCCGAGTCCTGAGACCCTGGAGGCCCCTCCCCTCCGGGCACCCAGCCCCCCACCCGCCGGGCGGCGCTGGGAAGCCGCTTTCTGCGGGGCCTGGACGTTGCTCCCCCGCCCAGCTCGTAGATCCCACGGTTACAATATCTGGGTATCTCAGAAGCACCATTCCAAGGAATGGTAACCTATTTATTAAAATGGAAATTTGGAAGCACCTTCTTCCCCCAGGAACGACTTCGTGGCCCTCTTGAGTTTGCCAAAGAGCCTTTGTGACAACTCACAAATCTGACAAGAGGGAGAGAAGGCAAGGCAAGGCTAGAACTGCATTGAAAAATGAAGCTGGTTCATGCTGCACTGGACCGAGGAGGGACAAGAAAGAGGAAATCTCTCTTCCCTGTATATAGAAATTGTAGAAAGTTTTATGCTCTTATATTACTAATTAAGCAGTTTATCAAGCTATATTAAGTAAGCTAGAAATGTGTAACATAAATATTTTTCTATTTTCTATTTATACACATAGTATTTATAAAATCAGGAGGGACAAAAGAAGACCAGAGAAGCCCTGCGGCAGCACCAGTAGCAGGATGAGGCCAAGGGAGGCCCATCCAGTCGGGGCTCCTCTTCTCAGCCCGGCTGACCCTGCAAGTGGCCCCCAGAGGCCTCTGGCCCCAACACAGCCGTTTCCTCCTGACTTTGGCTAAAGCTGCCAGGCACCCATGAAATCTGGATTATTCTTTTATGGAGTCAGCGTGACCCCCAAGGAAAACACCCCCCAAAGGGGGAGCCCACTAGCCAGGGTGTGGTTCTGCTGGGCATGGCGCCTTGAAGGTAGCAGACCTGGGCAGCTCACTGCCACTTGGGGGTGCAATGGCAGGCTCACTGGGTGGCAGGGAAGCAGGGACCAGGCCAGGCCTGCTGTTGCTCTTCGTTGTCCTGATCCGCAGGCCCAAAGGAGGGTCTGAATGAGTGGTTGGATGCAGGGAGACCAGAGGGATGTCAGGAATGCCAGAAGGGAAGGACCGCTTTTGTTGCTTCATGAAAGAAAGGTGAGAGCTTTCAAGGCTTCCTACAGAGCCCGGCTCCCTTTACAGACTCCAGGCAGATGCCAAAGCAGCAGGCAGGTGTCATGACTCATCTGTGAGGTGCTAATATGTTAAGCATTACTTATACACCCAGCAAGCTAGGAAGTTGGCATCAGGAGCCCAGTTAGCTCTCTTCTGGCTTGGAGGCCCCTTTCCAGCTCTCCAGCATCTCTCAGGTCAAGGGAAGAGTGACAGGCAGCCAGTGTCAAAGCCTCTCCTCTCCCAATGAGCTGAACCAAAACTAAGACTGGGAAGCGTCAAGGGATACAAACCTGTGTGAATTTATTTTTGCAGCAACTAACACTTTGTTTCAGGGTTATCTTGATGACCAAAGCGGCATTTACAGGCCTTCCAGGACATTTTCTCCTTTGGGTTCTAGGCAGCCCTCCTGCCTTCAGGGGCCAAGAGGCCATTTGGACCAGGGGCAACCCCTCCCTTGGCTCCCCCAGGACGGAGCAGGCCTCCTCCTCCTCCTCCACCAGAGCTGGGGGTGAGCAACAGTGCCAGGTGGGGAGGTGGGCAAGCTGAGAGGGCAGCTCTCCGGGGCCTGACCTGGATAGGTGCAAAGGAAAGGGAGCGCCAAGGACCTGCAATAACGAAGAGGCAGTGAAAATAGGGAAGTTTTTCAAACAAAGGTTGGCTGGCTCCTTTTCGGGGATTATTGAGTTGTGGGTCCTGTATTACTGGGGGTTGGACCGGATGACCCTTGGGGGTCCCTGGCAGCTCTCTGATTCTACGATTCCATGCAAGGTTTTCTTTCTGGAATGGAATTAGCCAGGGTGCTTTTAGGGCATGCCAGGTCTGGAGACACTTATGAGGATGTGGCCACAGCAGGGCAGTTAGTGCCAGAGCCCCTTGCCTCCTCCCCCCCCAAACCTGTTCCTGGTGCCAGTCCCAAGAGAGGGGGCAGAGTAAGACCTGGAAGCCTTTCTTGGGTGCAGAAATAACTAATTGCAGCAGCAGCAGCAAGAGGAGGGAGGGAGGGAGGGAGGGCTGATTTACACCTCGTCAGGCCTGCGTGGCCTCCCCTCATTACCAGCCCTTGCCTCGTTATTTATTCCTGTCTGAATATTTCATTGTCTTAATTGTGACAATCCAGCGAGCAGGAGCAGTCGCAGTCGCAGTTCCAGGCTGGAGTGTGTGTCTCTGCTGCTGCAGCCAGGCTGGGGGTGCCTAAGATAGCCAGGGGTGGGGGTGGGGGTGAATCAAGAGGTCCAGGGAGGGGCATGCATGCCTGCCCCAAGTGGGCAGCTGGTGCAGGGGGCACTTTTCACCCCGAGCTTGGCAAAAGCCCCCCCCCCTCCTGCAAGCCTGGCCCCTTCTGCGTACGCCACAGGGCTACACTGTGGGGGGAAGGCCTGAGGCTGCCCCACCCTGTTAGACACCTTCCTGCCCCCCCACCCTCAGCTGGTCCTCAGATTCTGGAGGGAAAGAAAGGGGGTCCTTTGGGCCTTAAAGCCATTTGCAAGCCCCTGCACCTCTTTCCAGGCCTGGCCAAGTCACAGCCTCCTTTTGTCTTCTGAAAAGCAGGAGTTAAGGGGAGTGGGGTCAGAAAAGGAGACTGGTCCAGCCTTGCCCAGTTTGGGTGCTGGATCCGTTGCACCAGGCTGCTCCCCCTTCCCCATTTCTGCAGTTCCAGCTGCTGGGAGGGAGGGAGGCTGGGGGGGGGTCTCCCATCTCCAGAGACATCTGCCCTGCCCCCCTCCCTTCCCTTCCAAATGTTAATTTTATGGAGACCTTTATAAATCTTGCTGTTTCTGCTGTCCATGGGCTACATAGATTTCATCTTGTTGAGAGGTGACACTCGTGGCCTTTGGTAACAGGCTATCAATTTAATGCACTGAGTGTAATAAAAAACACAGGACCGTATTAACTCCCAATTACTCTGCTCTGCTCCTGGCATTAACCCCTTGTGGCCAGAACCTCATCTCTTCCAAGTTTGGGGGGTGGTGGCAGTGCAAGGAGGGGGGCTGTGGACTGAACCCTCGTTTCCTCTGTGGCAGGTTGGGAGCAGCCTGAGCCTTAGCTGAGAGGTTGTTCAAGAAGATCCTGGCCTGGCCGGGGTCACTGGGCACAACTTTTGAGAGCTGACCCCCCCCACTGCAAATGCACACACCTTGGAGTCAGGGACCCCTAGAGCACCACCAGTGCCCCCACCCCAACATATTTATTTATCTGTGTGCTGCTGTTGGTAAAACAACAATGACACAGTTAACAACACACAGGTATACAATAAAGACCACACAAAGACTCAAATGAATCACCTGTTACAAGAAGAGGTTTTGTTATTGGCTGCATAAACCTGGCAGCATGGAAAAGTTTTCAGCTGGCATCTAAAGGTTAAATGTTTTTAAATGTTTGATTATGTTTTTAATGTTCTGTTGAAAGCCGCCCAAAGTGGCTGGGGAAACCCAGCCAGATGGGTGGGGTAAAAATAATAAATTCTTATTCTTCTTATTCTTATTCTTATTTAAGCAGCTCAGTGGGTGATGGAGGAGAACATCAGCCCCGTTTGTCCTTCTGCTATTGGGGAAGGTCCCTCTGAAGAGGACCCCCGGGGCCCCCTCCCCATTATTGGATCCATTTCATAGGAACTTACATGGACTCAGGACGATGCCCTGTACCAAGTCAGATAAAGGGTCATAGAATCATAGAATTTTAGAGTGGGGAGGGACCCGGGAGGATCATCCAGACCACTCCCTGCAATGCAGGAACCATGGCTACATAATCCCTGACAGGTGCCCACTCTGATGAAAGCGAGTCTGCCACCTCTGGAGGGAGATCCTTCTACTGCCAGACTCCTCTTACCCTCAGAAAGTTCTTCCTGATGTCTCGCCACCTGAGTCCATTCATTCAGGTCCTGCCCTCTGGAGAAGCAGAAAGCAAACTTTCTGCCCGTGAAAGCCCTTCAGATACTGGAAGGTGTTACCGGAAAAATCTAGGTGTGAGGCTGCTCAGTCCCCCAGATGGTCAGGCAGAGCCCGCGGGTCCCTGCGGAAGAAAGGAGGAGTCCAGCCACCAACCGGAGCAAAGTTTATTGCGCAACAGGTTCAAAGAGGAATTTTGAACCCTGAGAATGGGGTGACAAAGACTTTTAAAACTTTCCCACCATATCCCAGAATACAGTTTGCACAGCATCATTGATAAATCCCTGACATGTCACAAAAGGGGAGGGGTAGACAGGGGTTACACTAGTTCAACCTTGGAAAACATGTCCAGACAAGTCCTTGGTACAAGATTAGCATAAACAGACATGGCAGGGCAAGACCAAGGTATAAGATGAGCATAGACAAATATGTCTTAAGTACCCACCACCCAAAAGTACAAGAGAACTTCCTTTGCATGTCTGGCCCCTTGGCAAGTCTGGGGATGGGATTAGGCTTTCCTTGGCCCACAATCAGCTCAGCAATTGTCACCTCTGGGAACTTCCTGGAGTCCTTTTTCAAGGGGGAAATAGCTTTGGAATGGAGGAAACTGGCAAAGGAGTTGATTTTATATTGTTTTTAAAGCTAGGTAACTTCCCTGAGCTGTCAAGTTGAAAGGATACATTCAGACATAATATTTGTAACATTGAACAACTTTAAAGATGTGCCCCCCCCCATAATTTCCGTAACAAAGGTGACTCTCATGCCCCCTCCCAGTCTTGTCTTCTCCATCCATGCTGAGTGGCAGCAGTGGCTCTTCCGGGTTTCAGGCATCCCCCTTGGAGATGCCACCATGAGGGACGGAGGCCGGGACCCTCTACCTGCAAGGTGCAGCCCTTTTGCTTGCAGCACTGGAGGATGGAGGCCTGCTTCTGGGACAGGTGTCCCTGACCACCTGCATGCCTGGCCCTTGCCACGGGGGGGGGGGGGCCTCATGCCACTGAACTCTGAGGGACAGGCTGGCTGGCCAGGGGAGCTGTGGGAGGGCTGGTCCCCACCGCCAGCTTAAAGGAGGCAGCTGTTTGCTTGAAAAAGACATTTCTTAAAATGAAAAGCCTCACTAACGCAAAAGAGAAATTTCAATAAAAACCCCGCAGTTTAAAACTTGTAGTGAGGAAGATGTCAAAGTCCAGCCAAGCAATCTACAGAATTAATTAAACCAATTAAAACACAGTTTAAACCAGCAGTAAAATAGCCATTAATATCATCTATAACTGCCCAAGTTCTTAATGGGGAAAAGCTCATCTCAGCTAAAAGCAATGGGAAACGAATGAGGCGTCAGCTTTGGTTTAAAAGCTGGAACCGGTGTGGGAAACCAAACAAGGGAGGAAGTTCCACCAACGGGGACCCAGCACGGAGAAGGCCCCGTCTCTAGCTGCTCTCCCAGGTGGGTCTAGAGGGGCCCGGACTCTGCTCTTGAGGTTTGGGCAGGGAGGCAGGCAGGTCCTTCAGTCAGCCTGGCCCCCGGGAATCGCTGGCAGCCTCAGAGGTCAAGAGCGGCACTGGGAGCTCAAGTGACTGGCTCAGTATCAGCTTTGCATCTCCTGGCCATTCAGCCCCAGAGGGTGACCACATTCTGTGACTCTTGCCATCTTCAGAAGCAGACCCACAGAGAGCCCATTGCAGTAGTCTAGCAGAGAAGTAACTAGTGGTGCGCCAGGCCCACTTTCTCTAAAGGTTCTCTTAGCTGCTGCTGCTGCCACCACTTACAACTGCTGCTCCACAGAGGGCACGGAGCCCAGGAGAGCCCCAGCACCAGGTGTGCATAGGGTGTGTGTGTGTGTTAAGGGGGAGCTTCCAGAGCCTGGAGTTAGAGCACCTGCCTTGGAGGAAGGAAGCCCCAGGTTCAGGCTTCAGGGTCTCCAATTAAAAAGGACAAAGAGGAAGATGGTGCCGAAGGCTCTTCTCTGCCTGAGACTGCCCTGGAGAGCCTCTGCCAGTTAGAGTTCACAATCCTGGGCTAGATGGACAAATACCTGGTGTAAGAGCAGCTTCTAGACAGTCCTCAAGGGCAGCCCCATGTAGAGTGCATTACAGTAGTCTAGGCAGGAGGTCACTAGAGCATAGACAACTCAGGAGAAGCCATAGCTGATGAATCAGCCTGAACTGGGAACAGATGCAGAATCCAATTGGACTCCTGAGGCAAGCTGGAATCCGGGATGACTCCCCAAGCCTGTTTCTTAGTGGGGAGTGCAGGCTCTCACAGAGCAGGCCGTACAGCTAAGTCCTGTGCCTCCATCTTATCGGGATTCAGCCCCACCCAGACCCTGGTCTGACACCTTCATGGCCTCTCCTGAGTCATGTGGCACAGAGAGCGCTGTGCCCTCAGCACATTGATGGAGCTGCCCCGGCCTCCTCAAATATTTTATTGGGGGCTGAAGCCCCCTCGGCCCCTAAGAGTTGGCTCCTGTGGCTGTGGGGCCAAGCAGTAGTTGCCCAACCCTAACTTCTAGTGATGACCTTTGAGGAAGGAGAGGAACAGTTGTAGCTCAGCCTCCAGCTCCCATCCCCTGGAGTCTTTCCAGAAGGATGCCATGGTCAATGAAGTCATCCACTTGTCATGGATGCTTCCGCTGAGATTCCTGCATTGCAGGGGGTTGGACTAGATGACCCTTGGGGAGGCCCTTCTAACTGCAGTTCTAGGATTCCCCCTGCCTCTCTCCTGTTATAGGTCATTATTCAGGGGAACCAAGGTTATTTAGGTGCTAAAACTAGGCCTTGAATGGATCTAGACATTTTGCTTTCTCCATGCAGGAGTTATCTGTCAGGGAACCAATGAGAAGGGGGCATTTTGGGGCTTTATCCTAAAAGGCACTTAGGATCTGGAGTGAGGCATTAAGTGCCATTAAATCCATCTGGGGGGGAAAGAACATGGTGCTGTTGAGTTCAACATACATGGAACTGGACACAGTTGCTGAGTACCGTAAGTCCAAAACAATCAAATTTGACCTCAAAAGAGGAAACTTCTAGAAAATGAGAGGATTTGTATAAAGGAAGTTGAAAGGGAAAGTGGAGAGGATCAGGTATCTCCCGAGTGCTCCGGGGTCATTGAAAACAACAGCAGTAGACACTCATCTAGGCTGTTTTCTGCAGATCAGGAAAGAAGCCACTGCCAAGTGCAAGAGGATGCCAGCATGGTTAATGAGCAGAGTCAAGGAAACCGAAGAAGGCAAAAAGGTTTCTGTCAAAAATGGAAGTCTTGTACAAATGAGAAGAACACAAAGGAAAGGCAAATGTTGGCAAAAAAGAAGAGCAAGCAGACAAAGGAGAAAAATGAGATCGCAGAGCAGCTGAATGAATTCTTTGTGTCTCTCTGCACGGCAAAGGATGGAGGGCAGTTCCCCGAGCATGAACTAACTTGCTTGGGAAAGGCTTCTGAAAGGCTTCTAATTCAGTGGTGAAAAGAAATTAAGTTCTAACCCTTAGTCACTAAATAAAAACACAAGCAGAGTCCAGATGGCATTGACCCAAGAATTCTTAAAGAACTCAAATATGAAAATGCTGGTCTTCTAACCAAAATGTTGCTACAAAATAGGGGGGTGGGGGAGGGGTCCATGGGGATGATATCCTGGGGTCCCTTCCAGGCCTGGGATTTTGCATCTGGGATTTGGACTAGAGGAGAAGGAGCTGCAGAGCCAGTCCAACCAATTTCTTTGTTAGGCTAATGGCCTTAGCCGCTCAGCTAAGCACCGCATTTTGCATGACTAAAAGAGTGGGCCACGTTGCTGTAGCAACAGCCAAGTGATGGTGTTCTCTGGGGAGAAGGTAGGCATTCCTCACCCACCTCACCTGGCTGGATGCCAGTGATCCTAGCAGGGGAGCAACAGGCCTGGAGGGGGCGCTGTGTGTTTGGGATACTGCTGGGAGCTGGACAGACAGAGGCTGGTCTTGCTCTGTGCCAGACCCCAAAGCTGTCACTGATGGGGAGGCAACACCTGTTGGGGTGTTAGTTTTGTGAGTCCCTCCATCCTATCCTCAGGTTGTATCGTTGGCATCCGTCCGTCTCAAGAGACAACAGAGTTCACCTCCAGGAAGGAAGCCAAACCACTGCACTGGCAGCACTGAAGTGACCCCCCCCCAGGTGCAAGCCTGGCCAGTGTGTCTGGAGATCCTGGGCTGCCCAGACAACAAGACCCCCCACCTCTGCCTCGCAGAGCAAGATGTTTGGCACCAGCTGGGAAGATACAGGAGTTGCCAGAAGGGGTCTGGTTGTATATATGTGTAAATAAAAGCGTATAGAGTGGTACCTTGGTTTAAAAACAGCCCTGTTTACGAACTATTCGGTTTACAAACTCCGCAAAACCAGAAGAAGTGTCCCAGTTTGAGAACTTTACCTTGGTCTAAGAACAGAATCCGAACGGTGGAAGGGCACCAGCAGTGGGAGGCCTCATTAGGGAAAGCGCGCCTCGGTTTAAGAACGGTTTCGGTTTAAGAACGGACTTCCAGAATGGATTAATTTTTTTTTTTTTTATTAAATATTTTATTAAGGATTTTCTTGTTTTACAGAAGTAAGTGTACTGCCTCGTATATATATTTTTTTCATGTAACATTTTTACAAATCCATTTCATTTGTTGAGGCATTAGGGGGGAGAAGAAAAAAAAAAGGAAAAAAGAAAGGGGGTGGAGAGAGGGAAGATGGATGGGGGTGGGGTCGGGTGGCGGTGTTTCTATTATGTTTAATGTATGTAGAGTTTGGTGTCAGCGTTGCTTGTGTTGTTCACTTGTGTTCCTTTCGTGGTGAGAGAGGTTGGGGTTGGCCTAGGGTGTGATTGTCTGCTTGTGATTGGCTGTGGTGATCTTTGTTTTCGTGTGTGAGTGAGGTGGGTGGGTGTTTTGGATCAGGTTAGCCATATTGATTTGTATGCTGTTGGTGGATTATTGTCATTGTCCTGTTGGGCTGTGTATGTGATAAAGGGAGCCATACCAGGGTGAAGACGTCTTCTTCTGTTTGTCCCCGTGTCAGTTTCAGTTTATTAGTTAATTTTTCTAGTAGGGCTGTTTCCCATACTATTTGGTACCATTGGTCCATGTTTACTCCTGACAGGTCTCTCCAGTGTCTGGTTATGGTGTTTCTGGCTGCTGAAAGTAGGTGGGTTATGAGTTCTTTGTGGTGTAAATGGGCATTGTTGTCTTGGAAGATGTTTAGTAGGGCCAATTCTGGGGTGATGTCTATTACTTGCTTAGTTATTTTACATATTTCTTGTATGGCTGTTGTCCAGAATAGTTGGATTTTGGGACACTCCCACCACATGTGGAGGTATGTGCCTGTGGAGGTGCACCCTCTCCAGCATTTTGGTGAGGTTCCTGGGTGTATTAGCGCTAGTTTCCTTGGTGTTAGGTACCACCTGTAGGTGAGTTTCAGTGTGAGTTCTTTTCTTTTCGTTGATATGGATTTAAAGGGGGTTTAGACCACATTCTGGTCCATTGAGTGGGGTTAATCTCATAGCCTATGTCATTCTCCCATTGTTTTTTGATTGCATCTAGGGATTTGCGGGATTTTGGAGTAGTATTTTGTATATTGCGGATACCGTCCCTTTACCGTTTCCTTTTGTTGTTAGGAGGAGGTTTTCGAAGGTTGTCAGGGGCCTAGTTGCTGCTGATTTTACTGTTGGGTTGTTTAAGAGGGCATGTAGTTGGTGTTGTGTTAACCAGGGCATTTGGGTGTCTTCTAGTTTGTCTTGTATTTCTTGTGTTGACAAGGGTTTGTTATTTTTATAAAAGTCTATTAGGCGATATAAGCCTTTGGTTTGCCAGGTTTTTATCTGGAGGTTTTGTGCTGCATGGTGGAATAATGGGTGGTACGCCAGGGGGATTAGTGGGGATGGGGTTGGGGATAGTTTGCCTATTTGTGTTTTCCATGCTTTGAGCATGGTCTGTGTGTACCTGTTAAGTGTTGTGGGAATTTTCTTTAGTTTGTTTGGGAGGAATGGGTATGTTGTGGTGCAGGTATTTTCAATTGTGTCCCTCTCTAGGTGTACCCATTGTTTTGTCTCATCTTCTAGTATATATGGGATTATATGGCGTATTTGGTTGGCATTGTAATATGCTTCTATGTTGGGGATTCCCCATCCTCCTTCTGAGGTGGGGAGGTGCAGGTATTTGAGGCTTATTCTTGGTTTTTATGTGAGAAGATGAAAGAGTGTAGTTTTCTCTGCCAACTGCGAAGTTGGGTTGAGGGATCCAGATTGGGAGGGTTTGGAATAGGTAGGTTAGTTTTGGGAGTGTGATCATTTTGATCATGGCTATTTTGTCTGAGAGAGTGAAATTCATGTTATTCCATCTCTTTAGGTCTTTGTTAATTTGTCGCCACAGGGGCTTGTAGTTGTGGAGGTACAATTTATTGAGGTTTCTGGTTATTTGTACCCCTAGGTATCTGAACTTGGTGTGGCAAAGTTTTATTTTGGTGACCTTCGTGAGTTCTTTTTGGGTGTGAGGAGGGGTGTTGAAGCACATAGCTTCTGACTTTGTAAAATTTACCTGTAGGCCCGACACCATTGCAAATGTGTTGAGTTCTCTGATTAGGGAGGTTGCTGTGCTTATGGGGTCTGGTGTTGTGACCATTAGGTCATCTGCAAAGAGCCCTAATTTATAGGTTCTGCCTTTTATTTCCACTCCCTTGATGTCTGTGGCTGCTCGGATGCTGATTGCTAAGGGTTCCAGAGCCAGGATAAATAAGAAGGGAGACAGTGGGCATCCTTGTTTCGTGCCTCTTTGGATAGCTATAGTATTAGAATCCATATTGTTAGTTCTGCATTTTGCTGAGGCTTGGGAGTATATTTGTTTGAGAATTTGTAGGAAGTTGGGGCCAAATTTCATGTTAGTTAGTACTGCTAATATGTATTTCCACTCTAAGCAATCAAAGGCTTTGAGGATGTCTAGGGACATAATTGTCAATGGGAGTTTGGTTGCCTTGCTGTGTTCGATCAGGTTCAGTAGTTTCCTGATGGGGTCTGTTATATTGCGGCCAGGGACAAAGCCAGTCTGGTCTGGGGCTACTAACTTGTGTAGGAAGGTTTTTAGGCGGTTGGCCAAGATTGATGTGAATATCTTGTAGTCTTGGTTTATTAATGAGATTGGGCGGTATGATTCTACTTTGAGGCTGTCTTTTAGTGGTTTTGGGATGGAGACTATTTTGGAGTGGGTCCAGGTTTTGGGGATGGGGCCCCCTTTTATGATGTCGTTGAATAGGCGGGTCATGTAGGGCATCAAGGGTTCTTTGAATTTCCTATAGAATTCTGCTGTGAAGCCGTCTGGGCCTGGGGCTTTGTGTGGTTTCAGGTTTTTGAGGACCGCATCTATTTCCTCTGGGGTGATAGGGCTGTCCATGAATTCCTGTTCCTCATCAGTTAGGGTAGGCATGGACAGTCCTGCTAGAAATTTTTGATTTCCTTCTCTGGTGGGTTATGGGAGGTGTATAGGTTGGAGTAGAATTCTGCAAATTCTGAGTTTATTTCTTCGGGGAGAATGTTATGTTGCCGTCTTTTTGGTGATGCAGTGTATTCTTGTTTTGAGTGCTTTTTCCTGCATCTATTTGCTAGTAATCTGGAGTTTTTCCCTCCATATTCGTAGAAACGTTGTTTAGAGTATAGAATGTTGATCATTGTTTTGTTAATTTCTAGGAGTCTAGTTCTCTCCTTTTTTGTTCCATAAGTTTGAGGAGTTTTTAGATCCTGTTTGTTTGTAGCGTGATGAGAGGGCTGTGATGTCTTGTTCTATTTTGCTAATTTTTGAGGAGGTTTGTTTTTAAGGAATGTTTTCTCTTTTATGCAAGCTCCTCTGGTGACCGCTTTCATTTCGTCCAATTGGAGGGGTTGTTGTTAATTGTTTACATCGTTTTCCTTGAAGTAGTTTTGGAGGGTTTTTGTGAGACTCTCTCTAATTTGTTTGTTTGTAGTTAGGATGGGACTGAAGGACCATGATGGGGTGGTTTGTGTTCCTTCTCCTATTTTAACGATGACTTCTACTGGGGCGTGATCTGTGATTTTAATGTTACCTATGTTTGTTGATTCCACTGAGGGATCAGACCCTGTGTGAGTAGAATGCTGTCCAGTCTGGATACTGTATCATGGCGTCCCGATTGGAATGTATGGCTGATGTCTCCCGGGTTTTGCTCACCCCAAATGTCGTAGAGACCCCTGCTTTTTAGCATTTTTAGTAACTTGTAAGGGTTCCTAGTTGTTGGGGGTTTCCTTCGGAGGAAGGTTGCCCATGGGGTTGTAGGGTGGATATCTTTCAGGGCTATGCCTTTCATATTTAGATTGAGGTCCCCTCCTAGGATTGCTTCCCCTTCAGAGAAGGAGAGGAATTTGTTTAGTGTCTTCTGGAAGAATTCTAATTGTTTCGTGTTTGGGGCATATATGGAGCCAATTGTCAGTTTGATTTTGCCATCTAGTGTCCCTTTAGCGAAAATGAATCTGCCTTTTTGTCCTTGAGGACTGTTGTGGCAGTGAAGTTCAGGTCTCTACTGAGTATTATGGCTACACCACGAGCTTTCCCTGAGCCTCGTGCGACCCACTGTTGACTGAAGCGGGGGTCGCTCAGGAGTTGCTGCCTTTGGGTGGGTTGTGTATTTCTTGTAGGAAGGTGATGTGTGGTTTCATGGTGTTTATGTATGAGGTGATGCGTTTTCTTTTGATGGGGTTTCCCAGCCCCCTCACGTTTAATGTAATTGCTTTTAGGTTAGCCATCTTGCTTATCTATTATGTGGGGCGATTCCCTGCCAACCCGTTTGGGTTGTCTTGTATCTCTCTCTTCGTGTTGTTTAAAGTACCAGTGGGGTTGCGCTGACCTAGGGTGTGGCGGGTGGGGGGCTAATGGGATTAGAGTAAGATTTGGGTTAAAGAGTAGGGGGTAAGTTGTAGAGAGTTTCCTATATGTAGTCATATAGGTGTTTGTTTGGGGTATTTTAGGCCATCTGGCATTTAGCCGGTTGGTCCTAGGTCTCAGCTGGTGTGGAAGGCCGTGTTCAAGGACAGGCCATCCCCCCTGTTGTTTGCGATAGGGGGTGATCAGTGAGACAGTGTGAAGTGACTTTGTAACGTCGCTGTCAGGTATAAGGTTCGTAAGCAATGTTGCCAATGTTATGAGCAACATTGTTGGTGTGTTGGGGTGGGGATGTGGGTGCTGGTACGCTCTGGTGCCACCATAGTGCTGGTTGGGTATCAGATTTTAGCCTGACTGTGGGTTGTGTTATTAAGGTTGGAGTTGTTTTTCTTAGTATGGGGTATGGGGATGTTGAAGGTGTGGGTGATGTGGAATGTGGTTGAGGTCGTCTGGACTGGTGTTGGGGCGGGGATTTCTGTGGGGGTGCGGGGCTGGGGGAGGATGTTGATGGTGTTAACGAAATCTATGTTTTTGGGGGGAGAGAGGGGGAAAAGCGGGGGGGAATCACCAGTCCTTCAGTTTGTGGTTTTTTCCTGGTTGCTTCATTCAGCTGGGGTTGTTGTTGTTGTAGGGTTGTCCATCTGCGATGAGTTGGTTTGGTTAATCTTGGTCTGGTTTCTTGTGTCATATGGCCGGCGGGACGATTCTGAGCGTGATGCTTCTCTGTATTGGTTTGCACTGTTGTGCCGCTTCTGTTTCTTTTTCTTCTGTACCGTCGTCCAGTTGTTTGCTGTTGTTTCCTCATGGTTGGGGCTGTCACTTGGTGGGTTTGTCGGTTGCCATTCCGGTGGGAGGTCGAGTTCAAGGTTCTTTAGTAGTTGCAGGGCCTCAGGTATGTTGGTAGCCATGTGTTGTGTTGTATTGGTTGTTA